ATTGAAACTACTCAGATATATACCCAGACTATATTAATTTCCCAAAACCACAGTTAGCAATGAGTTCACTTTCATTTCACCTATGGTTGAATCTGGATCTATGTCACCTGGATGTGCTTTCAGAAACAAAGTAACTTTTTTCTTATACTCTAAACTCACCAACTTCAGAACTGTAAGTATTAAAAAGCCTATATGCAAGCGGGATGGAGTGACCCCCCCCAAAAAAAACCCTACTTCAGGAAGTTAAGAAGGCTACTCCCCAACATAGAGAGCAAAGAAAAATATCACGTTGCACTAGAATTTGGAACACGCTGCAAACAGAAGTACCATACCAACAAGCTACTTCTGTATTACTAGTAGATCAAAAGGGTTTTTCTCTTGTTGCATCAAAACTGTAAAGTGTGGTTAAGTAACTGAAATGATGGGCTGAGATTAGGGAGTTCCAAATTCAAGTCCATCTTCAGCCCCATGAAAATCCAGTGGTCATTTTGGACCAGTGACTCCCTCTCTTTTACCAACTTCATAGGACTTCTCTAAATTCATGACTAAGATAAATCTAGTAAAATAAAGTTCATGGACAGAACTATATAGTAGTTGAGAACTACAGAATTTGTAATTGTTACACAGTCATCCCTAAGGTGGGAGATGAGAGGTGGTGGCTTCAAATGTGTTGCTACAGAAACACAATGGAAGGGCACATGGAATTCTAGAAAATATTCGCTATATCCCTGACCCCTAGATGAATGCAGAAGGCAGGGCCTCCTGATCCCACTGCATTTCAAAAGCATTTAAGCATAATACCCCGTCATGCTCTGAATGAAATCACATTCTCACTAGATCAAATGAGCTTGATGACTTGGGACTTTGGTGCCTTAAGGGCCACTATATGTTCCTCCCTCCAGATCTGGAGCCCTTCCAGATCCCCTGCCCATCAGAGAAAGGCAAGCGCTTAATAAAAGTAGGCTCTATTGGAGAAGGCCTTTTTAAATATTTGGAAAAAAATCAAGCTGCTGAAGGCCACTTGCTGAATATTTTTAGTTTGATCTATAGCTAATGGCTTTTCTGCTGGCTGTTTGCTGTTATTTTGACACTAATTTTCGATAGATTACAGCTTTGTTTTCAAGTTGTTTATTTAGTCAACTGTTCCGAGTCCACCTGGTGGAAAGAAGAAGAATTTAAGCTTGTGAAATTAGATGTTTAAAAACAAAAGTCCCTGGCTTTGGTGATCCTGAAGTTTGTACCTTACTTGCATGCACAGAAGCCTGAAATTCTCAATTGCTTTTTCATTATATAATTAACGAATGTCTTTTGTAAAACAGCAGGATTACAAGAGTGGTGGGATAATCCTGTACAGCTATCTGGAAGCTAGTCTCACTGAATTCAAGATTTATTGCCAGGAAATCAGAGACAAATTTCACCCTCAAGAGCCCAAAAAAGTTCATGAGAATGAGAAACAATTATGAATAAAACAGAAGAGTGTTTTTTTCAAAAAACAACTACTAGCAAATTGCACCAATTTACCACAAAGAATTAAAACAGAAGGTATCATGCCCTAGTCTAAGTATTGTAACTTAGAACCTTTGGTTCTGAGAGCAATCCTCTTAATTCAGCAAAATTTACATGAGAACTGTGTTCATAATTTCAATTTCCTACTGATTTCACCCGATTTCTTTTAAATCGCTTGCATTTTTTTTCTATTATTGCAAAAATATCCCCACAATCTCCAACCTAATAATCAATACAAAGAATACCAGGAAAAAATTTCAATGTAAAATTTTATTGAATATTAACTAGGTTGCCTAACACTTTTAAGTGTTTTAATGTAAAAAAAAAAAAGTAAATTCTGATTTGGCAAAATTCTCAAGAGTACTAAATGAAAATTTTGTGAACTATCACATATTTAAGTAAGTTCTAAATAGCCGAATTTCTCTATTTCTCCTTTTGAGCGGCTATCCCCAAGACTCCATGCTTTCTAACCAATACATTCAAGGAACTGCATCTCTCCATGAAGCAGGGAGCGTTCCTACAGTTCACAGAATGCTGCGGAGCCATCTTGACACAGGAGTTGACTCTTTACCAGGAGGAGATTATACAGGTAGGAGACTGTTGAGCAGAAGACAAGGAGAAGGAAGGGCGGCAAGAAGTTATTTTGGTAGCAGCCCTCAAAATTCGGGGGGGGGGGGGGGGCAGCCCCTTCGCTAAGCCTCCCTGCCCAGCAAGGAAATGTCCGCTGCCATCCAGCCTCGGCGGGGACCAGCTCCGGAGGGCTCTGGCCGAGGCCTTTCGCGTCAAGAAGCGGACTCGGTCGGGGAGCGGCAACGGGCGCTTTACCGGGCAGGTAAAAGTAGCCAGAGTCGGCTTGGCGTCCGGGGTTGGCAGGGCAGGGCACAGGACGGCTTGGCGCGCGGGTGCTTTCGCCTCCTGGAAGGGGCAGTGAACCGCCTGGCGACCCGGGAGACCGGCCGGCCTCTCCCCCCCTCCTCCCTCGGGAAGCGACCGGCACTTGGCTCCGCGTCCCTTCGGCCCCAGCAGCCCGTCCCCTCCTGGGCTCGCCAGGCCAAGTGCGCGCCTTCGCTTCGGCGACAAAATGGCAGCCCTGGAGAGCGACGGCGGTGCCAGGCTGGGCGAAGGCAGCCGGCGGCGGGAGGGCGGCCTCCCCTCCCCCGATCGCCGCCTCCTCCCTCCCCGGAGCGGAGCCTCCCTCAGCCTTCCGGGCCGGCGGGTGGGAAGGCGGCCATTCTGGGCGCGCGTTCCGCAGGGCGCACCGAGGCCAGCGGGCGGGCGGGGGGTCTTCCTCCGCTGCCTCTCCCCCCCCCCCGAGGCCGGCAGCCCACCAAGCCGCCCCGCGCAGGCCGCGTCCTCCGCCGCCGGGAGGGGGGCCGGGCAGGAACCGACCCCGCGCTCCGCTCGCTCGCTCGCTCGGGCGGCCCTTTTTCCTCGCTGCAGTTCGGCGGGGGAAAAAGATGGCGCCGTGTCCTACTTCGGGCGGGCGTGTGGCTGGCGCGGCGGAGGCCGGCTGCTTCCGAGGGGGCCAGCGAGCGCGCTCTCCGCGGGCCCCGACCGGCCGCCTGTCCGCGCTCCGTGAGCCCGAGGGGGGGAGCAGGCGGGCTGCGCCCGAGGGGCCTCCGAGCGCCACCCCCCCCCGCCGGGCCGCCGCTCCCCGAGCGCCAAACCGGCCTTCATACGTACAGGGCCGGTGGGCGCTTGGGCGGCGCGGCGCGGGGGGAGGCTGGTGGCGGGAGCGGCGCTTGGCCGGGAGGCAGGTGACACTCCGGGCGGGGGGGGGCAGAACTGCGCGGCCGGCCTTACGTAAAGCCCCCCCGCCTCGGCGGAGGAAAACATCTCCCACCTGGGTGGGGCTGGGCGCGAAGCGCTTCTCGGAACGGCGGAGCCCCAAGTTCTTCCACGGCCCCCCCGCAACCTCAGTTTCTCCTTGGGAGGGAAACGCAGCGCCTCCGCCTCCGCCCCCCCCCCCCGCAACTCCACCGGGCAGGCGGGCCGGGCGAGTCCGCGGACAAAGTTTCGCCTCCCGGGCAGCCTCCAGCAGCATCCCAAGTTCGGGCCGAGGCCGCCGCCGCCGCCCCCTCCCTCCCGAGCGGGCCAGGAGGGCGCGGGGGGGGGGGGGGATGAGGCCTCCCTTCCCCCCCCCCCCCCCCCCCCCCCCCCCCGAGCGCTGCCCCAGCCCGCACATCTGGGGCGGGGGAGGCAGAGAAAGGGCGCGTTCATGAGGACTACAAAGTTGCAAATATGGCTCCCCGGCCAACCGCGCCTGATCCGCGCCGCGGGAACGACCCATCCGGCGGGCGCCCTCAACTTGCGGGCGACCCCGGACTCTCGCCGGCGACCCCCACCGCCTGGGGCGCTCCGGACAAACTCCGCCCGAGCGCAGGACCAACTCGGCCGCCTGCCCGGCTCGCTCCCCTCTCCTTCCGGCCGGGCGACGAGCCCTCGCCAGCCGCCCCCTTCCCCCGGAGACCCGGCGGACGGGGGGGGGAGCGGCTTCCCTCCCGCCATCTCGGCCCCCTCGGCCACGGACCGCCGCGCGCGCTCGCCCCGTGGGCACCTCAAGGGCAGCGGCGCAGCACCCGCGACGGCAGCCGGCAGGACGGCGCCCGGCGCTCCGCAGTGTGGCCCCCCGCGCGCCCCGCCTGGCCGCCCCGGTTCCTCCCGCCGCCGCGAAGCCCCCCGCTCGCTCGCTCGCTCGGCCGCCCGCCCTGGCTTACGTCGGAGGGCGTCCTGTTCCGCAGCTCTAAGTGGATCCTTTTCTTCATGTCCATGTCCCCGATTCCGCGGGAGGCTGCCTGGCTCCGCCGCGCTCCGCTCCGCTCCCTCTTTTGTATGGACACCGGTGGCACCAGCAGCGGCCCCCCCGCCCGCCCCCCCGACCAGAGCCAGCGCGCGAGGCGAAGAGGGACTTTGGGCGCTCAACCAGCTCCGCTCGGAATCCCCCAACGCCGCCAACTAGCGCGCACACTAGCGTGATGGCCGCGGGGGCGGGCGCTCCGCGAGAAAAGGCTCCCGTCTGACGGGCGGGCGGCGAGGCCAACCGGAGGGCGCGGGAGGCCGGGCCGGCGGCCGGCGCGCCAATGGGAACGCGCGACGGGCCGGCGGGGGGAGACGGGCCGGTCCCTGACGAGGGAGTTGCGGAGCAGTCGGCGCGAGCTGCGGAAGGGGCCGCTGGCTGGTTGGCGGCGGGGCGGACGGCAGCGCTCGAGCCGCAGCGGGCGGGAGTCTCCGTGGGCGGGCCTGGCCGGGCGCCGCCTGCCGGTTCGCGGAGCCCCCCGTCCGCCTTGTGGGCGAGCGGCCGAGGCGGCCCTTTGGGGCGGGCGACGGAGGAGCCGCTCGCGAGGAGGAGGCGCTTCTGAGAGGATTCGCCGGCGGTCGGAGCTCGCGGTCTTTCTCGGCCGGAGAGGACGGAGTTGCTCTCCGGGGCCCCGCTTCGAGGGACGGATCTCTCGGCCGCCTTTTCCGGCGAAGCGACGGAGCATCCCCGGCTCGGAAGGGAGGGGAACGGCGACCGGGCCGGGCATTTCTAGCACCCGGAAGGGCTGGTTTGGGGGGCCGCTTATAAAGGGGAGGCTGGACGACTGAGGACTTCCGGGCGCTACGGGGGAGTCGGGGGGGGTCTCCTTTCCTCCGGTGTCGGACGCGACCGGGAACTCCCGAAGGGCCTTGAAAGGCTGCAGCAGCTGGACCGGCCTGCATTTTCCTCCTCCTGCTCTGCTGGGCAGACGCCTCTTGTCCCCTTTTCCCGAGTGGGAGAGGAAGAAAACGGGGCTGCTTTTCCTGCTGCATCCTTGGCAGCGTTGCAGGTATTCTGCTCTCTGCCTCTTTCCCCTGCTTGAAACGGGCCGCCCGCTGGCTTAGTCTAAAGAGTTGGGTTTTCTTTATTAACGTTTTTGGATAGTGGATAGAAAATTGGATAGAAAATGAGGTTGCAAATTGCTATTAATGTTTGCTAATAAGGCTTACTACTGTTACATAGTAGTTAAGTGCATTGACTTTGATTCTGCAATAGGCACACCTCTTAAACAGGAATAGATTTTTAGTGTGACTTCCAGTGATTTTGGTATCCCAGCTTTCCTCTTCTCCAACAGGACAGCGGGGCCGATCTGGCAACAGCTGGGACTGCTGGATTCCTTTCACAAGAATTAACCGTGCAATAAGCTTGCCAGTATGAGAGCACAAAGAACTTCCAATATGCATATACAAAGGCAAACACTCCTTCAAATCATAGTCAATTCCCAGTGTCTTCACAGGTTTTTAAGAAGAGACTGGACAGCCACTTGTCTGAAAAGGTATAGGATCTGTGCTTGAGCAGGGGATTGGACTAGAAGACCTTTTGTGATCTGTCCAAATGTTAATTAGATCTGACCCTATTGAGTATTTTGCAGTCAGCCAGCTGGATATTTGTATGTAAGCAGATAAGGGGTAGAGAATATGAACCATTTGAGAATCCCTAGGATTGTTTTGCATCTTTCAAAGACTGAATGAGCTCCTAGGCTATGAAAGGCATTTTACATGTTTTTCAAAAACTGTTCTTCGTGTTGCTTCCATATGAAAAGTTGCCTGTCTCTATTGCTACTGTAAGAATTGCTAACCATCCCCAGAGCTTAGATAAGAAAGTGACAAAAGGTCTACATTCTCTCTCTATAGTCCAAATAGGTCTTTCTAAGCTATATTGCAAGAACATCATTAGTCTTGAAGAGAAAAAGTTGGGCTCCGAATCTTGCTTTCCTCTTAAAAGAAAATGAGAGTACTGTTTTGTTTTTGTTTTTGTAATTCAGATGCAAGAGGATAAAGGAGGGGGAGAATACTTTCTTTCTAAAGGAAACAGTTTAAGAAATTTGATAGGAATGTCTGTTGTTTCCTAACCATCTATTGTACTTGAACTTAACACTTCCCCCTTTTCTTAAACTACTAGCCTTTCCTTAAGTGATGAATACAGGCAGTCCTCAACTTACAACCAAAATTGAGCCCAACATTTCTGTTGCTAAATGAGACAGTTAAGTGAATTTTGTCCCATTTCATGTTTCTTGCCACAGTTGTTAAGTGAATTGATAACATGGTTGTAACTGAATCTGACTTCTCCATTGACTTTGCTTGTCAGAAGATCACAAAAGGGGATCATGTGACCCCAGGACACTGCGACTGTCATAAATATGATCCAGTTGCCAAGTGTCTGAGCTTTGATCAGGCCATGGGGTTGTTGCAACATTGGTAGGTGTGAAAAATGGTCATAAGTCACTTTTTTCAGTGCTGTTGTAAATTCTAATGGTCATTAAATGAAGTTGGGGACTATCTGTATGTTATTTGCATATGGTATGTGAATAACTATACAATTGATAGCAAGTCCCAAAATTATGCTGAAATATATATACCCCCACACACAAATATCAACGTCTATGCTTTTTTTTAAATATTAAAAACTTTGTCTCTGTTTTTCTGCTTTCAGAGGAGAACTTTAGATCTCAATAATATTTTGATTTGAAGCTTTTCAGCAGAATATTGTAATAAGTATTTATTGGAACATAGTATTTCTCATTTCTTACTGGAATGCACCTAACAGATTCTGAGTAGGGGGCCTGTTTTCCATCTGCTAAATTATTTATGTATTCCTAAAATTTTATGCTGCTTTACTCCCAATGGCTCAGAGCCGTGTACACAGAAAACCAGGGCATTAAAAAAAAAAAAACTATGGCTTTACAATTCAATAAAAAATGTTGACAAAAAAACCCTATCGCACTGATCGACAGGGATGGAGACATCATTCTTAATATATCCTAAGTGCTTTCTCTCAGAACCAAGTTTTTATTTCTTTATGGAAATTCATTTGGGATGACGGATCATAGAATATTCTGTTCTATATTCTATTTGGGAGTAGGGAATTCTTCAGTATAAATCTCAGGCTCTATCTTTGTGGGGGTCCCCAGCTTCTTTTACAGTTGAACACATCTCTTCTGCACATGCACCTTACATGGCTTTCTAAGGCATTTTTTTGGTTTGCTTAGCCTGTCACTGAATGAAGCCTCTCCCCCTTAACCACTGTAAGAACCTGTGCCTTTTTGCCTGTCCAATGGTGACTCAGCACATGACCAAAACAAAAAACACCAGACGAGATCAGCATAATTGCAAAAGAGCTCTCTGACAAACTGCGGGACACAAAAAGAGACATACAAAAATGCAAAAGAGGAGCATATAACTAAAACAGAATATGAGCAAATAGCCTGAATCTGTAATGCAGGAGTCAGAGAAACTATTTTTGCAACTAATGCAAAAATAATTTTAAAACATTTCAATATGTAAGAAACAGGAAGAAAGTCAAGGAAACAAGTCCACTAATGGGAGTAGATGGGAGAAAATGATAGGTAGCAGGGAGAAAGCAGAACTGCTTAATTCCTTCTTTGCAACTATTTTTTTGCAAGAGGAAAAAACAGCCCAACCTATCAAAAGCAACACCAAGGAAGATAGAATCAGCATACAAGTCAAAATAGGCAAGAAATTAGTAAGAGAATACTTACCTGCCCTGGACAAGTACAAATCACCTGGATCAGATGATTTATATCCCAGGGTTCTGAAGGAGCTAGCAGATGTAATTTCAGAGGCAATGAATGTAATCTTTCAAAGCTCATGTAACGCAGGGGAACTACCAGAGGACTGGAAACAAGCCGATGTGGTTTTAATCTACAAAAAAGGGGGGGGGATTGAATCTAAGAAATTATAGGCCCATCATTTTCACATCAATACCTGGGAAAATCTGGAAAAGATAAGTGGCAGATTTGTAAGCACCTAGAAACGAACAAGACGATTGCTAGAAACTAGCATGGGTTTGTAAAAAAAAAAAAAAAAAAAAAAAAGCCAGACAAATCTTACTGCCTTTGATAGTGTGACTAAAGTAGTGGATCAGAGAAATGCTGTGGACATACATGGAAGGCATTTGACAAAGTAGTTCACGGCTTGTGTCTTAAGATAGAACAATGCAGGATAGACAGTACCAGCAACAATGGATTCACAACTGGCTGACCAATCACATTCAACATGAAATCTTCAATGGAATTACATCCACATGGAGAGTAGCATACAATGGAGTATCCTAAGGTTCTATCCCTACTCTTCAATATTTTCATAAGGATCTAGATGGGATGAAAGGGGAACTCATCAAATGTGAGTGACACCAAGCTGGGATGAATAGTCAACACCTTAGAACAGTGATGGCTAATCTTTTTGCCGAAAAGCGGGGGGAGTCGCTTTTGGGCACCCAAAATTCAATGTGCCCTACCCCCCACACATGCCTGCGGGACCCCTCACGCTCCCCTGCTTTTGGCACGGTGGGCACGGTAAGCCCATTTTTTGCCCTCCCCAGGCTCCAGAGGCTTTCTTGGAGCCTGGGGAGGGTGAAAATGGCCCAGAGGCCCTCTGGAGGCTGGAAACAGCCCATTTCCCGACTTCCGGAAGTCCCAAAAATGAGCCGGCCAGCATGTGCACTGGAGCTGAGCTAGGGCAATGCTCGCATGCCCACAGATATGGCTCCATGTGGCACGTGTGCCATAGGTTCACCATAACGGCCTTAGAAGATAGACTCAAGATCCAGAAGAACTTTTGACAGACTTGAACACTGGACCCTATCTTACAAAATGAAATTCAATGATGAAAAAAGTCAGGCCCTGTATTTAGGTAGTAGAAACCAAAGGCATGAGTACAGAAGTGTTAGTACCTGACTTAACAGTAGTAACGGAGAGATTTTGATGTCCTAGTGGACCACCACTTAAGTATAAACCAGCGTTGTGCTGCAGCTGGCAAAAAGCAAATGCAGTCCTTGGCTGCATTAACAGAAGGACAGCATCAAGATCGCAGAAGTAATAAAGCAAGTACAGCTTTATACCACACTACTTATGCTACACTTGAAATTTATTTATTTTATTTATTTATTTATTACATGTATTTATATGCCACCATTCTCCCGAAGGACTCAGGGTGGCGAACACTAGTTAAGAAACAAGTACAATAAAATCATAATTTAATCCAAATAATTAATTAGTAGTAAATAATAAAGCCCGGAATCAGTCTCAGCCTATTTGTTTGAAAAGCCAAGTCTTCAAGTCCCGACGAAAGGAGCGGAGATCAGGAGCCGTCCGGAGCTCAGTAGGTAATTCATTCCAGAGGGTGGGAGCACCCACAGAGAACGCCCTACCCCTGGGCACAGCAAGGTGACATTGGCTCGCCATCAGAACCCTGAGGAGAGCGGCCCTATGTGAGCGAACAGGACGGTGAGAGGCAGGCAGGAGAAGGTCCTGCAAATATCCCGGACCTAAGTCATGAAGGGCCTTATAGGTGAGGACTAGCACCTTGAAGCAGACCCGGAGAACCGCTGGTAACCAGTGCAGCTCACGCAGGAGGGGTGTTATATGGGAGTAACGAGGGGCTCCCATAACAACCTGTGCAGCTGCATTCTGGTTCAGCTGGAGTCTCCGGGTGCATCTCAGGGGCAGGCCCATGTAGAGGGAATTGCAGGAATTCAGAAATACTGAAGGGATCAACTTGATCTCCAAAGCACCGTGGATGGAAGCTTGTTAAGAGAGAGGACTAAGGAGAAATTTCTTGACAGAACGATCAAGCTTGTCTCTTGGATTTGTGGGTGCTCCATAATTGGAGGTTTTCAAGAATAGACCGGACAACCATTTGACCAGGATGGTATAAGAAAGCAGTCCCCAACCTTTCCGGTTCTGCGGATCAGTGGAAAGGGGGGGGGTGGTTGGGGACCCTGGTATAAGGTCTCCTGCCTTGAGAAGGGGGTTGAACTAGAAGACCCCCCAGATCCCTTTCAGCCCTATGTTCCTACATTATAAATTGGCTTATACTGATCATGCATCTGGGAGGGGTATTTCTGGCAACAGATGGGCCTGTGGAAATGGTCTATCTCTCACTGTGCCCAAACTGTAGTTACAGATGGATACCCCTATTTATTGTAATATAGTGGAATGGGCAGACAATCCAAAGGTTGCTGGCAAGGGAGAAGGGACTGCAAGCCATGGTTTGCCTAGTTACCCTGCAGAGTGCTCCTAAGGACCCTGGCGGTGCACTCATTAGAATGTATTATTGCAGGCTAAATGTGCCCACAGCCAGGAGTTCGATCCTGACCGGCTCAAGGTTGACTCAGCCTTCCATCCTTCCAAGGTCAGTAAAATGAGGACCCAGATTGTTGGGGGCTCAGATTGTTGTAGAGGCTGACTCTAGCAGTATATAAGTCTACGTGCTGTTGCTATAACTTCGTTTCACAATATTAAAGGCAGCTCAGCATGTCTTGTATATATGCTTACAGGATAATCTAATCAGCCTTCGTGATTTGAAATTATGATTTATATTATATGTGAACCAGTGTGGCTTGCTTAATAACAATGGAAACAAATGATGATTTACTGTTACAAGTGAAACTAGCCATTAAACTATACTGCTGAGCAATGCTCTTGCTATTTTTGGCATTTGGGTGTGATGCATTTTCTCTTTGGTGGCCAGAGAATCTGGTTAAACGTGTGGCAGCCGTTTTAAGGTGCAGGCCTCTGTTAGTACATTTTGCACTGTGCTTTGTTGTGTTTAAAAAAATTGTTTTGTTGTGTCTGAAAAAATTATATCTTTTTTTTTAAAATTTGATTTATATGCCGCCCTTCTCCGGAGACTCAGGGCGGCTTACAATGCGTTAAGCAATAGCCTTCATACTCTTGTATGTTTATACAAAGTCAGCTTATTGCCCCCCACAATCCGGGTCCTTTACTAAGACATGTATTGTGGTACCTGTATTAATTTCTTAACTACAATTAAAATCAATTACCAAACCTTGAGTGTTTTTTCCTTAAAAGTAGGTACTGATAGTTGCAGTGGTTTGGTGTAGTGTGTGGACTAAGCTATTAAGTGTGTAGATTACAATTTATCACTAGAGTAATATCCTGTCAGCATGATACAGGTGGATTGTTTCTGGAAATTAACCCCCTTGAGTTCTATCATGGGGAGCAGGTGGGGAGCTGTGCTACACAGTCTGCTTGAGCTAATACCCCTTGGTTTTCAAGTTGGTTAAAATTTATTGTGTCATGCAAAACTGGAACACAATGATCATGGGGGCGGGGGTGTACCATCACATTAAATTGTGCACTTTCACAGCCTGGCCTGGCCATTTTGCACAACTATCTTTAAAGCAGCTCTGGGCACAGCGGGCTGCAAGAGTCTTAATTGGAAAGCGGTTTGAACATGGATGATATTTTGATCAGTGGGTAAAAGGCACCTGGACCTTCCCCTGGGAAGAGAACCCTCCTATCGCCTGGAGGCTGCGCATCTCATCCTTTCCAGCCAGGATGAAAGCAAAACGGCACACCTGGCCTGGCTTGAGCGCAGCATCCTGGGCTTCATCCGGCCTGCCCTCCGTAACCTCAACCGGCCGCCACCCCCAAGGAACACCCGATCCTGCTGGCTCTGGTGCGGCAGGGAGCAGCGTCCAAGTTCCCTCGGGAAGGCTTAGGGGGGACGGGGAAGCCCCCGAGGATCCCTTCTCCGAGGGAGGCGGCCGCTTCAGAGACCCGCGGGCTCCGCACCCCCAGCAAGCGGCTCGCCGGGCAGCTCAAGCGGTTGGTCCGGCGGAGCGGCTGCCCGGGGGCGGGGGTGGCCGGGCGCGGCGCGGCGCGGGTTCCGAGGCGGGGGCGGCGGGGGCGACGGTTGTGCACTCGGCCCTGCCGCCCGAGGAGGAGGCGGAGGCGGCGGATGGCGGCGGGGCGAGGGCGGCGGGACGGCGGCGGCTTCCCGGTGGCGGGGCGGCGGCTGCTGCTGCTGCTCTCGGGGGCGCTGCTGAGCTTCCTCCCGCTGGCGACCCCGCACCCGAGTGAGTGGCGGGACGGGCGGGGAGAGGCTGCTGCGGCCACTGCCCGTCCAGGGCGAGCCAGGAAGGCCTCCGCCGCAGAGGGGCCGGGGCTCCCGGGGACCCCAGCCCGCCGTCGCCCCCCTGAGCGCTTGAGCGGCGCCTGGCTGCCGGCCGTGTCCTGGGCGACGGGAGGGCGAGGAGAGGCGCCTCCTGGCGTCCTCGGGGGGATTCGGTAGCGGGAGAGGCCGCAGGAGGCGAGGAAAGAGGCCACGGACCCCCCCCCTTCCCTGCAGCTCTGCGGCCGTTCCCGCCCTCGCAAGCCCGTCTTGGCCCTCGCTTCGGTTGCTGGCCTCTCGGGGTCTCCGGAGCTCCGTCTCATCGGGATCGCGGCCCATTCGGAGCGGAACCCGCCCCTGGGCTGCAGAAAGCCAGATGGCAGGCAGTGGGCGGGGAGGCGATGCGGTCATGGAAGGGCAGTTGCAGTCTGCCTTCTCCTCCGTTCCTCCTTTACCTGTTGGGTTTTCACTTAGATCCTCCCTCGTTCTTTTTATGGGCCCAGAGTCAGGCCACTTCAGTGGACTTCCCTTAGACAGCTCACTTATTTTTGTTTCCATCTTGTATTTATCCATTCTCCAGGTTGCTCCTTGGACCACACGCACAAAATTCTTAAGAACCCAATTTCCATAGCACCAGATACATTAATTTTTCCCTCCTAATATACTCGACTTCCATTTCCCTGCAACAAAGTGGTTTCTACCATCCATTTTTCCTTCTTCCCATTCCCAACCCACCTTACAAGGTTGCTGTTGTGGAGAGACCAGACCAGAACACAACAGTTGGAAGGGACCTTGGAGGTCTTCTAGTGAAAACCCCAAGCCTCACTGACAGGAAATTTCTCCTTAATTTTAGGTTGGATTTCTCTTCGATAAACTTCCATCCAAATTAGGCCTGCCCTCAGATGCTTTGGAGAATAGGTTGACCCCCCCTCCTGTTTGTGGCAGCCCCTCAAATATTGGAACACCACTATCATGTCGTCCCTAGTCCTCCTTTTCAGAAAACTAGACATACCCAATTCCTGCAACCGTTCTTATAGGTTTTAGCCTCTAGCCTCCAGTCATCTTTTTTGCTCTTCTCTGCACTCCTTGTTCACTGCCTTGAGTTACTTTTAAAAATAAGGAAGGCAGGATACAAAAGGACAAAAGCAAATAAACTATTCCTTATAGAACACCATATATTACCACTAAGGTGTTTCTGTTACACCTTGTTCTTTGCCGCAGCTCTTTCAGATTCTCAGCCAGCAGCATTTGTGTGTACAGAAATCCATATACATTCATGACCCTAACCTCAAAGTGTGACCATAAATAGTATTTAATATTATTTAATATGTCCATAGTTCCGTGAAACATCGCACATCTTTTTTTCTTACTTCCTACTTAAGGCTGAAATGTGATAAGCATTTATTTTATTCTCAGTCATGTTTGATTTCCATCCCACATCACTCTTACTGCATTCAGTAGCCAACTATTAACTCCCTGGTCATATAAAACATTCCACAGTTCAACCCATTCACTATTAAATGCTTTTTCTAAATGAACAGATACATTATAAACATTCCTTCTTACAATCTTACATTTCTCAGTCACCTACCAAAATGCAGATCCCATGTCTGTCTGTCATTGTCCTGTCCGGTATGAAGCTAAACACTCCAACCTTTTCTCATCACTTTCCTAATGCACACATCATAAAGATGCAGTTTTGCATCCTCTCTTGCTGCCTTTGGTATTTCATATATTTACCACAGTTTATATACTACTCAATACAACAAGGCTCAAAGCAGTCTACAAAAGAAAAAAAATCACAACCTTAATACAAACAGCAAAACAAAGCAACATGGCCCCAGAGAAGAGCCACAGCATCCAGTCTGTAATAGGAAGGGCCCCTTGTTATCTCCCCATTCGAAGGTTCCCTGGAAAAATCAAGCCCTGATGCCTTTCCTGAAAACCAGCAAGATGGGAAACAGGAATGAGGAGAGCAGCTGAGAGGGCTCCTCTTCATCTTCTAGGATCCTGTAAGATCTAATTAACAAATGACATTCAAACTACAGTGGCCTTCCTGCTTTCTGAAGAATAAATCCTATTACATGGGATTTTTTTCTGAATATACATGTATATTTAATGATATTAAAATGAAGTATGTGCTTGAATGGTTTGTGCTGTAATTTATAGATAAATTTGCAAGCCATCACATTTACATATACACACACACACACTCTGAGAGCTTCAACATCAGCATTTCTTACCAGCAAACATCCCCAAAGCTGTTTGAAACAGGTCTGCAATCACTAACGTTTTCTTTTTAATTTCACTCTCTCACTCCCCTTATCATTCCCATTCAAATCTACTAATTTCACTTCAGCTTTATCCCAAACATCACTTAATTCTTAATTCCTTTTATTCATAGAGGCTCTTTGTTTAGCCTTTTTCATCCACTTCCAGAATAATTGTCAAATCACTCTGCATTTTCTGTGTCTCTTTTTATATTAACTCTTCCTCAGTCTTTTTTACCACAATTTTGTAGCTGTTTTTTTTAATATGCACATTATAGCCTCACCTAATACTGCAAAACGTGCTTGTTCAGGATGGTTTTCATATTAGATGAAGATATGGGAAAACACACCCTACTTTTAATGTTTTGGTTGACTTCTTTAATTTTCATCAAAATCTTCATTCAGTGTTTTCTCTTTCAAATCGGGAAGGGAAGAAGAGATATTCATTCCATGTTGTTTTTTTTGGGATTAATCTGCTGGAATGGAACTTGACTGCTGGGGAGAAACTACCGGTATATCCATCCAGTTCACTTCCTTGCATTAGGATCTAAATGCAGACCAGTTTCAACCCTGGTTAGCTTTTTGAGATCAGTTTTTTTTATTGCCTGAGTTTGGTTTCAAAGAGTAGTTTAAGCCATTTTCCTAACGTGACTATCATTGCTTGGCCAAGATTGTAACTCAGTGGAATTATATTAGAAGACTTCCCTAACATTACATATGGATTTGCTCAAGTTATTTCAAAGGGATTGTGGCAATAGATACAAAATATCATTCATGATTTTTTAAATAAAAAATGAAGAAAATAACTGTCATATAAAATGAGCTGAAAATCAATTGCTGCACTGTGTGACTAATTCTAATATTGTTGTTTGTTTTTTACTTTTTCTGGTTTTTATTTAGGTGTGACACACCGTTACGAAAATGTTAAAGCAGTGGAGGTAATGTTAGTTTCAAGATACAAGAAATAGGTTGTATTTCTGATACCGTAAATTTCTGAAATTGCTTCTGATCCACACAGAAATATGAATATTCTCTTTCTCACACCCAACCAAGCATGCATTCCCATTAGAGGCTGCATTTACCCATTGCACAAAGACATAGCTTGTTGATAGTAGCTTAGAAATCACAGCGCCTGGGTTTACACAATAGGTAAAACTAAACAAGCAATGTTACGGCTAAAATGATTCTACTCTAATAACTTTATGAGAGAAAGTGTGTGAAAGTCAAGATTATGTGATGGGGAACCTCCCTAGGAAGGTTGCAAACAACAAACCCAGGACCCCAGGACGCTGCAACCATCGTAAATACATGCCAGTTGCCAAGTACCCAAAGTTTAATCACATGACTGTGGGGACGCTGCAAGGGTCATAAGTGTGAGAACTGGTCGTAAGTCAGATTTTTCTCAGTGCAGTTGTAAATTTGAATGGTCATTAAACGAATGGTTGTAATTCAAGGACTACCTGTAATCCTTCTGAAATATGGAACATCAGGCGGCTGTCCCAGATGGTCTGGAGCAGAGGTCTCCAACCTTGAGAACTTTAAGGCTGGCGGACTTCAACTCCCAGAATTCCCCAGGCTTCAAGTTCCCAAGGTTGGAGTCCCCTGGTCTGGAGGCTAAGCGAGAGCTTGCTTGGATGCAGAGTGGATGCATTGCAGCTTTGTGACTGTCTCTCTTTCAAATCAAGCTAGAGCTGTGCTTACAAAAGTGGGCTGCATGAACCCCGTTGTTGTGTGGGAAGGAAATTATTAGAATATTAAACATATTTATCTGATGCTTTTAAAGCTCATATTTAATTTCTATTTTGGAGTTGTAATATACCTAATATATTAGTACTGTACCTCATTTAACGTATTTTTGAGACTATAAAATGCACCAATGTATAAGACGCACCAAGATTTGGAAGAGGTAAAGTAAGGAAAAAAAAGTTTTTGCCCTCCCCGGCCCCTAGCAGCACTCTGCAGGCCTCCCAAACCCTCTGTGCGCCCCGTTTTTGCAAAAACTGGGCCCATTTTTCACAAAAATGGGACAAGCGGGGCAGGGCTTCAGGAGGTCAAAAATGGCTGTATTCGGTGTATAAGTTGCACCAACATTTCCACCCTCTTTTGGGGGGGAAAACATGTGTCTTATACTCCGAAAAATACGGTATATGATTAATTGATAAACGTAAATTGGCAGTGCATGCTTAAAATAATTTTACTGATAAAGGTGTAGAATCCTTACAAGTTGGTTGGCCACTGTGCCGGAGAACTCTGAAACTGAGACGTTCCTTCCTGCCCAATTATGGATGGGTCTATGAAGAAAAAACCCCTCGTTTGATTGTCTGATTGTCTTGACACCTTGAAGTTGGTAGAGATTCAGTTTGTGAGGTAAGTGTTCAGAACTGTAATTGAGGTAAAGGCTTTTGGACCCTTAGTTTCAGGATTAAATATATTCTCCTGACAGTTTTTTAAAAAACAATTTAAGCATGCAACAAAAGATAAAAAGCTGATAGCCATAGTGAAATGATTCATTTTTTCCCCTCTTCAACAGATATCTGTGCAGCCAACTGCAGTTGAAGAGGTTATATCGGTAGGGAAAGACGCTGTTGAAGTCCAGCGTAAGAATTCTTTTTTTTTCTCCCCCATTATCTGTACAAAGTGACTTGATGCACAATCATTTTGAAGTCTTCTCAGAACAGCTTTCTGTTGTTGTCTCAACTGGCCTGCTGTCATTGCACAAGCTTTTTTGGTTCCTTCCTTTCAATCTTTGCACAAGTTAAGTTTATTATATGGTCATTATTCATGTTTAGTACATACACTTATTTTGTAATGTGTTATAATACACTGATCATTTATTAATCATGGATGCAAAACAAGCTGTGTGGGAAACTGGCTTATCAGCCTATGAAATGCTTTTCTTGTGAACTCCTTGATATGTTTGCTCCTGGCACTACCTCCACCCGCAGCCTGTGCCATGTTTTGCACCTATGGCTTTTCATACTAAAAGTCCGTGGAACGATTAAACATGGGGCTAGCTTGGTTCATGGTGTACTCAGCCACATACTGAGGAAAAGCACTGTGTTAACAGGCTTTGGGGATTTGTCAGGAAACAAAACTGGATGAGGGCAATATGGAGTCAAACTGCTGAGGACTATTTATGGAATCCTGGCAGGCTCTCAAGCCAAAGAAGAATAAGAGAAGAGGGGGGGGGGCTTTTGTTGGACTGGGGAGTTGCCACATCAGGACGTGAATCTTTTGGAAAGGAGAATAAGCCAGGCCTCTCAAGTTAGAATCATAGAATCTTTGGGGCCATCACATTTGGCATATGCACCAACCACTGCCAGCCATACTTGCCCGCTTTCCTTTCCCTGGTCCATGCCGATCTTTCCTGTCTTTTAAGAAATGAAAGATACTTTTCTGCCATTCCCTCTGCCCATCATCCATTTCTGCTGCTGACATCCAGCGTTTCTGCCTCAAGTTATTTTGCAGGTCAGTCTAAAAAGAAGAAAAATGACATAATAGAGTTGGAAGGGACCTTGGAGGTCTTCTAGTCCAAATCCCTGCTCAAGCAGGAGATCCTATACCATTCTGGACAAATGGCTATCCAATCTCTTCTTGAAAAGTTCCAATAATGGACCACCCACAACTTCTAAAGGCTGATTAATTCCTCTGATTAATTGTTCTCACTGTCAGGAAATTTCTTCTTATTTTTAGAGTTGGTTCCCTTCTTGATTAGTATCTATCTATTGCTTCTTGTCCAGCCCTCAGGTGCTTTGGAGACTAGGTCAACCACCTCTTCTCTGTGATAGCCTCTCAAGTATTAGAAGACTGCTATCATGACACCCCTAGTCCTTCTCTTTATTAGGCATTAGACATACCTAATTCCCACAACCATTCATCATATGCTTTAGCCTCTAGCCATATTCATCTTTGTTGCTCTTCTCTGCATTCTTTCTAGGGTCTCAACATCTTTTTTGTATCATGATGACCAGAACGGGAGTATTCCAAGTGTGGTCTCACCAGTGCAGTATTAAAAAGTGCAGTAACTTCCTATGAATGTTAGTATATAAATATCTGAGACCTTTTTGATTGACCCTGCATTTGCTTCCTTCATGTCCTGCTTTATATTTGAGATCCTCTTCATTCTTACCACTTGGTTGATCGCCTTGAGATTTATGCTTGGAATTGGGTCATAAAAATTGGTCTCCTTCTCCATCAGTTTTAATTTAAAGCTCTTTGGATAAGCTGAGCCAGTTGTTTTCCAAAAATATTCTTCCCTGTTCTTTTGAGGTGTAGGCCACCACCCACCCCCGCCAGAAGCCCTTCATGTAGTTATTATGGACTGTGGTTTAGGAATCCAAAGTTCTCTTGATGGCACCATCCTTTAAGGCAGTGGTTTACTTCAAAAATTCTCTGTTCTGTCATTGAATGTTTACGTTCGTTGGGAGCACAGATGAAGACACCTGTGTTTCCCATCTCTTTGGCCTTCATGCTTAGCATAGTCTCTTGATATTTTTTTCAGGCTCTTTGTTATACCATTCATTCTCACATGAAAGAGGACAAAGGGATAATAATCTGTGGACAATTATTTTAGTACACCTCTCAATTACATCTTTGATCTTTGCTTCTGGGAGACAACATACTTCTCCAGATAGATTGTCTGGTCTACAAAACTCTGATTTAGTTCCCCTGAATACTGAATCTCTGATCACCAACAGACATCTTTTTTTTTTTCTTGAGGAAGTCTAGTCTACTTTTTTCCTGTCATTGGTACCCCTGATGATGTCCTTTCTCCGGAAGTCTGTGTACTTTCCTGAAATTGATCGTTTATCTCCAGCAGGGCTGGACTGGATTGCATGGACAGTGTTCTTTATTTTTTGAGAGCACGGGGTCCTTCTGGCAGCAGAATATACAAGCCATAAAAACATAACAGAATTCAAATAATTTCATCTGAATTTAAACTAGGAATGGTTATTAATGAAACACTGAGTTGTTTCAAATTGTGATATGTAGCAGTGCAGACATGTTCATAAAAGCTGTTTCTTTTACAGAAGACAAAAAAGTAAACAAGGTATACATTTAATGATTTTATTTACTGCTTTACAGAACTTTCCAACACAGGTGAAATTGCAGCAAAAAAGGAAGAGCAAACTTTGAATGATCTTGTGAATCTTTTGCAAGATGTGGTAAAAAATATCCCCACCGGACTTGTATTGTCAACTGAACAACCTCCAACTTTTTGGACACCCGAAATAGTAACTTCTCCATCTGTAGCAGTAGACACTGTTTGGGTGAATGTGAACCCCCAAAGTAGTGACAAGTCCAGAACAATTGCCTTGATGAAAAAGGATACTCCAACTACAACGGCCTTTTGGAAACTCAGAAATGACGCATCTGCATCTGTTATCCTGCATTCCGATACAAGTCCCTCAGAAAATCTCCCCAGTGAGACAAGTGAGTCTGTTATTCTGATTTCTGAAGAGCCAAGTCCAGGAAACACCTTGGGCACCATTTCAGTTCAGTTGGAAAAAGAAGCAACTCCTAAGAAAGAAGGTAAGAGTTTTGATCAGTTAACCAATGGAGCCTTGGCTAGTCTAGTGGAATCTCTAAGGAATGTACAAAAGTTACATATGCCGCTAGACAATAATAAACCACAGCAGAAAAGCCATCCACTGATGTTGGCTCATCATAAGCCTAGAGGTTTAGACATCTTAGAAGCAATTGATACACTAATTAAAACCATTAAGAATGCACCACCCTCTGTTAAAGAAGACCCAGATCTTCATGAGTATGTTGAGGAAGCAGAGGGTTACTTAAAAAATGCTCTGGAATTAGCAGGGGAGGCAGAGAGGAAGCTGTTGCAGAAGAAAGAACAGCAGATGAAACTTGACATTGAGCTTCTTAATCCCCCATCAACAGCTCCACCTATAACAGAAATGAAGTTGGACATAGAGTTGCCTTCCTCCCTCTCATCAGAAGCATCTGAGGCAGAAATAAAGCTGGATATAGAGATCACTCCTTCCCCGTCAACAGTTCCACCCGTCACACAGGTGGAGATAGACATATCTCCTTCCCCATCAACAACTGCTTCTGCATCGGAAGTGGACATCATTTTGCCTCCATCTGAGTCTCTGGAAAAGAAAGCAGAAGCCACGGAAAAAGAAATGGGGAAATTAAAAGCATTTATTAATTTATTATATGGCTTTAGTCCTGAATTAACTGAATATGCAGAGAATTCACCACATAAAAAGATGGCTCAGGATATTGTTGAAAGATCAATGGAAGTCCTTGAGGCCATAAAGAGTGTTTTTTGCGGAAATCCTAAAAAGCAAAGTAAACAGATTTTGAAGCATTTGTTACAGAAAGACATGGAGCTTGTAAGACAAGCCATGAAGGAAAAAAGAACCTCTTAAGATACGTTCACTCCTTGGTACTGTAGGTTTTTATGAGCAATCAAGAGGTCTGGTTTCTTAATTGTAACAGCAATTGAAATACACCTGTAGCCACTTTCATGCCCGAAATTAAATGTTTGTTTTTAAATATTTTTGTTTTCATTTTTTCTTTGAATTGATATCTATTATTAAAGATTGAGAAACAAAGAATTAATTTAACAGTTCTATGTTAAAGATCATTTCAGAAAATCCTGTTCTTGTCGTTGGATTAGCTGAATGGTTATTCATAGTTCTTGCTGTTCTACACTTTTCTTACTGAATTCTTACCTGGATGAATGACGTAAGAATAGTGTCTAGGAAGTTGGCAGGTGCTTCTGGGATTGATGGTTATTCATTGTTGTTTGTTCTCAGGAAAGGAACCCAGAAGACTATTTGTGGACAGCTATGTTGCTGATAGCATCATTAATCCATATTTGATAGGGTTAAAAAAATCTTGTTCATCGGATATGTGTTAAACCAGGGGTGTCAAACTCAAGGCCCATGGGCTGAATTTGGCCCACAGGGGGCTTAGGTCTGGCCTGCGGGGCTGCCCTGGAAACAGCGAAGGACAGGGCCCCGGTGCTTCTGCCAGCAAAAACGGGCTCCCAAGCTCCATTTTCGGTTACCATGGCTTCCTGCAACCCTCTGCCAGTGAAAACGGAGCTCAGGAGGGCTGCACGCGAGCTGCTTCCGAGCTCCGTTTTCACTGGCGGAGGGTTGCAGGAAGCCATTGCAGCCAAAAATGGAACTGGGAAGCCCATTTTCACAGGTAGAGCACTCAGGCCACCACAGGCACTCCTGACACAAGTGATTTTGAGCTGGTCACGCCCGCCCTGGCCATGGCCTCCCCGGCCCCCCTGAGGTCAAACACCACCTGATGCAACCCTCAATGAAATCAAGTTTGACACCCCTGTGTTAAACATATTTGGAAGCCTAAACAGATAGAAATAAAGTGTGAAATGTACCTTTTAAGACAATAAAATTCAAGATGAATAATGTAATCCCAGGGAAAGAGTCTATGGAAACGTTATTTGAAATGTTAAAAAGATTTATGCTCATGTAGAACACAAATTATTTTTGATCCTTTTGCTGTGTTACTCAGTTCAGTGAATTAGTGAAGAACAAATCAATTGAACAAGCAAACAAGCTTTGTTTTTCGATTGAAAAGTGTTATCTGAAGTAATTATGTTTTGGCCTCTCCTGAGTTGCTTTTGCATTTAGCTAGTCAGCAGCATCTGTTACAGGAGTGGGGCATAAATGTAAGCAAGCCTCTCTTAGACAGATGGGGGAGCGTGGCTGGCTACTGCAGAGCAGGTATTGAACGCTACATGGCGATATTTAGCTAGTCAGCAGCACCTGTTACAGGAGTGGGGCATAAATTTAAGCAAGCCTCAGTGTTCATCGTGTTCAGTGTACATCATGTCTTTTTATATGTGTCAAAAAGAAGTTCTATAAATTATTTTGGGAAGGTTTCAAGGAGTTAGACAACGAAGCCTCTGGCACGGAAATTTCAGGTAATCCATTCCTATCTTTTGCAATGCATTTTGCGTCTGAATTATTCAGACTCATTTATTTTAAGTCTTTTTCTTCAGAATAAATATAATTTGAGTCTCATGGATTCAGCTGAGAGGAGTGAGAGAAAACTGCATACAGCCTTTGGGGAGGAAGATTTAATTCAGTGAGTTGAGCAAAATTCAAAACCGCCTATTATTTGGGCATTTTCCATGAGAAGAAAAATGGAGCATATTAATTTTGTGAAAGATTATGTTATTACTTGACCTTGTGAGAAGATTTTCACATTAGCTAAATGATCAAAATGCTTAAATAATTAAGTTTTTAAGAAAAAAATCAGTATCTTCTTTCTTTGATAACAGGGGCCTTTTTTCAAACTACATAGATGTAAGGCAATTGATTTTGCATGTGGAAAATGATCATCTTTGTAATATTTTTCATTGCACAAAATGCCTCCTTCTCCAAGTTGCTGCAGCTTTCAGCATGGAATGCTTTGAACCTGAGCTCTGTGCAGTGACTTCCCGGTTTGTCATCCCACAGTATTTGGCTTCCCTAATCTGGAGAAGTCTGGACCTGGTGTCTACTGGGCTGGGTTAGATTTTTCAAAATGCACATCAGATCACGGGGGCACAAAACAAAGCAAATTGAAGTGGGAAATCACCCATTTTTCACACATCCATTGCAAAATTTTATTTTGAGTTTGTTATTTTACAAGTAGAATTTGTCCAGAAAGGGGAGGAGAATTCTTGTGCTCTCTTTCTGAGAGCTAGAAAATATGGATATTACAGCTCTGAAGTTGTACTACTTTAAGTAGCACACAATCCTCTCACCATTAGGAATGAATTCATGGAGGGAATGTGGCAGTTAGAATATTCCCTACTCACAGACAGAATCTAATCTAGTCTCAAGATAATGCTATAAAAATGGCAATAAGATGAAAATATATAAATAAGAATAGCATCATCTAGCTGTAAATTACACAGCAAGTACCAAGAGATAAAATGTTAACCAAATTGACTGAAATAAACAACAACAACAAAGAAAAATGCTTCCTCTAATCTGACAATTACAGTGTCAAATGCAAACTCTGTCTATAAGATTCTCAGCTGGGGCAACAAACAGTATGAAGATTTTAGTCACTGTTACCATTATTTATTGAAATAAGACGCCTTATTAAATTCACATTTGTGAGTGACCTTTGTGAAGTTCTGTCGGGGTGATCTCTGTATGCTTCTGCCGTGGTTCCCAAACTGACTGAGCCAAAGGTGTGATGCTGTTGCAAAAACAAACAACAAAAAGGCAGATGCTAGTAATACGGTGTCAAGATCAAGAGACATGGTCATTCTTCTTTATTCTCCCTTTGGTCATTCCAGCCCCAACACTAGAATACTCTGCTCTCTTGCTCTCTCCACTCTATTATGGTTAACATTTCCAAAATTTGCCAATTGAATCACGGGATTGGACAGACGCTTCCCATGAATTAGAATAGAATAGAATAGAATAGAATAGAATAGAATAGAATAGAAGTGTGATTGGACACACAAGGAATTTGTCTTTGGTGTATATGCTCTCAGTGTACATAAGGAGAATAAAATACATTCAACAAGAATAAAAAGCTACAACACTTAGTGATAGTCAAGGTTACTAATAAGCTATCAAATCGTACTAGGAAACAAATAGAAACAATATAAATTGAAAGATACAAGCAACATGGTTAGAGTAATAAGTGGGAAGAGATAGCTACTAGTAAGGAAGCGAAGAATAATAGTAATACAGTCTTAGTAAATTATTTGACAGTGTTGTGGGAATCAATTGTTAAGCAGAATGATGGCGTTCAGGAAAAAACTGTCCTCTCTAGTTGGTCTGATGTGCAGTGCTCTATAGCGTCTTTTTGAGGGTAGGAGTTGAAACAGTTTACAGTATGTCCAGGATGCGAGGGGTCTGTAGATATTTTCACAGCCCTTTTTTTGACTCGTGCAGTATACAGATCCTCAATGGAAGGCAGGTTGGTAGCCATTGTTTTTTCTGCAGTTCTATTATGAATTATGTACTACATTATATACTACAGTAATTTCTTACGGTTGTTACAAGCCAAAAGACCAAGCTGGAAAGTCCTGACATTCTCACAGGATTTGCCCCTTAGGTTTCATGCAGTGTTGACTTATTGGTATTGTCTATGTCATCTTACTCTCTGCATCCTCGGTTTATCTCTTGAGGAAGGTATGTATATGCGTGTCTGTAGAATAACTCTTACTTTATAGAATATTAACACTTGGAGAATCACAAGCAGGAATGTCCTGAGGGGAGGTGTGAAAAATACCAAGAGGGTTGCCAGTTTTGCAGTCAAAGTCCCATATGGAGGTAAGGGTTGAGTTGCATGGTCACAGCTGCCACCCTGACTTCACATCCCTGGAAAAGAATGATGAAGCTCAACCCTCTGGCAGCTGCAATTGTTTCATCTGCCACCTACACACATGTCATCTACGGTCTTACATGAAAAGGAGCAAACAAAAGATCTTAGAAGGTAATTCAATTAAATGGCCCAGAGCCATAAAGCTGCTACTGTCAGTTAACTTATCTAGTAGTCAAAGCAGCTCAAATTTAAGTGGGGTGGGGAAGATGCATGGAGAAAACAGTAAGAGTTAGATTTAAGAAACCTGAGACCTGCATTTCCCTGGGTGGTGTTTTTATTGCTATGATTTTCTTTCTTTTTTTCTTCCAATGTTAATGTTTTAATACTCTCATAAGCCACCAAGCACTGCCTGATGAGTGGACATTAAATCAATGCATTAAATAATAGCTTTGAAAGACAATCTCAGGATCCAGAATGCCTGCTATGAGAAAAGGTATTGAAGGATCTGAAAATTCCACAGCATCCATAAAGAAGAGATGCCAACAAGACGACCAAGAATAGCCTTAAATATTTGCAGCACTTCCTTCAGTTTGCAGACTTTTGCCAAAGGTAGCCCAATATGGAACATACTGCAGGAATCCCATGGAGGGTAATCCAGAGAGAACCTGAGGCCAGCAGCTACTTGCATTCTATATTATATATAGAATATATAGAACTATTTCTATAGTTGCCCATCCCAATAAATGATTTTGGGTGGCTTATAATTTTAAAAAATTACTACAATTAAATCAATAAAAACATTAAATAAAAAATAAATAAACTTCCAAAATAAATATACCAAGAAGGTGCCAAGATACTAGGCCAGTTAACAATAAAACCAGGAAATGGGCCCTTAATACATTCAGCATCCCAGGCTCAAGGATGCAGCCAGTTTGTAACCTATTCAGATAGTGCCTCTAATTTTGTCTGGACTGTTTCTAGTTACTGAAACAGGGCCAGCTAGCCATTTTGGCACCTGGGTCAAAGTCTGGCACCCTACAGCTTTGGCCCATCTTCCAGATTGGTTAGAAATTTCAAAAAGATGGCCTCTTGTTTCTTTTTTCCTTCGAGTTTTTGAGTTATACACATGATTTATAGCCCCAGACATTGTTCTTTCTTTTTTTGGACCTTGCCCTATTTTAAGTGCAAAATTAAATATGACTTTTGAATGGGTAGGCTGGCTCACACAATACACCATTATTGCTTTTTTCTGTGTTTTTCTGAAGTCTTCCATTTTAGTGTCCTCTAAAATTTGCCACTCCTGACTAGTGCCTATGTCAACTCGTAAAGCCTACTCAGCCTTCTTTTGGAGCTGGAGCTGGCCTCGTCCAGTTCCAGTAAAAATGAAAAGCAGATGTGAGCATCCACTGTCTCTTGATGAACCTCAGAATGGCTCCTCTGCACTAAGCAACCACTCGAGTTTTAGTCTGAATCCAGAATCTGCCTGGAAGCTCAGTCCCGACTGAATTTTTTATCTCCTTTATATTCATATCTTTATTCATTGCAGTACAGTCCAATACAGTGTTCCTCAACCTTGGCCACTTGAAAATGTATGGACCTCAATTTCCAAAAATTGAATTCTTATTGCAGAATAAGAGTGACTAAATTAGTTGACCTGTGAAATGTTGCCAGTGTAACATACCTGGACTTCATTCAATAAGGCATTTGACAAAGTAGACCACAGTCTACTTCTTGAAAAGATAGAAACGTGGGATGGACAGCATCACCACCAAATGGATTCATAACTGGCTGACAAACCACACTCGATGTGTAGTCCTCAAGAGAACTATAGTACATCTACTGAAGTGGGGTACCCCAAGCTCTTCTTAGGCCCAGTACTCTTCAAAATCTTTATAAACAATTTAGATGAGATAAAAGGGGAACTCATCAAATTTTCAGATGATACCAAGTTGAGAGGAATAGCTGACACTTTAGAAGATAGGCTCAAAAGCCAGAAAGATCTTGATTAATTTGAACACTGGACCCTAGCCAACTAAATGTAATTCAGTGGTGAGAAAAATATGGTCTTAAACTTGGATAGAAAGACCAAATACACAAGAATAACATGGGTGGCTCAACAGTAATCAAGGAGTCCTAGTAGACAATCACCTAAGTATGAGCCAGTAGTATGCTGTAGCTGCTAAAAATGGCAATTAAATCCTGGGCTCCACCAACAGAGAAATAGCATCAAGATCATGAGAACTATGGTATTAATAGTGCTATATACTTCTTTGGTAAGACCACACTTGGAATACGGCATCCAGTTCTGGTCACCAGGGTAGAAAAAGATGTTGAGACTCTAGAAAGATTGCAGAGAAGAGCAGCAAAAATGATTAGGGGTCTGGAGGCTAACACATATGAAAGGTTGCAGGAACTGGTCTGGTCTAGCAAAGAGAAGGACTAGGTGACATGATAGCAGTCATCTATTTGAGGGCTGTCACAGAAAGGAAGCAGTCAACCTATTCTTCAAATCATCTGAGGACAGGACAAGAAGTGACAGATAAAAACTTATGAAAGAGAAATTCAACCTAGAACTAAAGAGAAATTTCCTGACAGTGAGAACAATTAGTCAGTGGAACAGCTTCAGAAGTTGTGGGTGGTCCATCACTGGAAGATTTTAAGAAGAGATTCGACAGCAATTTGTCCAGAATGGTTTAGGGTCTCCTGCTTGAGCAGGGGATTGGACGAGATACAGGGGTCTGCAACCTTAAATATTCAAAGAGCCATCTGGACCCCTTTCCTACAGAAAAGAAATCACCAGGAGCCACAAAACCTGGGTGGGCGTGGCCAGCTCAATGTCACTCACTCCCACCCAGTCACATGACACACACACAGCCAGCCACGCTTATCCAGGTTTTGTGGCTCCTGGTGTTTTTTTTTTTCTGTGGGAAACAGGTACCATCTCTCTCTCTCTCTTTCTCTCTCTCTCTTTCTCTCTCTCTCTGTCTTGTGTGTGTGTGTGTGTGTGTGTTCCCTCTTGAACCATTTCCCAAAACAGGCGAGGGTTGGTGTTTTTTGTTGTTTTTTTTTTTTTTGATGATATTGTTCTTTCTTCTTCTTTGGGTGCTTTTTACTATATTTAAATCAAGAGTCATTTCAGGTTCCCAGATAGATGAAGCTCTTTCCTTCCCCTGCTGGGGCTCCCTGTCAGCTGAACCCACCACTGGCTGGCCACACCCCTCGCCCTCCCCTCCCAGTCACTCCTCGCCTGGCCTGAGAAGGTAATGGTGACGGCAGGCGATGGAGACTTGCTCCATATTCCAGAGCAGGAGCAAAGCACCCCTGTACTTGCCATATCTCACAGGCACTTCTTCCGACCTTTGTTGGTGCTGCGCGCACTGTGGTCACTTAGAGAGATGCATGACTCGCTCTCTGCCCCAAGACACTGGCTCGTCCTGGCTGCGGCCGACGCCACTGCTGTTGCTACCTCCATAGCCTGCCCGCTGCTCTCACAGTGCCTTGCGCAGTACAATTAAATTTAATGCGCTTCACAATGGGGGAGACTGTCCCTTCCTCCTCCTGGAGCCCATTACAATGCAGAGCGTCGGCCGTAGCCGGGCTGGGCCATTGTCTCGAGGTGGAGAGCAAGTCACGCATCTCCCTGAGTGACCAAAGTGCACGCAGCACCAACAAGGGTCGGAAGAAGTGCCTGCGAGATATGGCATGAACAGGGGTGCTTCGCTCCTGCTTTGGAATATGGAGTGAGTCTCCATCCCCCGCTGTTGCCCTTACCTTCTCAGGCCAGGCAAGGAGTGACTGGGAGGGGGGGGAGGGGAGGGGCCAGCCAGTGGTGGGTTCAGCGGACAGCGAGCCACAGCAGGGGGACGAAAGAGCCGCATGCGGCTCCGGAGCCGCAGGTTGCAGACATCCAGACTAGAAGATCTCCAAGGTCCATTTCAACTCTGTTATTTTGTTATCTATCTTGTAGGATTAACCACCATGAACCTGGATGACAACACAAAATGGCTCATGTGGGTAGCCAAGCAGTTTGAGAATATTGCTGGTGACAATAAAGAAATCAGCTTGGAACAATTCAAAACTGCACTTAAAGTGAAGGAGGCAAGTTGTGTCTGACTGAGCTGTGAGGGTGACAGAGCCGTAACTCAGAATGACCACCGTTGCAAGCAAAAAGTACAGAGATGCTTTATTTCCTCTCTTCCTTGATAGAATTGAAGAATTGATCCATGCATTTCATATGCTACTTAATGTCGAGAAACCTGACAAAGAAGCAGAAAGGCGGGGGGGGGGGGGGGGGGCAGAGATTTTTTTAAAAAAATATTTATTTATTTGATTGTTTGTTCATTATTTCAATTTATATAGCTGCCTATCTCACTTATGTGATTTTGAGCAGTTCCCAAGTTAAAACAATTATGATGCCTATATTAAAACATTGAAATAATTAAAACAATTAACCAAAAACATAAAAATGTGGAGAAGTGCCAATTTATAATTCACAGAAAATGCAACCGTCTTGCAAAGTCTCCATCAATCTTACCAAGAAACCATAGAGCAGGAAGTCAAGAGAGTTGAGGAACACTCTGGATGAGCCTTTTTGCTGGATAGCAGGGGTTGAGAACATGAGGCGGGTTTTTTCATCTTGATTTGGACTCTACACAAGCATTTCCTGTGAGTCTCTCATTTAATACAAGACAACCTGGTCACAGGTGGGCTCACTGTTTCAGAGAAGTTTCCTCACCAGATTCCTCAATGCCTTCAATAAAGGCAGAACTTCTAATGTACTGAAAAAAATTCTTTGAAATTCAGGGAGATATTCAGAGATGTATCTGCCTTGAAAGGAGCCTATGTTGAACTGTACAGAACAGTCAAACACCAGCAGCGAGCCACAGGAATCATTTTATGACATTTTGTATTATGTCATAAAATTCTTTGACAATTTTTTGTCATAAAATGTTTTATGAAATTTACTAAATTTCAATTCCACAGAAGTCATGGGTCCTAGATTTTGGATGCGCTTTGTCCCTTAGCCTGTTTGTTCAAAATGTTTTGCCCTATGCTGTCCTGTTTCAGCCACTTACAGAGAGAAGAGTTTTATGCGTGTATAGATATAGATGCTTGACTAATACAACTGCCTTCCTCATTTGTTTGCACTCTCAGACTAGAGAGCTATAGTTGTTAATTTGCCTGGAACTTATACTACAAGCCTCAAAAAAGCACCTTAAAGGCAACTGGACTGTTTTTCCTTGAGGAAGAAGAAGAAGAAAACATTTCGCTTATCATCCAAGAAACTTCATTAATTCTGATGGTGGGGAGGGGGGTGGAAGGATAGGTTCTGACCAGATGGTGAGGGAGGGAGATTGGAAGGAATCCATCCATGTTGGAATTGAACACCCCTCCCTCAACAGAGGGGGAGGGATAAGATACCACCTATCTCCAGTTTACAACACAGTCCATGCAGCTGTTCCAAGAAGATTCCACAACCGATTGCATCCTGATTCAGGTGACCCTGGCAGCACAGATAAACCCTCAAATGGCCTCAAAAGTTCTCAGAGAGAGCAAATGATCAGAGACTGCAAAGAAATATGATCCTTTGAGTACCACCACCACCACCACTCCACACACACACACACACATACACACAACATTTGGAATCAATTCTAATAAAGGAGAATATTTGTAGCTCAGGGTTGACATGAGGTGCCCCTGTTGCTCTCTGAGATTGGTTGTTTTCTTGCAGACGTTTCATTGCCCAAACTAAGTAACACCTTCAGTGCGAGGAAGGAGCACTGTTTCTGTTGCGTAATTTTAAGGATCAGACTCAATAAATGATTCAAGAACGAAGTATTCAAATATGACACTATTTATTTACAGTAGGCATTCTATATTCTCTGAATGATTGTAGATAGAAGCAAGTGGGAGGTTCATACGTTCCCTTTTATATTAGAGAGGCGGAGTAATAGATGGGAGTGGTTACATATGAATACATTAAGAAGGAAATATAAATTAACCCCTGATATTCTGTGAATATACATTTTCCTTATTTGAGAATAAGGCATTTACTTGTAACAAATCCCCCTCTAAATGCCGATTCGATATACAACAATAATTACATTCAGATTCAAAGCAATATAAAACTTGTAGTTTAGAAGTTAAATATTTGTGTTGTTTAGATGGCAAAGGCTTAGTTAGTATATCAGCTATTTGTTCTAATGTTTCGCAGTGAATGGCTTTAATAAATCCATCTTGAGATAATTGTCTTACGTGTTTGAATTTGATATCTATATGTCTGGATCTTTGACCAATAGCATCAGATCTAGATATCTCAATAGCAGCTTTATTATCTTCATGTATGATAAATGGTAATGAAGGATTTTTCCAAATATCTGATAATAAATCATTAAACCACACAAGATTGTTGGAGGCTTTAGACAAACAAACATATTCTACCTCAGTTGTTGATGTGGCTACTAAATCTTGTTTTCCAGTATACCAGTAGACTGGACAATCGTTAAGAAAAAATATATAACCTGATGTGCTTTTTCTGCATTTAGTATCACCTGCCCAATCCGCATCAGCGTAACAAGTGAGGATAGGCTCTTTAACATTATTAGGTTCCAGTAGTAGGCAGAAGTCTAAGCTGTGCTTTAAGTACCTTAATATTCGTTTAACGGCTTCCCAATGATACATTAAGGGTTTGCTAACATACCTGGATAACAGATTGAGGGGTAAAGCAATATCAGGTCTAGTCCAATTAGAAATATACAAAAGGGAACCAATAACTGATCTGTAAAGCGTATTATCTTTAAATTCAGGGGATGATTCATCCATGTTTCTTAAGAAATCTGTTTGCATAGGAGTATCACAAGTCTTAGCATCATTTAAATTACATTTGTTCAGAAGTTCTATAATTTTGTCTTTCTGAGAAAGTTTAAATCCTTTTTTGGTTTTACTAATTTGAACTCCAAGATATTTATTTACCTTTCCCAATGATTTTAAAGAAAAATGTTCATTTAGTTTTGATACAAATGTATCTCTTTTCTCTTTGTGTTTGCCAATATATAAAATATCATCCACATAAATTAACACAAATTCTAGAGAGTCACCTTCTTTTTTAACAAAGAAACAGTTGTCTGCAGTTGTGGCATTGAAATTCATAGTTTTGAGTACGTTGACTAAACATTCATACCAACGTTTGCCAGATTGCTTTAATCCGTACAAACTTTTATTCAATAACCAAGTTTCATTTTTGTTTGTGTATTGGCTATGAGGTGCTCTTACATATATCTCTTTATCAAGCTTTGCGTGTAAATACGCAGTCTGTATGTCATATTGAAATACATCAAGATTAAGTGCAGATGCTATAACTAAAGCTGTCTTAACACTCTCAGTCCTTACTGTGGGAGAGTATGTATCTGTGTAATCCTCAGGATATTTTTGAGCATAACCTTGTGCAACTAATCTAGCTTTATATAATGTGTTGCCTTCTTCCAGATTTTTAATTTTGAATATCCACCTGGTGCCTATAATAGTTTTGTCCTTAGGTGCAGGGGTAGGTGTAAATACACTTAATTCTCGCAAACTGTCCATTTCTTTGGCCATGGCTAATTCCCATTTTTTTCTTTCTTCAATGGGAAGTTTCAATACTTCCTCGTATGTGTTTGGTGTTGATGTTTCATTATTCATGTACATTATGTAATCCTTGTATTTACTTGGCACCTGATTTCTGTTACATCTGATTGTTTTTTCAGGTTTGCTGTCATTATCGTGTAGGTATCTTGCCTCCTTTTTTGTTAATGAATCTGTTTTTATTCTGAGATGACTATTTATCCATGTTTTATTTTTGTTACCATGTGTGTTGTGATTGAGTTCTTCTCTATCTATTTTATCTTGATGCTCAGTGTCTAAATTTGTGGTTGGGAATATCTCATTAAGATGTATTTTAGACCAATTGGCCTGTTCATGAAATACAGCTGTTCTAGAAATTATGAATTTGTTGTTATTATCAATAAATCTGTACTCTTTTGTGCCTGTTTCGTATCCCATGAATCTAAGTCTTCTGGATACGTTCTCTCCTTTACGCCTCAATTGTTTTGGTATGTGTACATCCGCTGTGACTCCAAATATGTGCATGTGTGTTATTTTGGGTTTTCTATTATACATTAATTCGTATGGTGTTTTGTTTATGATGCTGGACCAAGTTCTGTTTTGAGTATAATTGGAATATAGTAATGCTTCTGACCAGAATTGTTTTTCTAAGCCAGCATCTTCTAATGTACACCTAATCATGGTTTGTAGTGTCGAGTTCTTTCTCTCTACCACTCCATTTTGGAATGCAGAGAAAGGGCTAGATGTGAAGTGTAGCATTCCTTTGTTTTTTAGCCATTGGGAGAATTCTTTTGACATGAATTCAGACCCCCTATCTGTCATGATTTGTTTTATTTTAATATTATGCTGTGTTTCTACATGTTTGTAAAACTCTTTAAATTTTTGAAATGTTTCATCTTTGTGTTTCAAAGTATAGACAAATCCGTAACGACTATAGTCATCTACAATAGTCAGAAAGTATCGTTTTCTATATGTGATTGATGGGGTTAATGGACCAACCAGATCCATATGTACCAGATCAAAAATTTGATTAGTTGATCTTGTTGCCTTTTTTGGCTTGGGATTAGTTCTGAGTTTTGTGGACTTACATTTATTTATTTATTTATTTATTTATTTATTATATTTCTATACCGCCTTTCTCCCGTAGGACTCAAGGCGGTGTACAGTCAAGAAAAATATAGACACACAAACATCATAAAATTGCTAATTAAAATTATTACTTAGTTTGGTCAATTAAATAAAACCTAGAATTAGATAACATTTTAAAAAAATCATTCACATGTTCGTATGTTTAGCCCTGCCTGTTGGAACATCAGGGTCTTGAGGGCACGGCGGAAAGCACGGAGATCAGGGATATTCCGTATCTCCGGGGGCAGTTCATTCCAAAGGGTTGGAGCCCCCACAGAGAAGGCCCTTCCCCTGGGAGTCGCCAGTCGACATAATTTGACTGACGGTACCGAGTAGTCCCTCCCTGTGAGAACGAACTGGTCGGTGGGATGCTATTGGTGGCAAAAGACGGTCTTGTAGGTACCCAGGTACATACTGAGCATTCCAAATAATTTTTACAATTTTTTATTTTAACACCTTCAGCATGTTCAATCATTTTTTGTACTACAGGAAAACTAGCATGTCCCAATTTTCTATGTAATATATGTGCACATTCATCGTGGATTGGTTTTCCAATTGTAGGTTTTTTGTTATTGAGTGTGTCATTAATAGATGTGTCTTTGTGGTTATGTTTTGTTTCATGTTCCTCATTATCACTATTGCTATTGTTTTCATTTTCTATGTTAGTGTCATCTTCCATGTTTGAATCAATGTTGTGTAGCCATTTTTCTTTTATGACCAAATATGGTAGACCTCCTTTGATAACCACACTACCCAAACTTGTTTTGTTTTTCTCTAGTGTTGCTTTTCCTTTTGAGAATACTATATTTATGTCAGAATCTCTACTTAGTTTTATTGCACTAAGTATGTTATGAGGTATTTCTGGTATTAATATTACCCCCTCTATTTTCCCTAGACCGGGTAAGTTTACATTTCCCCTACCAATAACTTGGACTTTTTCTTGATTGGCTACCTTAATTACAAATTTATCTTCTATAAAGGAAGATAATATATTTTTGTTATGTGTTGTGTGATTAGTTGCCCCAGAATCAATGAGCCAATCATTATCCTCTGAATGTTGTATGTTAGTTATATTATGTTTATCTAATCCATTTAATGATCCAGACTTTCTATCTCTCGAATTATCTTTGCCCCCTCTATGCTCTCTAAAATTAGGTGAGTTTCTATATCTATGTCTATCAATGGACGATTGTCTGTTATGATATCTGCTTTTATAGTCATGTTTTTGTCTTTCTTTAAGAAATTTAGGACAATCTCTTCTACAATGTTCTTTGGATCCACTATTATAACATTCAATTGATTCTCGATATTTTTCTTGAAATACTACTCTCTTACTTTGTCTATGTTCTATGTGAGTATTACAGCGGTTCCTTCTTAAATTATCTTCAGCTATTAGCTTATTTGATAAATTCTCTATGGACAAGTATCCCAAATTAATTGTATCTAAATGTGATATGTAGTTATCCCACGATGGGTCTAATGAATTAATGATAACACTTTTCATTGTTTGATCTGAAATTATCTCTCCCCTTAAATGTAGCTCTGCTCTGATTTTGTTTAGAGATATCAAATGTTCACTTATAGTAATCCCAGGTTTTATCCTAGCTGAGAAGAAATCTTTAGACATTCTTGTAGTGGTTGCTACACTTTCACTATGAAACAATTTAAACATGCAGTGAATAATTTCTGAGACAGTCAAGTTATGCTTAATACTATGGTACATAGCAGGAGATATACTAGATATTAATAGGTAGAATGCTCTGTGGTGCAGGCAATCCAATTTTAGAGTCCAAGGCCTTTTGGGGGGGGTTAGTTATAAAGAATAATAAGTTCTCTTTTAGAAAAACAACCTGAAGCTGTTGACACCATTCCTGCAAATTAATACCATCTATTCTCAGTTTTGGGAAATCATTGGGCAAGTTCCCAATGTTAGTTGTTCCATTACTTACAACTGGAGGTTGTCCTTGATCTTGTAGATGTTGATAGTTGCAGAATGGTGTGGGTATGCTTGCGATGAGTCTGAACGGCTCTCTCTGCTCTTCATGTCCTCCGTAGTTGTCTGCGTGGGTTTGCGCATGCGCGTTGCTCATTTCGCTTCTGAAGCTGTCGGGAGAGGTTCTCGTTGCTGTAGCTCCCTCGTAGTGTTCTTCTTCCGATGACTCGGTCTCCGGTTCGATCTTGGGTGTCCAGGTGACGACTGGCGCTTGTTTCTTTTCGCTGAAATAGTTCCTGTTGAGATCTCTGGTCCCTGGAATCGTCTGTGGCGTGGGGACGTATTTACAAGGTTCTCTGGGTTCAGGCGTCGGTGCTCTCGTCGTTTGATTAGAAGCGGGTAGATTCTGAGATGTTTGCTTGCTTGTTTGTCTTTTCTTTATTCTTTGATTGCTAGCTTTCGTTGATTCTTTTGTAATTCTTAATTTTGGGCCGAATGTTGTAAAGAGAGTTTTCATCGCTGATTCTATTTGCATTTCGATTGAAGTTTCTTCGATGTCTGTATCAGATTCTTCTGAAGAGTAGATTTTTTCTTTTTCACTTTTTGCACTATGTAGGGCTTTTCGCGCCAGACATTTTGAACTCTGCTTTCTGATTGGCTCTGCTTCGCTCATTTCAGTGGTCTGTTGGAACCAAGATGGCCGCCATTCAAAATTTTGTGCGGGACCGTTAGTCTTCTTTTTTATTATATTCTTATCTACAGGCAATTCACTCACCATTTTTAGTTCTTTAGATTCATCTGTTACGATGTGTTTTTCTCTCGCTGCTCCGCTGTTTTTTATGATGTCTTGGAGGTTCGCGATGAGATTTTCGTCATCTTTTTGGCTTTTCAATAGTTTCAGTATCTCTGATCTGAGTTCGTTGTTTTCTATCTCGTTCTCTTCCTGGTCATCAGTTTCATCGATTATCTCCTCGTTGTCTGTAGTGCAGTCTTCAGATTCTTTTGTTATTATAGTTGTGGATTCATCGATCATTTCTTGATCCGTTTCCATCTCTTTATTGTGTGCCCTGGTGTTGGGTCTTTCTCTTTTGTTTCTGGAGTTTTCTCTCTTAGGCATATCTGATTTTTATTGAGTCAATCCAACCATCCTCTGCTACCAGATTGTTGCGTAATTTTAAGGATCAGACTCAATAAATGATTCAAGAATGAAGTATTCAAATATAACACTATTTATTTACAGTAGGCATTCTATATTCTCTGAATGATTGTAGATAGAAGCAAGTGGGAGGTTCATACGTTCCCTTTTATATTAGAGAGGCGGAGTAATAGATGGGAGTGGTTACATATGAATACATTAAGAAGGAAATATAAATTAACCCCTGATATTCTGTGAATATACATTTTCCTTATTTGAGAATAAGGCATTTACTTGTAACAGTTTCCTGTCAGGTTTCTATTCTAGTGACTTGCCTGTCAGTGTTGGTGGGGGCCGTCTTAGAAATTCTTTGATTGGGCAGTCCGCTGTTGGCTTCTTTGGCAGTTTCTTGATTGGGGTCTTGTTTACTTGATGGTTGGTCTGATGTTAACCTTGGAGTTAATCTATGCCGATCTGGGTGCTGATTGCTGGTGGAGAGCTGCTTGGGTCTTTCTGTTCCTTTTTGGGCTGGCTGGCTGTCTCTTTTGCATAGTCAATAGATGTTGTTAATATCTATGGGTCTATTGGTGGCTGATTTGTCAGCCTGGTAGCCTTCTAGAAATTCCCTGGTGTTTTTGGACTTGATTTGGTCTAGGATGGTCACATTTTCCCAATTGAAACTATGATTAAATCTGTCTATATGTTGTGAAATTAAAGAATTTTCATCATGTCTTCTGACTGTTAGTTGGTGTTTGTGGATGCGTTCCATCAGTCTTCTGCCTGTTTGTCCTACATAGTAGTTGTTACAGTTCTTACATTGTAGTAGCTTTAGTTGGCTTGTGTGCTATGCTGATGCCATGTGGTTGTAGTAGACTGATGATCAGTGGTTAGAGTGCAGTACTGCAGGCTACTTCTGCTGACTGCCAGCTGCCTGCAATTTGGCAGTTCGAATATCACCAGGCTCCAGGTTGATTCAGTTTTTCATCCCTCCAAGGTCAGTAAAACGAGGACCCAGATTGTTGGGGGTCATAGGCTGGCTCTGTAAACCTCTTAGAGAGGGCTGTAAAGCACTGTGAAGCAGTATATAAGTCTAAATGTTATTGCTATTGCTATTGGTGGTTTCTGAGATATTCTGAGGTATTCTTGATGTATGGACTGTATATAGCACAACCAACCCAAACCCTAAAAAGAATTACACTGCCATACATCGAGAATATCTCAGAATATTTCAGAAACCATCAACAGACTACTTCAACCACATGGAATCAGCATAGCCCATAAGCCAACTAAAATCCTTCAAAACATCCTAAGCAGACCAAAAATCCCAATAACTCCAGAAGAAAAAACAGGCATCATCTACAACATATAATGTAAGAAAGAAACTGCCAAAGAAGCCAACAGCAAACAGCTCAATCAAAGAATCTCTAAGACCGCTCCCACCAACACTGACAGGCAAGCCACTAGAATATGAAACTGACAGTCAACAGAACTCCTTACTAGCACTGATGGTGTTACCTAATTTGGGCAATCAAACGGCTGCAAAAAACAAGCAATCTCAGAGGAATCAATTCTTCCATTCCCCCCCCCCACCATACAATCTCAGCTGTCAGTACCTATCCTTCCACCCCTCCACCATCAGAACCGATGAAGCTTCTTGGATGAGAAGTGAAACGTTTTCTTCTTTTTCCTCAAGGAAAAAACAGTCCAGTTGCCTTTTGAAGGAAAAAAAGCAGCTTTGAGTAACTATGACCTGGATAACTGAGAATCTCTGCAAACAACCCTCAAGGCCTCTCCACTAAGGCGGTTTTATACAGTTGTATTTATCATGGTCAATAATAACACAACCACTGCCGTTTATATATTTCAGAGATTTGATCACTTATTTCTAAATCAAGGCCTCAAGACGATAGAGACTTCTGGAGTCTCACCTCTAACTTCTCAAACCTTTCCTTCCTCTCTCACAGTCTTTTTTTGGTGACCGGTTCTTCGCTTTGTTTGATTCCGATGAAAGTGGAACCATCAGCCTGGATGAACTCCTGAACACCTTAAAACTGCTGATCCATGGGAGTGAAACCGACAAGCTCTGGTTCCTCTTTCGGGTCTACGATGTGGATGGTAAAATTCCAAACTGATGAATCAGATAACCGGTGTTTTATCAAAATGAGATTTTGTTTTTTAGGTCCTTGTTTGGCTGCCAACAATTGTGCCTCGTAGAATAGCCTCCAGCGCTCCTAATTTTGTATCTGGAACAGTATTATAGTTGTGTATTTTTATGAGCAGATCTAGTGCCTTTGAGTGATGAACATTGAGAAATTCAAGAAATGCCACTTATCAATTGATGCAGAAACCCTTGTCAACTCTAACACCAGAAAATTCCAATTGTGACCCTCAAAAACTGGACTAAACCTTCATCATACTGTACACAGGTTGTGAGATGGGCTGTTCAGTTGCAAGATCAACAAGGAGTTGGAATCTATTGGGAAAAGACAATGGATTGATTTTGAAATATGTAAAGAGTGTAAAGCAGGGGTGAAATCCAAATTTTTTCCCTACCGGTTCTGTGGGCGTGGCTTGGTGGACGTGGCAGGGGAAGGATATTGCAAAATCTCCATTCCCACCCCACTCTGGGGCCAGCCAGAGGTGGTATTTGCCGGTTCTCCGAACTACTCAAAATTTCCGCTACCGGTTCTCCAGAACCATTAGCGGAACCTGCTGGATTTCACCCCTGGTATAAAGAATATGTGCACATTTAATCTAGAGTAGGGGTCCCCAACCCTTGGGCCATGGACCGGTACCGGGAACCAGGCCACATAAGCGGCAGGTGAGCACATAAAGCTTTCTTTGCACATGCACAAGATTAGGTTGCGTGCATGAAAACATCTGCTCCCCACAGCCACTGCCACTGCCGGTCCATGGAGCTCAAAAGGTTGGAGACTGCTGATCTAGAGCCATCACTTGCGCTAAGGTTAGCTTCAGTCTGTGGAGGAGATTGTAGGACAAGATCCCATCAATAGGCCCAATTTCTCAGTGATTCCTTAAAGTGTATATAGGGAAGAGGGTTTTAAATGCCCTGCGTCTATAATTTCCATATGGTTCCATTCAGTCAAAGAATAACTGCAGCAATTATGGCTCTCTAACTCTCAGAGGAAGGATCTGTAGGAGGCATCACTTATAGCTCCTCCAGGCTTTCAGTCCTCTAGGGAAATGGTTTTGTCTTAGGTTTTATGGATGAAATCTTCTCATGATCCAGCAAGGAAGCAGAGTCAACTGAATTTGATTTCCTGGTGCACACTTTCTGTCCATTGACCTCCTCCACCTCCTCCTCCTCCTCCTCCCCCCTCCTCCTCTCATAGCAACATCTTAAATCTGACCTGTCACACCAAGCCTAGTGGATTTGTTTTCTTATAGGTGGTGGCTCCATTGAACCCGATGAATTACGCATGGTCTTAAAATCATGCCTGAAAGAGAGCTCAATATCTTTGCCTGAAGAGAAGCTAGATGACCTGACAATGGCTCTTTTTGAGTCAGCAGATTCTGATAAGAGTGGATCCATAACCTTTGAGGAGCTCAGAGAGGAACTGCAGCGTTTTCCAGAAATCATGGAGAACTTAACAATAAGGTATTTTGACCACCAATCAACACTAGTCATTTCTGATGATGGACATTTCACGATCTGTGCCATCTCAGTTCTATTGAATTATCAGAAGCAGAAAAATGATTGGCAAACTTCAGCTGGTTCATCTGTTCCTTTTTGTTTCTGATACTTACATGTGAAACCCTAAATGGCTTCAGGTAAGTGAGAGAATATCTGTTGCTCCACATCCAAAGGGATCTTCTCAGGAGTCCTGTTCTAGCTGTTTTCTTTTCTTAAAAAAATAAATAAAGGGAAGAGTCTTTTCATTCATTGTTCTCCTTATTAATGCCTTCCAGACAGAGCCAAACATTACCTTGTTACAATATATTTTTATGGCAAGGAAACCTGTTTTCTAGAGTAAGAACAAACACAGAGAGAGCTTAGGAAAGATTTCATGGATGGAAATCTTAAAGAAGAAAAAATCCCAACTTGGAAAAGTAGACCAAAATTGAACTCATGTCTTAGACTTTAAAAGAGCTGATTTCAACAAACTTAGACAGAGCTTGGGAAGGATTCAATGGATGAAAATAGTAAAGGGGAAAACAACTCAAGAAACTTGGGAAACTCTGAAAAATGAGACCATAAAAGCCCAGTCTAGCACAATATCACTGAAAAAGAAAAATAAGAAATCCAAAAAACCACCCTGGTTGCACAAAGATCTCTCTAATAAACTGAAAGACAAAAAGCACAAGTATAAAAATGAAAAGACGAACACATAACTAAGGCAGAATAACAGCATACAGCCCAAAACTGCAAAGATGAAGTCAGGAAAGGAAAGGCCCAGAATGAACTAAGACTTGCAACAAATGTCAAAAATATTTTTTTAAAAAAATCTTTCAACATATAAAAAACAAGAACAAGTCAAGGAAACAAGCAATGCACTAATGGGAGAAGATGGTAAGGAAGTGATGGGCAGCTTAATTCATTCTTTGCATCTGTCTTCATGCAAAAGGAGAAAGTAGCCCAACCTACCAAAAACAGAATAATAAAAGAAAAGACTAGGATTACAAGTTTAATAAAGTACACTACAACATACTTTACTTTCTACATAAAATAGAAAACTGTGGGTTAGACAGCATCACCACCAGATGGATTCATAACTGGCTGAAAAACTCAACATGTAGTCCTTAATGGAACTACATCTACATGGAGGGAAGCATGCAGTGGGGTACCCCAAGGTTATGTCTTAGGTCCACTACTCTTCAACATCTTCATAAATGATCTAGATGAGAGAACAGAAGGAGAATTCATCAATCCTGCTAAGCTGGCAGGAATAGCCAACACCCCAGAAGATAACACAGGATCCCAAAAAACTTGAACACTGGGCCTTTTCTAACAAAATGAAATTTAGTGGTGAGAAAAGTAAGGTTTTACATTTAGGGAAGAAAAAGCAAATGCACAGGTATAGAATAGATGGTTGCTGGCTCAACGGTAGTAACTGTGAGAGGGATTTTTGGATAGTGGACAATCACTTAAATATTAGCCAGCAGTGTGCTGCAGTCCTCCAAAAAGCCAATGCAATTCCATCAAAATCTGTTTATGGAGATTCTCAGTCATCTAGGTTATGGTTGTCCCAAAGATGCTTTTTTCAAGAGGCAACTGAACTTTCTGGTTTTTCGTTGAAGACGTTTCACTTCTTATCCAAGAACCTTCCTCAGCTCTAACTGGATGGTGGGGAATGGAAGGATTTATACACCTTGCAGACAGCTGGACAGTTTGCATTCTTTTAGCGGGTCATTAATGTCACCTGGAGGTTTATCTGTGTCATCACTGCAGTGGTGGGATTCAGCTGTTCACACCGGTTCAGGAGAACCGTTTGTTAACTTTCTGAGCAGTTCGGTGAACCGGCTGTTGGAAGAAATCTCCTTCTTCCTAAAGTGTTTTTCCCACTTTACAGGGTTAATCCTGTCAAGAAGGCAGGAAGGAGACATTCTGATGTGCCTCTCTGTGTTGTTTCTAGCCTAATCCTTATCTTTATTGCCCTGCTTAAGTATTTTCAGAAACTGCCTCTGGGATAAGCCTTGTTACATTGTAACAGCAGTTAAAGGTTCTTGGCAGTATGCCCAGACTAGCCAGAGCCACTTCTCTGGAGTTTTTTTTTCTTTGCTGATTCTTTTATACGGGCTTGACCTTTTTAAAAGCTTTTTACACTGCTTTAGTGTTTCTTGGCACTGTCCTTTTGGGGTGTACTTCCAAGAGGCAGGATGCAAGCTTGGCACTCTCTCTGGTTTTTTTAAACTGCCTTTCTGGGGGCATGTGATCTTTCCTTAAATCTGGATGATTTCCTTAGAATATCTTGTGAGGCGAGTGAGACCAGCTGGTATCTTTAAGTGGTGCAAATGGATCTAAGGATTGCTTCTCCTGCGTGGGAAAGGGTGCTTTGTCAGTTCACTGAGCACAAGAGTCTCTTGTCTATGGGGATTCATATGTGTTCTGAGCTGAGGTTGTTCTGTCACCTAAGGTGCTGTCTTGTAGCAGTCGTTTTTTCACTACCATGACAGCTTTGGAAGTTGGAATGCAGGTGAAAGAAGAAGTCATCGAAATCTGTTATTCTGTTATCATTCCGTAGTTCCCCAATTGCTTATTCCTTAATCTGAGAAACATCCCCCAAGCCTTGGGATTTGAGGGGGGTGGGTAGGCTGGAAGCTTTGACTGAACTGCCCTTTGAAACTGGACCTGGGACTGAAATGGCACATTCTTCAAAATACAGGCTAGATCATTTCAGCACAGATGCTGAAAGAATTTTCTGTCCAGAACTGAGGCTTCTCCTGGCAATACAGAGGATTGAATTGGATGCTTATAGTGTCTGAAGGATAGTGATGCCTTGAGGGGGAACAAGACCCTCTTGCTAAGAGTACCTGTAGAACAGTAACTGAACTCCTTTTCAACATACAAATGAATCCTTTTCTCACCCCGGAATGTCAGTAGCTCATTGGGTGAGGTTGAGAGAAGCCTAATAAAGCCCATTATGATGGTTTCAGGAACGCTTTGAAACCTCACTTTTCAGAGTCTGAGAGAAAACCAGCACAACTCTTAGAGAAGGAACTGAAGCAGTCCAAAGGTCGCGTCTCATGTTGACAGCATTCATACAACATGCTAACCTCCACAACCATATATATGTGCATGATTACAGCTCCTAAGAACATTAATTAACCAGATTACACGTGCCAGGAAAACATGGACTTTTATTTATTAAATTTAATTAGTAAATTAAACTGTCTTAATTAGTAAGACTTCAGGAATGGCTTCCTGCCCTGCACTTGGGGGAAGAGGAGCCTTTTGGCTTATTTGTGTTGAGTCTTCCTGTATCCCCCCGGATGCTGAAAAGCCCCCAAAACTTCACTAGCTCCTCTCTCCTTTCTCTTTCAGTGCTGCGAGTTGGCTAAAGCCGCCCACAGCTCCCCGGAAGACCCAAACCCCACATATCTTGAGTCCTGTGTATTGGCACAACAATAAGAACAAGCTTCTTCTGCTGGGTAGCTATGCATGTGTGAACATTATCCTCTTCATCTTGGCTGCCCTAAAGCAGGCTGGCTCTGGCATTTGGATCGTGGTGGCCAGAGGCTGTGGGCAGTGCCTGAACTTCAACTGCGCATTCATACTGGTGAGGAACTGGGCTGCATCCCACATCCCAACCTGTCAAGGCCGTTCATCATCAGGGAAAGTCGGAGCAGGGCTTCAGGAGGAAAACAACATTGTAACCATTGTTCACTATGAAATCCAAGCTTTGTTTTAAATTATAACTTTGCAAGAGCACATTTTTGCTCAAAGCCACCAGAACATTGCATGCATCATTTTTTAAAGAATGATGAACATTTTCCAATTCCTAGAGATGGAGACATCTCTATAACAGGGCAGTCATTGCTGAAGAGTTCTGGGGCAGGCCGTGTTTGTCATGGACAAGATGCCTTTGATGCCTTCAGTCACAGACATTGAACTAAGTGTGTAATGGGTCAGGAAATGCTCGTTTTCTAACTCCACTATTTCCCTTTCTCTGAATGGCCACCAGTACCTCTGGCACAGGTGGCAAGCAGTCCCAGTCCCTGACTTTCTGTTTTCCAGAAATGGGAATACTGAGCCCAGAGACTTTCCTTGAAATGCAGATGAGGCCCGAAACTGGTGCTTTATTTTCCAACTTTAATTTAAAAAATTAAAACAATCACTACTTATCCTCTGGGACTCTCATCCAAAGTGGGTAAGAAGGAGGGCAGATACCGTAAAATGACAAACACTTAAATATGAGCCAGTAATGTGCTGCAGCTGCCAGAAAAGTCAATGCGCACTAGGTTGCATCAACAGAGGGATAATATCAAGACAGGGGTGAAATGTAAAATTTGTTACTACCGGTTCTGTGGGCGTGGCTTGGTGGGGGAGGGTAATGTGACTGGATGGGCATGGCCAACTTTTTTTTTTAATTTTAACTTTTCAAAGCATTTTTTCTGCAAATGCAAAAACATGCTTTGAAAAGCCTCTGCCCATCAGGAACACAGCTGGGATCGTCAGAGCCTTTTCAAAGCATTTTTTTAACCACCTCTTCCACTGAAGAGGTTGCAGAACAAAATGCTTTAAAAGTCTCTCTGATGATCCCAGCTGTTGCCTGATCATTTTAAAAAATGCTTTCAAAGTCTCTCTGACGATCAGGCAACTCAGCTGGGATTGTCAGAGAGACTTTTAAAGCATTGGCTCTGACGATCCCAGCTGTCTTGCCTGATTGTCAGAGCCTTTTCAAGCATTTTTTTAAACTACCTCTTCCCTGGAAGAGGTTGCAGAAAAGAATGCTTTGAAAAGCCTCTGAGATCCCAGCTGAGCTGCACGATCATCAGAGGCTTTTTTTTTTTTTAACTTTTAAAAGCATTTTTTCAGCGGAAGAAGTTGTAGAAAAAATGCTTTTAAAAGTAAAAAAAAAAAAGCCTCTGATGAGCGTGCGGCTCAGCTGGGCATGGGGGGGCTCAGGGATTTTTGCAACCGGTTCTCTGAACCACCCGCTGCCATGGCTACCGGATCAGGTGATCCGGTCCAAACTGGGAGCATTTCACCCCGGTAACAAGATCATGTGAAGTGTTAGTATCACATACTGCACTAGTAAGACCATGGAATACTCTGAGGGTGAAGGTTTGTTCTCCGAGCTTGTGGGCTGGCTTCCGAACATTTTGTTACCAGGCCAGGTAACATCTTCAGTGGAGTTTAGGTGACGTCCGTGTCAGTGTCCCTCTGTTTATAAGGGCTTTGTGTAGATGGAGGAACACCAACACTGATGTCTCCTAAACTCCGCTGAAGTCGTTACCTAGCCTGGTAATGAAACGTTCAGAAACCAACCCACAAGATCGGAGAACGAATCCCCGCCCTCGCCCTATACCCTTGCTACAGATAGTTGCCACCGTGGAATACTGCGTCCAATTTTGGTCACTGTGATATAAAAAAGTGCAGAGAAGAGCAACAAAGATGATAAATGGTCTGGGAATTAAACCGTATGATGAACAGTTGAGGGAACTGGGGATGTTTAGTCTAGCAGAGAGAAGAATTCCAGTACTTGAGCGACCGTCACAGAGAAGACGGGGTCAACCAAATCCCCAAAGCCCCTGAGGGCAGGACAAGAAGTAACGAATAGGAGGCTATTAAAGAGAACTAAGGAGTAATGTCATGTCAGTAAGAATAATCAATCAGTGGAACAGCTTGCTTTCAGAAGTTGTGAGTGGTCTATCATTAGAGGTTTTTAAAGAAGAGATTAGACAGCAATTTGTCTGAAATGGTTTAGCTCCAGCAAGGGGTTGGACTAGGAGACCTCTAAGGTCTCTTCCAACCTGTTATTCTGTGTTCTATTTTCTAACCTTCCGCCCTGGTTCCTGGCTATTATAGTCAAACTGAGAATGGATGCAAAAAGAATAACATCTTAGATCAATAATTTTTCTGTTATATGAGTATCTGTCAGTTCTTCAAGATAAGCCAGGTCAAGAAATAGACTCAAGGACCACTGCATCTCCATTGTTGAAGCGCCACATGACCACAGAGACGTCTTTGGACAGCGCTGGCTCTTCGGCTTTGAAACGGCGATGAGCACCTCCCCCTAAAATGAGGAACGACTAGCACATATGTGCGAGGGGAACCTTTACCTTTACCTTATTGTTGAAGAATCTAACAACAGGATCTTGAAAGCCTGACTGTTTCTCTCCTTCTCTGCTGATGCCAAAGAGGATCAAGGCTGGGCAATTTCAGGTTTCTTTCTTAATCCCCTCCTCTCTTTCTCTTTCTCATAGAACATAGAATAACAGAGTTGGGAGGGACCTTAGAGATCATCTAGTCCAACCCCCTGCCCAACCAGAAACCCCTATACCATTTCAGACAAATGGCTATACAATCTCTTCTCGAAAACCTCCAGTGATGGAGTACCCACAACATCTGGAGTCAAGCAGTTCCACTGGTTAATTGTTCTCAGTGTCAGGAAATTTCTCCTTAATTCCAGGTTGCTTCTCTCCTTGATGAGTTTCCACCCATTGCTTCTTGTCCTGCCCTCAGGTGCTTTGGAGGATAGCTTGGCTCCCTCTTCTTTGTGGCAGCCCCTCAAATATTGGAAGACCACTATCATGTTGGCCCTGGTCCTTCTTTTCATTAAATTAGCCACACCTAATTCCTGCAACCATTCTTCGTATGCTTTAGCCTCCAGTCCCCTAACCACCTTTGTTTCTATTTTCCATACTCCTTCCAGAGTCTCAACAACTTTTTTTATATTGACGGTTTTTTTAAAATTTTATATATATTTTAATTTTATATATATTTTTATTTATATGTTTTAATTCTGATATTCTTTTTCTCTAAGCCTCTGTTTCTCAATCTTCGTAATTTTAAGAAGCGTGGACTTCAACTCCCTGAAAATTAGCAAGTCTGAGAAATATTACTCAAATTTTTATATAACCATACTATAGTACATTTCTTTTTCAAGGTTATTTCTCTACTCTGCTGTAACATCTGAATTGATGCATTTTTGCCCCTCTCAATTCAGCGCTTTTCTTCCCCTCCATCTGCCATCCCCAGGTGTTGATGCTACGCCGATCTCTGACCTGGCTAAGGACCACTTGGGTAGCCAAAGTTTTGCCCCTGGACTTGAATGCCATCCTGCACCAGCTGATGGGCTACATGGTGGGTGTTCTAACTATCCTTCACATGGGAGCTCACATCATCAATTTTGGTAAATGCTGCTCAAATTTTCTGTTTCATATTGTTTTTCTTCTGTTATTTAATTGCTTTAATTGCTGTCCCAGAACACTTTATAAAAAGTACTAGTTGTACCCGGCCATGTGTTGCTGTGGCCCAGTCTGGTGCTTCCACTGGGCTAAAAGAGCGAGGCTGAAGTTCCAAACTCTCCACAAACATTTGGTGGGTATCTCTCTATGTGTCTCTCTCTCCCGCTCTCTCTGTATCTCTATGTCTCTCTCTCTCCCCCCCTCTGTATCTCTCTCTGTCTCTCTCTCCCCACCTCTGTATTTCTCTATGTGTCTCTATCTCCCCTCCCCCCCTCTCTCTATCTCTATGTCTCTCTCTCTCTCCCCCCCTCTCTGTCTCTCTCTCCCCCCCTCTCTCTCTGTATCTCTGTATGTGTCTCTCTCTCCCCCCACCCTCTCTGTATTTCTCTATGTCTCTCTCTCCCTCTCTCTGTTTATTTCTGTCTCTGGCCCGGCCTCTTCTGCATCCCCCGCCATTGCCCTTACCTTTTAAGGCCAGGCCTTTGCAGCTCTCCGCACCACAGCAAAAACTCAGGGGGCCCCCTCCGTCCTCCCTACACAGATGTTCTCTGGGGGCTCGACGGGGAGACACATAGCAGGGAAGGGAAGGGAGGGAGGGAGGGAGGCGGTGCGGTGTGGGTTCGAGGCTGGTTTGGGGCTTCCCGCCCGAAGGAAGAAAGCAGCAAAGCCAGGACCAAGCACACCCTACTGGACCCCTGCTGCGCAGTTCTCCTCCCCCGCCTGCCAAGCGCAGGGGAATGATTAAATCCCCCGCTCTTCCAGGTGAAATGAAGGAGGACTGGCCATCCTCCCTCCTGGCCGTTTCCACACACACACACCCGAAGCCTCCCCGGAGCCCCTTTTCTGGCAGAGGCTGAAATTTTCGTGTAGGCTCCGTGAACTGCCAGAGCGCCCACCTGGGAATCAAAGGCGGTGCTGGTCAAAGGCAGCCCCGAGGCTCCAGTTGTCTCCATCTCCCACTCACTGACCGGATTCACATAGTGCCGGTTAGCGGCTGGTCTTTCTGACCTCAGGGCCTGTGGTAGCGCTGGGCCAGGTGCGATTCAGGCCAGGCAAGGGACGGAGGGTTCCCACTCGGTGGACCCAGGCAGCCTCATTGCCAGGTGTTCTTTGGAGGGAGCCCTGAGAATGGCTGGTGAGGGGGATGGGCAGCAGCGGTGGGTGAGGCTAGTTCATGGGGCGGCCGGGGGAGGGGGAGTCAGAGCCAGGCTTGGGCGGGCCCTGCCCAGCCCTAGAAACGCCAGCTGCGAGAGCTTCCTGGTGGGGAGCCGGCTGCCTACCTGCCGAGCCTGGTGGCAGGATATGGCCCTTGGGCGTCTCTGCCTTCCAAATGCGCAGTTTTTTGGAAGCAATATGGGGAGTCTAAATATAAGGAGCAGAAATCTGTTGAGCATAATCAGGGCTGGGAGGCTGCCATGTTGGTTTTACGTCCAGCAGATGGAGCTGTTTTTCAACGTTTGTCAATGTCTTTCAATGTTTTCCAATGTTTTTCATGTTTTTACCTGTCACAGGTGTGACATGTATATAATATAGGTATATAAAAACACTCCCATAATCGAATGCAACATTGTGTCAAAATTTAAAAGCAATCGGTGAAGAACTTTCAGAGATGTGCGGTTATGTACAAACGGACATTTACATTTTTATTTATATAGATTACACATTTAAAATAGAAATAGAAAAATAAATATCCTCAGATTAAAAGCCACAAGATGCCTAAAAACAACACAAATGTATAGCAAGTTCAGACAGTGTCTGAAATTTCTAAACCACAAGGTTATCACTCTGACTCTGGCATCACAAAGAAGTCCCTGTCTCACTTAAGATGTCATCTGTCCTCCTAATAATATGTTTGACTGGTAACCAGCAAAACTTTTAAGCACGTGGTCCTAAGTCATGAAGGCTTTAATAATCAGAAACAGCATTCTGAATTTGGGACTAAAAATGGACTGGGAGCCAGCATACCTGAGCAACCCAGCATTGTCACCATAGTGCAAAAGACTATTTTAAGGAGTTACTTATCCAGTCTTTCCCTTCATCATAGTGAGACTGTCTCAGGCCAAAGAAGACTATCGTCTCTGGGAATACCTTTTCACCACCCGGCCTGGCATTGGATGGATTCATGGAACTGCCTCTCTCACGGGTCTCCTCCTGCAGCTCCTGATCTCCCTGATGCTCGTGTGTTCCACTACCTTGGTCCGCAGGAGTGGTCATTTTGAGGTGACATGCTCAGCCTTCCCTTGCTTTCTCTGCTTATTTTGCCCTTCTTTTCATCCTGCAAAAGGGCAACATGGTGGCTCAGCTGTTAAAATATGGGGCTTGTTGGCTGGAAAGCTGGCAATCCAGGTTCAAGACCCAAATGCCACATGGCATAGCAGTTCCAAAGCATGCAAATGTGAATAGATAAATAGGTACTACTTTGGTGGGAAGATAACAGCGCTCCCTGATGTCATGATGGCCACATGGAGTTGTAAGTGTCTTTGGACAGTGCTGACTGAATGGCCTTGAAACAGAGATGAGCACCGCTCTCCATAGTCCCCGTTAGTCCCCATAGTCTCCCCATTTGCACAGTACTTTGCTTGCTAGAATGCCTTCCTAGCCAGAAAAAGATCTAAGATGTTTTGTCAAAGGGAGGCCTTAGAAACAAAATGCAGCCTTGGAAAAAAACACAATGGCCAAACCAAGAAAGCTACTTTGATGGAGACGGTGGTGTTAGATCGGCGCAGGGAAAGGAAGATGCGACCAGGGTTGGTCCATTCAGTATCTTTATTTCAGCTCTGAATGAAGGCGGACGGCTGTGCTGCCAGAGCTTTTTTATACGCTTCGGCAGACTCAGCCGTCCAATGACAGTTGTTTGAATTTCCCGCCAGTGGATTAGCCAATCCCTGTCCTTATAAGGACATAACACCCCTCCCCTCCTAGTTCGAAGACTGTCTATCAACACTAATGAATGTCATGTAGTCACGCAGGTAGGCGGGACGCTTGATGGTCCTGGCTGACCTGCGCAGTTCCATTTGAGTTTCGCTGCTGGCCGGAGCAGGCGGAGCTCCTGTCCCCTCCGGCTCTCGACCCGGAAGGATCTGGGGTCCGGCCGTCAAGTGTGTGGGCCCTATCCCAGCACCTCCGGCCGCATCGTCTGGATTTACCCGCTGGTGGCACTGGTCCTTCCCCTGACTGGGATCCCTAGAACCTCACGGCTGGGCATCGCTGTCAACCCAGGGGTGACATCTGATGTCCGGTAAGTCCATTTTATTCTCCTTTGCCCTTTGTGGCTTCTGTTGGTGGCTCTGCTGTTTCGGTTGTTGTTGTTGTTGCTGTTGTTGTTGTTGTTGTTGTTGCTCTTGCATGGCGGCTTGTCGTGGCAGGTGGCCGGGGGGTCACCCGTCTACCGTGTCAGGCTGGTGCAGGTCGACCTCGCTGGGGTGGTGTCGGTCAACCCTGCCGGCGTGGTGATGGTGGTCTCCCTCACGGGGGAGTCGCTGGCTGGCTCTGCAGGGGCGTTGTGGACCTCCCTCCCTGGGTTGTCCCTGGTCTACTACCTTGCATCGTGGTCTCCCTCGTCGGGGTGTGGTAGGTCACCCTCACCGGGGGGTTGCAGCTCTCCCTCTGTGCTTTGTCCCTGGTCTACTTCATTGTGGAGGTGGAGGTCTCCCTCGCTGGGGTGGCGAATGGCCTCCTTGTCGGCGCGATGCTGACTCCCCTCGGGTTGCGGGTACCGGTCTACTCCCTTGGATCGGCGATGACTTGACTTGCTGAGGTGGTGCGGGTCCACCTCCCCGGGGTGTCGCAGGCCTTCCTCGCTGGGGTGTGGCAGGCCTATCTCATCGGAGTGCTGTAGGCCGGCCTCCTTGGGGTGTTGTAGGCCTACCTCATCAGGGTGTTGTAGACCTACCTCGTCGGGGTGTTGTAGGCTTACCTCATCGGGGTGTTGTAGGCGTACCTCGTCAGGCTGGTTTCCTTTCGCTTCCCTCCACCTTTTCCGGAGTTGGTTGATGTGACGTCTACAGACCTGCCCATCTTCCAGCTCCACTCTATAAGACTTCGGTCCGGTTGTGCTCTCAATTCTTCCTTTCAGCCATTTCGGAAACCCATGGAAATTGAGCGCGAAGACCAGGTCTCCTATGGCAAAGGCGCGGGACAGGCGTCTGGCGTCTGATGGCACCTCCGGGTTGTACAGGGGGTGCAGCCGGTCCAGATGTGACCTCAGTCTTCTGCCCATCAGCAGTTCGGCCGGGCTCTTATGCATCGTTGAGTGCAGTGTGATGTGTTGAGTGAGGAGGAACTGGTCGATCCTCTCTTGCCAGTCGCCGGTACCCATCTTGGTGAGGGCTTCCTTGGTGAGCCTCACCATCCTTTCAGCTTGCCCATTTCCGGCCGGTCTGTAGGGGGCAATCAGGGCATGGCAGATGCCCAGTCCTGCCAGGAATGTTTCCATGGGCTTGGATGTGAGCTGTGGCCCATTGTCGGAAATGAGGACATCCGGTAGCCCGTGCGTGGCGAATAGTCTCCGGAGCGCCTTGGTGGTGGCTTCTGTTGTGGATGCCATGGGTACGACCTCCAGCCACTTCGAGAAAGCATCCATGACGATGAGGAGGTATCTTCCGCTCATCGGACCTGTGAAGTCTATGTGGATTCTTGACCATGGACTGCTGGGAGCCTCCTACTCTGTAGACTGGGCACGGGGTGGTGCTGGGCGGACTTCCTGGCATGGATCACATCTGGCCACCCAGGTCTCTATATCCTTGTCCAGGGTTGGCCACCACACGTAGCTTCGTGCCAGCCCCTTCATGCGAACGATGCCTGGGTGCCCCCTATGCAGAGTCTCTAGAGTCTTATATTGGAGTGATCTGGGAATCACGATCCTGTCGCCCCACAGGAGGCAGCCTTTCATTGTGGCTAGTTCTTGCTGCTTTCTGGCAAATGGGGTGAATTCTTCTGCCATCTTCCCCATGGGCCATCCGCACAGAACCCAAGATAGTACCTGTTTGAGCGTTCGGTCCTTCTGGGTCTGCGATGCCATGTCTGCGGAGGTGACTGGGCAAGCGAGGTCATTGTCAATATGGAATAGTCTGAGTGTGGGGGCTGGGTCTTCCACCGGCTTCTGGGATGGGCATCTACTCAGGGCATCGGCGTTTCCATGGTCTTGCCGGGTCTGTGGGTTAGAGTATATGAGTACCCCGCAAGGAAAATTGCCCAGCGTGTCATCCTGGGTGACATGTAGCTTGGTGTGGGTTTGTCGCCCGCGAATAGTCCCAACAGTGGCTTATGGTCTGTGATAACTGTAAAGCTCCGGCCATACAGGTATTCATGGAAGTGCTTGATGCCCGCGACGATGGCCAAGGCTTCCTTATCCAACTGACTATAGTTCCTTTCGGTGCTGGACATCGTTTTTGAAAAATAAGCAATGGGCGCCTCTGTTCCATTTGGGAGTTGGTGACTGAGGACCGCTCCAATCCCGTATGGTGACGCGTCGCAGGTCAGCAGGAGGAGTAACGTCTTGTGATATTGCACGAGGACGCTGTCTGAAGAGAGCAGTGCTTTGATGTTTTTGAAGGCTGTTTCCTCCTCTTCCCCCATCTCCACGGTACCGCTTTCCCCAACAGGCGATGGAGTGATTTAGCAGCTGTGGCTTTCTGTTTTAAGAAGACACTATAAAAATTCAGTAGTCGCAAGAAAGCCTGAAGCTCTGCTTTGTTTTTGGGGGCTGGAGCTTCGTGGATAGCCTTAACTTTAGATTTGGTGGGGTGGATGCCAGTTCCATCAATGAGATAGTCCAGGAACTCGACCTCCTGGACCCCAATGATGCACTTATCTCTCCTGACTCTCAAACCCTTCTCCTTAAAGCGCTGTAGAACTAGCTTCAGTCGCTCAAGTAGCTGGGTTTTAGAGTGGCCGGAGATTAAGACATCATCGAAGTACGGCACCACCCCTGGAATGCCTTGAAGAAGGTGTTCCATCATAGATTGAAATATTCCTGGGGCTGCGCTGACTCCAAATTGGAGACGGTTACATTTAAATGCGCCCCTGTGGGTGACGATTGTTTGTGCCTCCGCTGTTTTTTCATCTACTGGCAGTTGCTGGTAAGCCTGGGCCAGGGCCAGTTTGGCAAATATTGACCCACTCCCTAGTGAATGCAGCAGATGTTGCACCACTGGAACTGGGTATGCCCTCTGTTGCAAAGCCTTGTTGATTGAACATTTATAGTCGGCACAGATGCGCACAGATAAATCATGCTTCATGGGGGTCACAATGGGGCTCTCCCATGCCGCATGATCGATTGGCTCCAATACACCTTGGGCAAGCATATTATCTAGCTGAGCATCTACTTTGGGCCTCAAGGCAAACAGAACTCTGCGGGGCTTAAGCCTAATTGGTGTTTCCCCAGCTTACCATCGAAGACTTCCTTGAACTCTTCGAGGAGGGTGTCGAGTTTGTCCTGCCGGATTTGGTGAACCCCTCTGATCTCGAGCCCTAGTGGCTTGAACCATTCCATGCCTAGCAGGTTCGGACGGCTGTTCTGGACAATGGTGATGGTGAGATCGCCCTGGAAATTGTGGTAGGAAATCCGAAGTGACATTCTTCCCAGGACTCCGATCGGGTTTCCTCCAAAGTCGACCAGCCTTGACCGTATGGGCTTCAGATCTCTCTTGCAGACTCCAGGCTTGAGACCCTTCAACTGCTGCCAGTCCATGATGGAGTAGATCAATCCCGAATCTACTTCCATGGAACATGGGGTTCCTTCCACGTGCACCGTCACGTGGCACTTGGTGGTGCTGTCGTCATCTGAGTGGTCTATGGTCGTCTGATGGACTGCTCTCCTCCGGCTGCCGTCACTTTCTCCCTGTCTGGGCTAGTAGTAGGACCGTCTAGATGATCTCGCGTATTCGTCGCGATTTTCGCGCGGCCGGTGGCTGGACGGTTCTGGGGCTGGATCCTCGGCTCTGCAGGCTTCAGCAATGTGACCCCTCTTGTTGCAGCATCTGCAGGTCGCATCTCTCCACCTGCACTTGGCCCTGGCATGGTCTCCTCTGCAGCTGGCACAACGCTCCCCCCGATCGCCATTTTGAGTGGTTTCCCGCCTTGGGGGTCTGGAGACCTTGTGCACAGCCATTTCTTCCTCCGATTCCGATCCGGCAGCTGACTCCTCTGTGGATGATTGGGGTGCCCTTTGGATCTTGTGGATCCCCTTGCCTCTTAGCATTGCGGCTGCCGCTTTTTCGGATGTTTCGGCAGCTGTGGCCTCTTCTACGACATCTTTGAGCACCAACTTCTTCCTTCTCAAGAATTTTTTTGGGAGAGCCCTGTCCCTCATGCCAAACACAATGCGGTCGCTGATGGCATTGTCCACATTGTCGAATTCGCAGTTGGCAGCGATTTGGCATAGGGTGGCCACAAATTCTTTGATTAATTCACCTTCCCGTTGGTCCCTCTGGTGGAATGTGAATCGGTCGGCAACCGGAGTTCCCGTCGGTGCGTAGTGGTCTTGTAGCACTCCTTTGTTAACCCTGAGTTAACAAAAATAGTCCGTAGGTGGATTAAAGTGCCAAATCCAGTCTAAACAACTGGCTGACTGTGTGACTAACCCTAATAATAATACCAACATTTCTGGAGCATCGCTTGAACACCTTTGGCATTGACAAAATCACCATCAGTCAATTAAAAAAGGCAGATTTACTTGGAACAGCTTACAACCTGCCTATTCTTGGGAAAGACTCGATAGGTGGGTGAAAATGCCAATCCAGTTTAAACTACTATCTGGCTATATGGCCAATAATAATACAAAGCTAGAATTGAGAAGACAGCAACAGATAGCAAATGCTGCCTCAGCAAAAAAACTGAAGATACAGTGGACCACCTGGTTAGCTGCTGCAAGAAGATTGCATAAACAGACTGCGACAACGGCATGACAAAGTAGCAACAACTTGCATTGGAAGATCTGCAAGAAATACCATTTGCCTGATGGGACCATAAAATAGAGAAAGTCATAGAAAATGAAGAAAATGAAGTGTTCTGGGACTTTATAATTGAAACAGACAAGCACCTGCCACATCACACCCCAGGCTTAATTGTTGATAAGAAAGACAAAAAAGTCTGGACAGTGGATGTGGCAGTACCTGGAGGCAGAAGAATAGAAGCCAAATCCAGTCTGAACATCTGGCTTGACTGTGTGACGAACCATAATAAAACTGAGGTGTTTGCTTTGAAAAATGTCTTGTTTTCCCTCCTAGACTCCATTAATGTTTTGTTTTTATGTATTTATTTTGTTTTTCTTTTCTAAAAACCACAGAAAATATGTCTGAAAGAAGCACTGGCCTTACACTATGTGAGCCCATCATGTCCTGTTTGTGATTCTGAAATGAGCAGCAGCCACAGGATGAAGCTGCACCTGGCTGCTCAAAACCCCGCCCCTTTTCACCTATGTTGCTCATGTGCCACAGGTAGAAAAGAAATAGGACTTTATTTGGGCTGTTTTTATATCCTGTATATCCCTCTCGGAAATATGGGCAAATAATGGAATTTTGTTTTTGTTTAGTTCTTTTAAACCATCGGTCTAACTTCATTTTGCTCTCCAAAATGTGCCCCTTCCTTTGTCACCAGCAGGTCTTCTACTGGACTCACCTTTTCTACATCCCCATCTGGGCTTTGCTGATTGTTCACGGTGCTAATTTCTGGAAGTGGTTTGTGATCCCTGGATCTCTCTTCCTCGGAGAGAAGGCCTTTGCAGCTGCTTTGTCACGTGTCGGTGGGCTGTGCATTGTGGAAGTCAACCTTCTACCCTCCAAGGTGGGTTCCACAAATGGTAAAGTAAACAAAAGTGGGTATCAGCATATATAACTTGCAGGTGAAACTAGAAAAGGAACAATGGGTTTTTTGCCTAATTGTTCAATGAATTCTTACCAAAGGACACCATGTGTGTCCCTATATTATTTCTTTTGAAATCCAGGTGACTCATTTGGTGATTCAGAGGTCCCCCTTTTTCCACTACAAACCAGGTGACTACGTGTACCTGAACATTCCGGTCATCGCCCGGTATGAGTGGCACCCCTTCACTATCAGCAGTGCTCCAGAGCAGCCAGGTAGGGGACTGACCCCGTCTGAAGCAGGGGTGAAATCCAGCAGGTTCTGACAGGTTCTGGAGAACCGGTAGCAGAAATTTTGAGTAGTTCGGAGAACTGGCAAATACCAACTGGCCCCAGAGTGGGGTGGGAATGGAGATTTTGCAATATCCTTCCCCCAGGAGTGAGGAGGGTATGGAGATTTTGCAGTATCCTTCCTAAACCATGCCCACCAAGCCACACCCACAGAACCGGTAGTAAAAAAATTTGGATTTCATCACTGGTCTGAAGGATAGCTGCATGCCTCTCAAGCTCAGGGCTTCGGCCTTGACAGGGGCATCTGCACGGGAGCAGAGTCCTCCATGTCAAAAGCAGTGGCTCCGTTCTCTTCTGGACTTTCCTGACCCTCCGTTCCCAGACCACCCTGAATGCTGAGAAATGGGATGCCTTGAATGCCCATTGAGCTGCCCAGCACCTCCTGGCTTAGGGTGCTATGAAGGGTGACCCCAACCTGCATTTACCAACGTCAAACTGTGTTGGAGTGTAACTGCAGTGTAACGATCCACTCTGAAGGAAGGGTTGGGGAAGTTGAGAGAAATGGATAAATTAACTTCTTTGATTAGAGAAAAGACGGCGTCTACATTTATTGGTGACTGGAAATTTCTTATGGGCTTTTTTGTGTAAAACTGGGGTGGGGGGAATGAACATTATTTATGGTTTTGATGATTAGACAAGTAAAATTATAGGAGTAAGAGTAACATGGTGAAAATTTAGAGAGAGGTAGGTATATTTTTTGAATTTACCATTGCTATGAAGAATAATGGAAGCCACTTTATATTTTCTTTCTTCAACTTTTTCTTCAATCTTTACTTTTCTTTTCTTGCCCCTTTTGTTTTTCATTTGTTCATGTTAGCTTTTATGTCTTAAAACATTTTTATATAAAATGCTTTTATATAAACATTTTTTATATTTTATATATAAAAATATAAATTATATATTTAAAAAAATGAAATACACCCCTGGGAATTCTCAAATCTCTCAGGACTATCAGACCTAATCTCACTGAGTTTTCAAAATCAGCCCAGATCAGATAATTGCTGCCACTTGCTGGGAGTCTTTAAATGGAATCCTCAAATAAACTGGAAACCAGTGCAGCCCCTGTTCATACAAGCAACAGCATCCTGGACCAACTGTAGCTTCTGAAGATTGTTTAAAGATAGCCTGCTTAGAGCACATGGCAGTCATCCAAATATGAGATTGCTAAGGTGTGTGTCCATTTGGTCAGATCTGACTCCCAGAAATGGACATAGATGAGATGGTCCCAGCCTCAGGCAAACAGGGCTGGCCAGCTGCTGCTGCCTGAGCTTAAGATTCAAGACTGGCTCTATTGAACTCCCAACACAAAACTCAGGGCAGCCCTATCACATTTGGCACCATGAACCCCCTATGTCTCAATTATGTCTTCCAGGGATCTTGGATGAATGGAAAGCAAAGTGTTCAAAGGTTTGATCTATCCCTTCCCTTCACTGCTCTATACCAGAGCTCTCCAACCTTGGCAACTTTAAGCCTGGAGGATTTCAACTCCCAGAATTCCCCAGCTAGCTTTGCTCCAGGCTTAAAGTTGCCAAGGTTGGAGGCCCCTGCTCTACCCAGATCTTGCCACCTCCAGAAAACGGATTCCAGTCCATATTGTTACTTTATACCAGGGATGTCAAACTCTATTTCATTGAGGGCTGCATTGGGATTATGCTTGACCTTGGAGGCAGTGGTGGGTTTCACTTACCTTTGCTACTGGTTCGCTCGCCACTTCTGTGCGTGCAAAGTTTCTGTGCATGTGCAGAGCGTATTTGATGACATTTGGGCGGGTGGGTGGAGTCTCCCGCTGCCACTGCTACCGGTTCGCCCAAACCGGGGTGAACCAGTAGCAACCCACCACTGCTTGGATGGCTGGGATGGGTGTGGACAGGGTGGGTGTGGACAGCATGATGTCACTTGTGTTGGGAGCGCCTGTGGTGGCCCAAGTGCTCTGCCAGCAAAAACAGGCTTCCGAGCTCCGTTTTCGGCTGCGATAGCCTCCTGCAACCTTTTGCCAGTGAAAATGGAGCTGGGGGAGGGCATGTGCAGCCCTTGTGAGCTCTGTTTTCAACTGGGATGGTGTCCTGCAACTCTCTGCCAGCAAAAATGGAGCTTGCAAGGGCCATGTGTGACCCTCCTGAGCTCCATTTCCGCTGGCAGAGGCACCATGGGCCGGTCCTTTGCTATTTCCAGGGCAGCCCCGCGGGCCAGATCTAAGTACCCTGCGGGCCGTATCCGGCCTCTGGGCCTTGAGTTTGACACCCCTGCTTTATACTAATCTCTACGATGCCTGTGCTTCAGCTTACTCATTTAATCAGGAAGGCTTCATTCAATCTTCTCCTTCCCTTCAAAGACACCATCTGGCTGCATGTTCGGTCACTGGGACAATGGACCTACCGATTACATGAGTACTTCTGGAATTTTCAGGAGCCCTTTGATGACAATCCTGAATTGTCAGTGGCCAGGAAATCAAGGAACAAGAACAGACTCTCGAATTTTGTGGAGGTTTGGAGTTTAAAATACTCTCTACTTGGTAGTTTGTCTAGTTCTTGTTACTGAGGTCAGGATTGCCCACGTGTTGACCTGAGACTGGCTTGGGGCAGCGTCAATAGCGTGGAGCCTGGTGGCGCAGTGGACTAAGTGCTGTTAAAGTAGCACTTAGTTGCCAGCTGCCTGCAATTACTGCAGTTCAAATCTCACCAAGCTCAAGGTTGACTCAGCCTTTCATCCTTTCGAGGTAGGTAAAATGAGGACCCGGATTGTGGGGGCAATAAGCTGACTTTGTATAAAAAAGAACACCGCTTAGGAGGGGGCCCGAAAGCCCTACTAAGCAGGTATATACAAAAGTATGAAGGCTATTGCTTAACACATTGTAAGCCGCCCTGAGTCTCCAGAGAAGGGCGGCATATAAATTGAACCAATAAATAAATAAATAAATAAATAAATAAATAAATAAATAAATAAATAAATAAATCTAACTGCTTTTTGTGCCACCTCGTGAATTACAGGAAATCTCATCGGGTGACCCCATAGAATACACTCCATCGGGACATTTGGGGTCATCATTTGTGTGGGGATTCTCAGTCACCCAGGTGATAGTTGTCTCAAAAGTGCTTTTTCAAAAGGAAACTGAACTGTTTTTTTCCCCTTGAGGAAGAAGAACAAAACATTTCATTTCTCATCCAAGAAACTTCATCAGTTGTGGCCGGTTTGGGAGAAGGATGGAGGATAGGTTCTGACCATATGGTGGGGGAAGGGGAAATAGAAGGATTGTATTTCTTTGCAGTCATCTAGTCTGTTATCACTCTCTGTGGGGGCATAGTAATCTGTGTATCTGAAGTAGTGAGGAGGTTGTGTATAAACACGTGTTATATTGAAGAAATCTCAGCTTGCTATAGATCAGTGTTTCTCAACCTTGCGCTGGCTGGGGGATTCTGGGAGTTGAAGTCCACCCATCTTCAAGCTTCCAAGGTTGAGAAACACTGCTACAGATACTTGATATAGATACAGCTTGGTATAGAGGTATAGGGTTTCCTGCTTGAGCAGAGGGACATGCTAGATGACCTCCAAGGTCCCTTGCAACTCTGTTACTCTGTTGCCCTTGTGTAGAAATGGCTGTACCGTAGCACTACTGGCCTCTAGCAGCCACTCTGCAGCTCATGAACTCTTTTTTCAGAAGTGTCTCTTTTGCTCCTCTGATTTGGACCTACCGGTGGCAACCACTAAAGATGAGATGATCCAAATGGTATCATACACACCCATTCAGGATTCCAGCATCACTGTAACAGATGAGCCTGAAGAGGTGAGCAGATAAACCAGGGAGGAGGAGAATTCTTGCATACTTTCTCACATAAAGTTCTGAGAGTCCCAAAGGAAGTGTGGGGGGGCGGGGGAGAGAGAGAGAATTGTTTGTTTTCTGTTTCAAAGTAGAAGCTGAAGCCCTAAAGCATTGACTAAAGGACATTTTCTACCTGATAAATAAATATATATATATATATTCTTTTTATCAGGTTTCTAGCAGGCCCACCAAGAACCGTAGGCTCTGTAACATCAAGGTAAGCTTTTCCTCATTAAGCACCTGTACAAGTGGAATTCTCTCTGTTCCTGAGAAGGTGCATTCTCAGGTTGATGGCCTGACAAGGAATGAAGGGCAATTGTGTACCAGGAGGAGGTTCTGACATTTGGGTTGTGGTTGCAGTCTCCAGAATGAATAAAGAGGGCCATTAGGGAAAGGAGTCGTAGACATTTATGGGTAAAAGAGGTGGGATTTGAAATGGAGGGTGGGAGCCCAGATCCTTCAATGTTTGGAAAAAACACAACTGGTGGAAGATTATATTTTCCTGCAACATTTGTCTCATTAAAAAGTAGCACCATAGACATTTTTTGCAAATGTTCAAGCTCCTTTGCAAAAGGCTGTAAACTCAGCAAGAATGTAATGTTGAGGACTAGGAAACATGTCCCTTTTTGTGAATCAAACAGCACAAATATTCCTTTGCTTAATCTCGACATGTCCTGTGACTCAGTGGGGCTGGTGTGAACAACTGTTGAAATCGCCTGGCAGAGATCTAGTCAAGACACTGAACCACCATAGCAACTACAGTGTTCTAAGTACATTATTCCCACAGGATTTCATCAGTTCATTTCTATCCTGCTACCAAAATAATCTATGGTAGAACCAAAAACAGTTGTCTGGCCAACAAGAGGTCACAGGCTGGTTTGGCTGAAGAATGGGAATTAGTTAACTCCTCTCGTTGGAGTGAAAACAATGGGAAACCATATTTTTTTTCAGTGATATCATCCCTGTGAAAATCAAGGCCTGTTTGCCCAGTATCATGGACTAAAGAACTTATAACACAAACAGTGTGTGTGTGTGTGCGTGTGTGACCTGTGTCTCCAAATGAACATTAAAAAGCTTCATAAGGCGTTTGACTCTATAAAGTCTGCTCTACATTCAGAAGCCTCTGGCTACAAGGAGAAGGAAACAACCCACGCTTGCCAAGACCAGGGTCAAAACACACAGCTCCTTTTCCCTCCTCTCTTCAGTGTTATATCGATGGTCCCTATGGCACTTCCACGCGCCGGATCTTCTCTTCAGAGCATGCGGTGTTGATTGCGGCAGGAATTGGCATCACCCCTTTTGCCTCCATTTTACAAAGCATCATGTTCAGGTTGGTCTGCAAGAGATTAGGGTCCAAGCTCTAGCAAAATGCTGTGCTGGAGTCTGTGGAGATTCTCCGTCATCCAGGTCCTGGTTGTTCCAAAAGTGCTTGTTCAAAAGGCAACGGGACTTGGTTGTTTCCCTAAAACCGTGATGGTGAACCTATGGAGCCATATCGGTAGGCACCAAGTGTTGCCCTAGCTCAGCTCCTGCATGCATGCGCATGCTCACCAGCTGATTTTTGGATCTTCTGGGCCCACCGGAAGTCGGGAAACAAGCTGTTTTCAGTCTCTAGAGGGCCTCCTGAGGGGGGGGGGGAGGCCATTTTCGCCCTTCCCAGGCTCCTAGAATGGCTCTGGAGCCGGGGAGGGTGAAAAACGGGCCTACCAGGCCCACCGGGCCAAAAGCAGGGGGTGCGCGGGGGGTCATATGTGCATAAGCGGGGTGCGGGGTGCATTGAATCATGGGTGGGGGCACGTACGCGACCCCCCCACGTTTACCCCGCTTTTGGCACGCGACGGCAAAAAGGTTAGCCATCACTGCCCTAAAACAAACAAAGTCCAGTTGCCTTTTGAAAAAGCACTTCTGGGGCTGTACCAGGTTGTTGTTTTGTGTTTTGGTTGACCTGTTTAGTTTTAATTGAAAGCTTGCATGCTGCTTTTCCAAACATGCTTAATATCAATTTAAAAATAGGAGCACTTTTAAATGATTGGAATCAAATTTTGAGACTAATAAGTAAACAGGCATTTAATGGCAGGTGAACAAAAACATATTGAAAGCATTTATTAACATTTATTAATATCTGCCTATTCTACCTTCTTCCTTGTGGCAGCCCCTCAAATATTGGAACATTGCTATCACATCAGCCCTAGTCCTTCTTTTCACTAGACTGGAAATACCCAAATCCATATAGCTGCACCATTCCTCATATGTTTTCACCTCCAGCTCCCTAATCCTCTTTGTTGCTCTTCTCTGCACCCTTTCCAGTCTCTCAATGTGTTTTTCATATATTGTGGGGACCAAAACTGGATGCAGTATTCCAAGTGTGGTCTTACGAAGGCATTATAAGGTGGTGTTAACTCTTCAGGTGATCTGGATTCTACCTCTGTTAATGCAGCCTAGGATTGTGTTGGGTTTTTTGGCATCCGCCGCACACTGCTGGCTGATATTTAAGTGATTGCCGTTTTGGATTCCAAGATTCCTCTCACAGTTACTGGTATTGAGCCAAGTTTCACCTATTCTGTATCTGTGCATGTGGTTTTATTTACTTTCTTTCTTTCTTATTGATTCTATTCATTTCTCTTCCCAGACATCGTATGCGAAAACAAGCCTCCTGCAGCCACAGTAATTCTTTGGATGAGAATATGAAGCTTCAGAAGGTGAGATGCCTGGTGGTAATTTTGAATTCCCTCAAAATAGTATTTTTATTTTTAAAATCCTTGAAGCCATTGTGCCTGAAAGAATACTTCTTTCAGAACCTCCTTATTGGAATCCTAATCTCACTATTGGAGGCTCTTGATCAGGGGTGAAATCCAGCAGGTTCTGACAGGTTCTGGAGAACCAGTAATGGAAATTTTGAGTAGTTCGGAGAACCGGCAAATACCACCTCTGGCTGGTCCCAAAGTGGGGAGGGAATGGAGATTTTGCAGTATCCTTCTCCTGCCACACCCACCAAGCCACACCACGCCCCCCAAGCCATGCCCACAGAACCGGTAGTAAAAAAATTTGAATTTCACCACTGCCCTTGATCCTTTCCAGGTGAGGGAGCTTTACAGGATAACCCTTGAATCTAGAAAATCCGCCTCTAATGGATGGACCTTTTGGTGTCCGTTGAAGATCTTTCTACTCTTCCCTAACTTCTAACCTTTTTTAGCTGCAGTGCAATGATTTTCTAAACCACAGGTGTCAAACTCAAGGCCCGGGAGCCAGATCCGGCCCGGGGGATACTTAGATCTGGCCCACGGGGACGCCCTGGACACAGTTAAAAACCAGCCTGCGGTGCTTTTGCCATGAAAACAGGCTCCTGAGCTCCGTTTTCGGCTGCCATGGCCTCCTGCCACCCTCTGCCAGTGAAAATGGAGCTTGGGAGGGCCGCGTCCTCCATTTTCGATGGCAGAGGGTTGCAGGAGGCCGTGGCAGCCGAAAATGGAGCTTGGGAGCCCGTTTTCACTGGCAGAGTGCTCGGGCCACCACAGGGCCCCCAACAGGAGTGATGCCCACCCCGGTACCCTGAGGTCAAACACAACCCTGATGTGGCCCTCAATGAAATTTAGTTTGACACCCCTGCTCTAAACACTTAATATCCATTAACAAGTGGCTGCTCTAATAGTATTAATTGATTGTAACAGTTGTTTCATTTTTTAAATACCGTTTGAAAGCTGGTGTAGGAAAAGATATTTTGAAAGGTACAGTAGTATTTACATTTGTAAATAAATAAAATGATGGCAACCCCAATTGGGATGGCAACTTGGTTGTTAAGCAAACTGGTTGCTAAGCGAAACTGCTCCTGTGCTAATAGTCTTCCTTCAGCTTTCCTTTACTTCACAGACCTGTGAAGGTTATAAATGACAGGGTTGTTCATAATGTTACCGTTGTAACTGCGAAACGGTCGCTAGAATAAGGCAGTCGCTATGCTCCCTGTTCTTTATTTTCTCCAGGTAGACTTTGTTTGGATCAATCGAGACCAAAAATCCTTTGAGTGGTTTGTCAGCCTGCTTACCCAATTGGAAGCCATGCAAGGCAGTGAAGAGCCAACAGGTGGGTGTCTCCTTCCTCCCGGTCTTTGTTCGCCCCCATGCCAACCTTTGTCTTTCATGCAGGAATGGCTTCTGCAGCTTTGAGACCGGACAAAATTGAGGCAGTGACTAAATCGAGACAGAAAGAGTTTTATTCCATTTTTCCCCCAGAGTAGATGCAGGCTCAGGGGTGGCCTTCCCTCTTCTTCCTTTTAGGCAATCCGTCCCTTTTTGAACTTTACGAGGAATATTAGCAAGGGGGACGAAGGACTCCTGGCAGACACTCCTCCTGTCCATGTAGCCATTCTTCTCATCCTTGGCTTCAGCACTGATGCATAGGTGCTTTTTGCAAGCGCATACCCACACATACACACACACAACGCACACCTGAGCTTTTCTACATGAATGGAAATCATGCTCCAAACAGTTCTGCCCATTAGGTAAATAGGCTGTATATGCAGTCTTCTTGGTGCATCTTTTCATCAATGCGGAAGACAGAAATTCAAGGAAGGGGCCATGATATGGTCTGCTAAATCCACCTGGTTTTCCAATTGCCAGCCCGTTTCCTGGAGATGCATTTGTACATGACCTCAGCACTTAACAAGAGCGACATGAAGGCTGTGGGCCTGCAGATGGCCTTGGATCTACTTGCAAAAAAAGAAAAGAAAGACTCAATCACAGGCCTCAGGACGAGAACAAAGCCTGGGAGGCCAGACTGGAAACAGGTGGGTTTGTCCTCTAAACCACGCTTAAAAACATGTAGTCATGTGGTAGCTCAGTCCAGATTCCAAGTTAGTATCTCACCTTAGAGAAATTATTTCCTGCAGTTGGTTTTATTCAGTTCATAAAGACTAAGGAAGATTTTTAACATCCATATATATCTGCTATATAAGGTGACGGGGAATGGTGCATCCCGTCAGCTGAGTCAGATCTTCGAATGAGGATCAACAAACTGAAGCTTTAAGCAGAAAAGCGAAGTTTTATGTGTTCAGATGGAGTTGCTTTCCCAAGATAGTTTGATGGAGATAAAAATACCAGTTGCAGGCATCAGGAATCTGAGAATTAAAACAGCTGGCTGGAGGATTTTAGAGCTATTCTGGGGTCTTACTGAGAAAGGGAGGAGACAGACATTTAGACCGGCCGGCTTAGAGGTCAATTGGACCACTACAAAGCAATGTGCCAATTGCTATCAAAAAGAAGGCAGAAAGAGACCATGTATTTCAGCTGCTGATGGCTTCTTCTCTCTTTCTCAGCTCTTTCAGAAAATTGACAAAGAAGACAAAGGAAAAGTCCAGGTTTTCTTTTGTGGCTCTCCAGCTCTTGCCAAGGTTGTCAAAGCTCAGTGTGAACAGTTCACTTTTCCCTTTTTCAGGGAAAACTTCTAGCTGCAAGAAGTTTTTTGTTCCGTTTGACCAACATGGTCATGTTTGTTTTTAATGAACTAAAAAATATTCTATTTAAAAGAAAAACACTAGAAAACATTTGTGTCCTTTTTATCATTATAGTACCGGTAGGTTGTATAGTCAGCCAAATGTTTACATTGGATTTGGCATTTTTATTCACCTATCAAGTTCTTCCCAAGGACCTCGGACAGGCAGATGTTGTTTGATGGCGTTAAATAAAAATCATTATCATGTATAATTATTATGTTGGATGATGATGATGGAGATATGTATAAGGTTTCCACAGAGCTGGTAAGAATTTGTTTGCTTGCTTATTTAGTACAAGCCTCTTTTGCTCAACTAAGTCCATGCAAGGCAGCACGTAATGTAACACGTGGAAATAAAAATAAATGTAGAATAGAAGTAACAAAGCCATTAAGCTTAATGCATTATGAATAATTGACAATGCATCAAAATAAAGAATACTGCAAAAAATCTTCTCTGAGGTTCTTTCTCTACTTGCTTTTAACCATGAGACAAACACTCCCAGGAAACCTTTTTTTTCAAGTCACCGTGATGTTGTTTTCATCTTATCCTGCCATAGAAGAGGCTGCTAGTGGTACCCGGGTTAGTGCTTTCCTCCCCTTATTTCAACACCTTCCAAAGGCAGTTTTAAAGTGAAGGTAGAGGTTTAACCGCTGTTCAGTCGTGTCCAATTCTAGATGAGTGTGATGCTCATCTCAGTTTCTTGGCTGAGGGAGCCAGCATTGACCAAAGACATTTTCCATGATCATGTGGCCAGCATGGCTATATGCCAAAGGCGCATGGAACACTGTTGTTACCTTCCTGCTGAATTGGTACCTATTAATCTACTTGCATTTCCATGCTTTCGAACTGCTAAAGCAGCAGGAGGTGAGGCAAATAACAGGAGCTCACCCTGTCACAGTGTCATCCGGCACCCGGTCTTGAACCTGGAATGTCATCTCTCCAACTGACAAGCTCAGTGTCTTTAACCTCTTAGCCATCGCAACCCCCCTTTTAAAGTTTTAAGGTGTGCAAAATGTAAGCAACATCATTAGGATATGCATTGCTTCAGCAACAAAGTGACAAAGCCCCTAGCAACGATCCAACTAAAAAACCCAACAAAAGTAGACTTTTCCAGGAACTTCAAAATCCCAAAAGTAATGCTTTATTGAGTAGATCATTTTGGTACTGAAGAATGCAAAACCAGCTCTAACTTTTCCCACTCAATCCTGTATAGTTCAAGAATACATGCCTCTTCTCCTATGCTGCAGGTCATATTGCCCAATTATGAATCGTCCTTTTGTTTTTGAGAAGTGTCCATGGTTTGGCTGATACCTGCAGTAGTGTCCTTGGCTCTCACGATTGAAGTCTGGAGCCACTGTATTCCATCTCACCCTCCCCCCTGTTCTTTGGCAAGTTGAAGAGTGATAATATTCAAAAGAAGCATAAATGTTTTCAATCTTGACAGACCCAGTTTTCTGCTCTTTGAGACTGCCCTTGAAAGACTTAGACTTTCCCTTAGACTTCAAAGTATGGGACTTCCCAATTAATCACCTATTATCTTGAAGAAAATTCAGATAACCAGTTCTGGATGTAAAGAGAGAAGTGCTTATTGGGTGTTTCTGGCTGACATGGCCATATCCTGTTCTTTCTGGCCCAGTCAGCCTCCTCCATTGCTACAGTATTCCGGTGCTGCCTCCCTGAGAATTTGACACAGCAGGGAACATGTGAACACACTCAGATGTTGAGATTCTAGAAGGGGGGTGTCAAACTTACTTGGCACAGCATCACATGAGATATTGGGACTTTTCCCCCCTTTGCTAAACCAGGCATGGGCAGCGTGTGATGCATCCAGCCCGCGGGCCAGGAGTTTGACAGCTCTATTCTAGAAAGAGGGCAGAGAAGAGCTAAATGTCCATGGAAATCCTCAGTCATCCAGGACATGGTTGTCCCAAAGTTGCTTTTTCAAGAGGCCACTGGACTTACTTTCTCATTTTTTCGTTTCCCTTCTCATCCAAGAAGCTTCTTCAGCAGAAAACAATCCCCTAATCAAGGAACTACCAAGGAGAACACCACACACCTCCCACCAATGCTGGGAGGGCTAGCTTCTGTATAAAAGCAGGGGACATTTCCTATATCACATTAGTCCTGATGATGTTATCTAACTGGGTAATGAGAAATCTGAAGGCACACAACCAAGGTCAGAGAGCACTAAGGCTTCCACTGTTTCAGCTGTGAAAACAGGAATGGCGGTGGGGAGAAGAGTTTGCAGCTTTATTTCATTATTTTTCCACCATAGTGCTTATCCTGAAAATGAAAAGCCTGTAACAATATAGTAGCATTGTTGCCTATACTGTTACAGGCTTTTCTTCATCAGATACTTGGAGATGCTTGTCTCTCACTATTGTTATTTTGCCTGCTCCAAATATATGTTTTTGAGCTCCGCTTTCTCCCCTGCCCCCCCTCCCCCATTTCTTTTAACCAGAAGAGGGAGCTCCAACATAAATGTTTGTTTAAAATTAAATTCAAACCTGTAATCTCCTTTTTTTTCAATTGAAGATTAAACAATTAAACATTAGCAATCAATATTAACATTTCAATTAACATTATAAATAATGACGAAGAGAAGGAGGGAATAAAAAGTAAAATACAAATGAATGACAAGAGAATTAGAAATCCCAACAAGATTATAATTTTCCAATATAACACACTTATAAATATCTGAATATATTATGTTGCTTTAACAGATTAAAATATGAATATTGGGAACCGCAATCATAACATAAGTCAATCATTTTCCTCCTACATTTTATTACCGCCCTTGTCCCCTTGGAATGGACTGCAAAGATGTCTATATTTCAACAAGGTTCCTATATTTACATCTCTATGGTTTCATCTCTCTTAGCTGTGATCGTTAATATCTGTATTGTTGTAACCAGTGTAAAACTATTAAACAGAAATCTAACCTAGAACTAAGGAGATATTTCCTAACTATGATAACAATTAACAAAATTTGCAGATGATACCAAGTTGGCAGGAACAGCCAACACTCCAGAAGAGGTCACAGAAGGATCTTGACAGACTTGAACACTGGGCCCTAACTAACAAAATGAAATTCAATGGTGGGAAAAGTAAGGTTCTATATTTAGGCAAGAAAAAAACAAATGCAGAGATATAGAATAGGTAGTACATGGCTCAATAGTAGCAACTGTGAGAAAGATCTTGGAGTCCTAGTGCACCATCACTTAATGAGCCAGCAGTGTGCTGCAGCTGCCAAAAAAGCAAATACAGTCTTAGAGGCTGCATTAATAAGAGGGAAAGAATCAAGATCACATGAAGTGTTAGTACCACTTTATAAAGCCTTGGGAAGGCTTTATAAAGCATTGTAAGCCGCATTGTACATTTAATGCATCATAAGCCACCCTGAGTCTCCGGAGAAGGGCGGCATATAAATTAAAGCAAAAAGAAAAGGCCACACTTGGAGTACTGCGTCCAGTTTTGGTCGCCATGATGTAAAAAAGATGTTGAGACTCTAGAAAGAGTGCGGAAAAGAGCAACAAAGGTGATTGGGAGGCTGGAGGCGAAAACATACGATGAATAGTTGCAGGAATTGGGTATGTCTAGTTCAATGAAAAGGGCTAGGGGTGAGAAAATAGCAGTATTCCAGTATTTGAGGGGCTGCCACAAAGAAGAATGGGTCAACCTCTTCTCCAAAGCACCAGAAGGCAAGACAAAAAACAATGAATGGGAGACTTCCGGTTGGAAGATCACTATAGAGGAATTAAAAACCGCCCTCTCTAAAATAAAGAAAAACAAAACCCCAGGGCCAGATGGTCTTCCTGGGGAAATATATTTAAAATTTGATGAAGCCCTGAAACTAGAACTATTAGAAATATTTAATGAGGCTCTGGCTGGTATAACAATCCCGGATACCTGGAGGGAAGCGTATTTGACGCTCATACTGAAAGAAGGTGCCGACCCGAAACAGATATCTAATTATAGACCCATCTCCTTGCTGAACGCAGACTACAAACTGTTTATGAACATAATTGCGGAGAGGGTCAAAAAAATTTTAAATCGGTGGATCCACAAAGATCAGAATGGTTTTCTACCAGGGAGACAGATCAGAGACAACTTGAGAACAGTATTGAACACCATAGAATTCTATGAACAACATCCTGAAAAACAGCTGGCCCTAATGTTTGTCGATGCCCAAAAGGCGTTTGACAATTTGAATTGGACTTTTATGATTAACCAAATTAATCTAATGGGATTCGGGACGAATTTTAGGAAGATGATCGAGAACATTTACCATAAACAGAGGGCAAACATATTAATGAATGGAGATAAAACTCAGGTATTTCAGATCCAAAAAGGAGTGAGGCAGGGATGCCCCCTGTCTCCCCTACTTTATATTCTGGCGCTAGAGGTGCTACTTAGAAAGATCAGAGCCAATAAAGAAATTAAAGGATTAAAGATCAGGAAGGAAATATTCAAAATGCAAGCTTTTGCAGACAACGTAGCCCTCATAATAGAAGATCCACTAGAAACCAGTTTAAAATGCAGGAAATAAAGGATTATGGAGAAGTGGCGGGCCTTAAACTCAATAGGAAAAAAACTAAAATAATAGTGAAAAATATGACAGATTCACAAAAAAAGGAATTGGAAGACTTATTAGGCCTCCAGGTAGTTAAGAAAATAAAATATTTGGGAATATGGATCACTGCGAGATTCTCATCATTAAAAGAAGACAATTATATCCCTCTGTTGCAGAAAATATATCAAGACCTAGAAAGATGGAAAAGGCTAAAACTGTCTCTGATTGGTAAAATAGCAGCGATTAAAATGAACATCCTACCTAAAATTCTGTTCCTATTTCAAAATATTCTGATAACCTTAGATAAAAAATTCTTTCTGGACCTGAACAAACACATTAGAAATTTTCTATGGGAGGGTAAGAAATCGAGGATCTCCTTTAAGATACTGCAAGGGAAAAGAAATTTGGGAGGATTTGGGCTCCCCGATTGGGAAATATATCAAAAGGCGGCGAAAATAATTTGGATTAAGGAGTGGATCATGTTACGAAATAGGAGAATCCTGACATTAGAAAGACATGACCTATTGGAAGGATGGCATGCTCACCTGTGGGATACAAAGAACAAGAAAAAATCCTACTTTCATAAACACAAAATTAGGGAGACTCTTATATGCACGTGGGAGGAAATTAGACAGAGAATTTATACTAAGGTACCTAACTGGCTTTCTATTACGGAAGCGTTGGCGGCCCCAAACAGGAGAGACGATTATAAATTGGCCACATATAAAGACATCCTTGATGAAAAGGGGAAGCTCAAACCTTTGGATTTATTGAGGGACCAGGGTTTCAATTTGGATTGGTGGAATTACCTGCAGATTAATTCAAGATTCCAAAAAGACAGAGACCAATTTGGTATAGAAGCAAAATATGGAAATTTTGATAAAATTATTTGGGGAATAGACAAGAAAATGCTAGCAAAAATATATAACTTCTTATTAGATGAGGATAGTGCAGAGATTATAGCAAAAAATCAGCTAAATATTTGGGAAAAAAACCTGGGATACAGATTAAATTTTAACGACTGGGAGATGGCCTGGAATAGGAATTATAAAATGACGAAATCGGCAACATTTAGAGAAAACCATTATAAAATGCTACACAGGTGGTATCTAGCACCAGCTAGGCTAGCAAAAATGTTTCCCAACCTCTAAGCCACGTGTTGGAAATGTGGAAAAACGGTCGGCACCTTCTATCATCTATGGTGGACCTGTCCAGAGACCAAAAGGTTCTGGTCAAAAATTCGATATTGGCTTTGTGAAATAACGGGACAGGAGATAGTTCTATCTCCAGAAATCTTCCTCCTGGGTATAATCGGAGATGGCTTTAATAACAACAAAACGCAATTCATAATCCAGATTACAACTGCGGCTAGACTAGCCTTTGCGAAATACTGGAAAAATAAATCCATACCCTCAGAAGAAATACTAATAAACAAAATCCTAGAGTGCGCAGAAATGGCAAAATTGACGAGTGAGATAAATAATGAGGACAAATCTAAATATTATGAAGTATGGGGAAATTGGTACAATTGGTTGAAGAACAAGACAAAAACATGATTTTAGGATATGACTTGTTATGCACTCGAAATACGAGCTATATTGCATAGAATATTGTACAGCTAAGGATGTAGTTTATTTAACGTATGATTCCGTAAATTGTATAAACACTGTACCTCTGAAGGAAATAGAGATTGTATATTTTCTTTTATAATGGAAAAATTTAATAAAGTATATTTTAAAAAAAACAAAAAAAAATGAATGGAAACTAATCAAGGAAAGAAGCAACCTGGAATTAAGGAAAAACTTCCTAGCAGTGAGAACAATTACCCAGTGGAACAGCTTCTCTCCAGAAGTTGTGGGCGCTCCATCACTGGAGGCTTCCATGAAGAGACTGGACAGTCACTTGTCTCTAATTCAGTGTTTCTCAACCTTGGTAGCTTGAAGATGGGTGGACTTCAACTCCCAGAATCCCCCAGCCACGGCTTCCTGTGCTGCGCCGCGATTGGCTCCCTCTGGCCTCCGCTCAAAAAGAGAGGAACGGCTTTGCCATTGGTTGCGGAGACGGGGCGCGCTGGCAATTGGGCGAGCCCGGCTTTAATTGACGGCGCCCCGAAGAGGTCCTCCCACCGAGGTGCTCTCGCGGGAAGTCAGCGGGAAGAGGGCGGAGCCGCTTTCCTCAGGGCCGAGCTGGCTGGGTCGGGCAGAGTGGCCAGTGGGGCCGCCGGCGCCGGGACGCTCTCTCTCTCTCTCTCTCTCCCTCTCCCCCTCTCCGGCCTCCCAGCGGGAGGGGTTGTGGCTCTTCTCTGGGGGGGGCGGGGGTCCGCGTTGCTACGGAGACGGAGGCGCACCAGCTACTCCCGGCCCGGCGGGGCCTACCCCGAAAGGCGCGCGCGGGCTGCGGGACGGAGCGGCGCCCGGAGCGGCCCTTCCGATGCGGAGAGAGCGAGCGGGCGGGCTCCTTCGACTCTCCGGTCTTGCGCCTGCCTGGCGCCGGCGGTTGAAGTTCCCTTAAGGCCGTGCCGAGGGCGGGGAGCGGCCGAGCCCCTGGGAGCAAGGTCAGCCTTCGAGTTCCCGGAGGGCGCGCGGGAAGGGCCGGGGGGGTCGCTCGGAGCCTCCGTTCCCGCAGAAGGGGGAAGGTCTCCGCGCCTGGACTGGGCCGGGGGTCTCCCGGGATGCGAGGCCGTTCCTGCCCGGTGCCCGCAGCCGCCACTTCGCCCCCGGCAGAGCAAAGGAGGCCTTGGAAACGGCGCGGCTCTTATGGCTGCCACGAACGGCTGAGGAAAACGTCATTTGGGGGAACATTAAGATCTGGAAAAGGGCGTGGAATTGAAGCTGTTGCCTTCGGGCCCTTCTTGTCTCCAGGTGTCAGCAGGTGGTCTGAAGGCTTCGCGATGGCTTCGTCCAGGACCCAGGAGAGAGAGGAGTCCCCGGGGAAGACCTGCTGGGCGCTGGGCGTCTGCAAAGCTTCCTCCCAAAGACCCCCCACCGCCATTTCTCCTCTTATGGCCGTTGCTGCTGCCTTATGACCAATTACAACCTTCCGAATTTTAGGTGGTGAGTAGCATGGACCAGCAGGATGCCATTTGGGTGAATGCCACCACGCTTGTTGCGGTGGTCTTCGGCTGGGCCCCGTGTGCACGTGGCAGGCTTCCTGGTGTGGCCCCTGGGGCCAAAGGGCCCCCCTGCCATGTCCATGCCTTGCGATGGAAGGGCTCTCATTGGCTTCTGAAGCCGATTCACCTCTTTGTCCCTGGAGCAGGGCACCTCTCCCAGCTGTGTGTGCCTTGGTTCTGCACGTGGCCTATTTCATCTCATGCTGCTTATTGTTTTTGTGTCCTGCTTTTTGAGCGAAAGTGCCTTTCCCGAGATTGTAAATGTGACACTTAGAGCATACAGTCCAGGAGCTCTTGGTTTCATGGATGAGCCATCTCTTTGATCTGTAGTCCTGGGACAGTTAACTGTCAGGTGTCTCATGTCTTAACGGATGAGGAAAGAATTTTCCCCTGCTTGCCACAATGTCCTTTCTTCCTTCCCTCTGGGAGGCCTTGGCTTCTCTTGCTAATGACAAGCCAGTGTATTGCCATCCAAGACCCTGTGATCAAGGTTGGATAATCATTAATGAAGGAGTGAAGGCTACTTTAGACAGTGGATGTGGTCATAGGAGTGGGTGGGTTTTACTGGTTCTTTATGGATAACATCTGTTGGAACTTTATGTGCAGGCACTGACCATACAATGTATCTGTAGCACACAGTAGCTAAACTATCTCAGCAAGCTTCCATCCATTCTTCCATATTTTTCCTTATTTTTCAGATGAGCTGCTAGTTGGAAATATTCTGCTATACTTTTATGCTCATTTTCAGGAGGAAAGCTATGCATTGTTGGTACTATAGAGCCACAGTGTCACATGACGTTTCGTGACGTTTTTCCTCTTCGCGGAGCTGGGAAGGGCGTGGCCTGCACGTGATGCCTCCGGCCCATGGGCCGCCAGTTTGACACCTCTTCTTATAGAGGAAACAGGCTGCAGTAGCTTCTTGAGGTTTGTGTGAATGATGCAGCCTTGGCAAATAACTGCAGAGGCACAACAGGGTTGAATCTACCCTGTTACTATTGGAGAAAGGATTTTGTGGTAGCTGCTTCCATAGTGCGGTTTGTTTATTTGTAGACCGTAAATTGCAAAAGCCTATAGTGATTAGCAGCTGGCTGATAGCCCAGAAACATGCAAAGCTGGTCTCGTAGTGCTTGGCAGTAATTTTGGTAAAATAGTTATCCCTGAGCTCTTTCAGATAGATCCTTTGACAATGATACAATATTTCCATTTTACAATGCTGATTCTGTCCAAATACTCCCCCAGGGTTAGGGTTAGCGTAAGATATTTTTCCTAGCATAAACAATGTTTATCCTCTGGAATTGTCAGAAATGCCAGCTTGATGTTCTTTAGTATAGGAGGCAAATTAAGAGGGAGCAGTGGCATATCTTTCTATCTTATACAAATGTTATTCTTTCTACATGAAACATGGAAATTGATGGTTTACTATCTTTCACAGCATAGATGAATGGATGGCTTTCAGGTTGGGTATTACCTTAAAGTCACATCCTTTGCTTCTGTTCCTCTAGTCTAGGTGTAAACTGAAATAAATGCTATTTGATAAATTCTAGCAGAAACTTGACTTGATTTGACTCATGGGTGCTAAAATAATAAGTTTGCTAAATCTTAGTCCCATTCTTTGCAAAATAATTTTGAAGTAAAAATCAGGTAGAATGTCTTTAGCTGAGTCTCTCCTTAAATATTGCTATGTTAATGTTTCTTTCTTACTCTTGGATTTTATGGGATTACAGTTCCTGTTGTCCCAAATCACTGACCATACAATGTCTGTTTGGCACCATGACAGGGAAGATTGTTGAGTATTTCTGACCTAAGCAGAGTATTCTGAAGTATTCAAGATCAGTCTTGATCTTACGGCCCACTGGATGAGAACTATATTGAGTTTAGATGTCTGGACTTAAGAGAATCTTCTCTTCTGCATTGTTCCATGTGTGTCATGATAAGTAACCTTTCTTTTGAATTCAGAAGCACTCACTAATCAATGAATATATAGTAGCCTTTTTTCTTTTTGCAGCTGAAAAAAAAACCAAAAATAAAAAACCATGGAAGCATATAAAGTTGTCAACATGTTGTATTGTGCAGTTAAAATATTAACATTTAGTCATGTTGTTAATAGAAGACAGAAATTAAGTATATAAACTACTATATATAATCCGTAGTCTTCCAGTTTATATACTTACATACTGATACAGAAAGTATCTGGATTGTTAATTAAAAGTGCACAATATTCATTTCTGTCGTCTTTCTCTTAGTTTCTTTTTTTTTTTTGATAGTTTTTTTTATTTTTTACACAATGTATTTTTGCTGAACAGAGTATTCGGCCAGTTAACAAATTTAAACAATTTTTAGACTTTTCAACTAAAATTACGATTTCTATACCTCCTTTTTTGCCATAACATTTATTTTCATCTATTTTGTACCAATATTACCCTTCATTTTCATCTCTAATTTTGACCAAATTCCATTTTCCCTTCTATTCTATATTAAACCCCTTCCCATTATCATCTAATTTTTATATCCATCAAATTAATTAATTATGTGGTATTATAGTTATTTAATTCTTATATTAATAATAAACCCACTTATAACATACATTTCCTTAACTAATACAATCCAACATTTTAATATAAATCGATTATATAGATATCTTTTTCATTTATATATGAACCAGAAGAAGAAAAAACCTTAGTTGAATTTAAAAATATTCTATTATCCTCTAATCATATAGCTTTCTCCCTGTATTATTCCAAATCATTACTTAATCGTTTGTACACACACCACCGTAAACCATTAAAAACATTTCAATTATTATTCCAATTATTTTTCAATTCATTTTCACCATCATATGATTTAACATTATTTCTTACTAAAATTCATATTTCAATTCTAGTCATATACATCATATTCCTCTTTCATTTCTTTCCTTTTTTCCCTTTCCCTTTTTATTTTTACCTTTTTCTTTCCCCTTTTTTCCTTTTGTGCCTTAAAATCCTGATCTCTCCTGTTTTGACCTATATTTCCCATTGTTCCCCCTCTCTTTTCTCTTTTTTTTGTTTCACCACTGTTTATCCCGCTATTTATCCCAGTATTATCATTTTGTATTTCAAAGTCCTGAACTCTTCTATTTTGCCCTATATTTCCTGTTATTTTCTACCCTTTTTATCTTTTTTATCTTTTCACTGTAAATCCCAGTGTAATCATTTAAGTACTTTATATTCTTTCTGTTCCATCCTCCCTTCCTTATTTGTCTCTTTCCATCCTCTTTATTTTTTTCATTGTTAATCCCAATGTAAACTCTAAAAACCTCCTTTTTATTATTACTATCCACATGTTCAGTTACTTCTTCATATTTAATCACATTGTCTTTATCTTCTTTATTTTCAGCCTCTGTCTTGCTTCTCCATCGTCATTTCCTTGTCCGCTTGCGTATGCTCCATCTCAGCTTTTGTGTCCTCAGATTTTAATCCTCCATGTAACATTGTAGTTATTTCTCTTATTTCCATTTTCCATGACAAGTACATTGAATTAATCATTTCTCTAATTTCCTGTGCCATTTTATTCTTTTTGAGTTAATATTATTTCGGTTTTAAAAGTTCCATTGTATTCCTTTATTTTTCCAAAGTCAAGCCGCTTGCAGGCAAAAAAAATCCTCCCCAAAAGTTCTCACGGCTGTTATCTGTAAAGTTCACAATTTTCCAAAACAAAGACCAAGTTGCAATATTCCTTTTTACTCCTGAAGGTGTCTCTCTGCAATCCACAATTTCCAATTGTCTAACAAATATCCATTTTGTTTCAATCTACATTAACAATCTTACTTAGCTTCTCTTTTTCTTTTTAGCTTTAAAAATATCAAAACAGTTTTATAGTCCAGTCCGAATTTAAACAGCTCTTCTCACTTCTTTTTTCAATTTTTTCTTTTATTTATACAACATTTCTGTTATAGGGCTTATTGTCCATTTTCTTTTGTTTTTCTTGAAATTCGAAAAAGAAAGGGAAAGAAAGGATCTATTTATTTCTTTCCGATCCTTTAACCAATCTTGGGGCAATTTCTCTAGTTATTTAAAATTTTCCAAATTATTTCCAAATAATTTTGTTCAAAAGTCAATTTTTCATTGGGTTTTTGTCCCTTTAAGATTATGCTTCAAAATCATCTTTTCTTCCCCCCCGTAGCTGCTGTTTTATCGCTAGGGGTCTTAAAGTTAATTTTTTTTCCTTATTGTTATTTCAACCATGGGTTGGCTGTCACTCACCTGGCTTCAAAAAACTCCATTCCATTCATCACTCCTGCTCAATGCTTAGTCCGGTTGCCCCATCTTTGTGACAGCCGCAATGGCTGCCGTCCCCCGCCGCCGAGTCATAGAGAGTTTCCTCTGACCTTCGAGGAACTTGCCTGTTGCTCTTGGTCTTCCGAGGTGCCTCTCCTTCCCCATCCCTACAGAACGGTTCTGGTTTGAAGACCCCTTGGCAGCGGTTCGTCAGTCCAGGTTTTCACGGAGCTCATCAGAGCCCGCTAATTCTCCGACTGTCTCGCTGCGACGCTTCCGATCGAATCCCCCCCGTCTTTCTCTTAGTTTCTAGGCCATTGGCAAATAATGGAAAAGAACAGATGTACTGTGTCTATAAGAATAAGTCAGCCTTCCAAAACCAAATTTTCAAATGAAGAACTTGTGTCCGAAAGGGAGCCACTATATAAGAGGACTCCAATCTTGGCAACTTTAAGCCTGGCGGACTTCAACTCCCAGAATTCCCCAGCCAGCTTTACTGCCAAGGTTGGAGACCCCTCCACTATACCACATGACAGTTTCATATGGACCCAAGTTACTTTTTGAGCATCATTTCCCCAGTAATTCAATCAAGGCACCAAATTCTTATAAAAACACATGTGGATGCCCACTATCCGTCTGATTTTGACCTTTTGAAATTCTTTGTCAAACTGCGTGTTTTTTATTTGTACTTGACTCGAATTCTGTGAAATACCATTCAGCCTCATAGCATAGCATAGCATATATATTGAATCATGGTGCTGATGTACCAATATTAATACAATATTGATTTCATGTAAAATGAAATTCTTCTTCACATAAAGCTACCAATTGTTTTAAGTTCTGTTGAAGTTTTTGACCTGTTGCCACATGCTCAAAACTATAGCAATGATAAGTCTGAATAAATGAGGTTTTAATTAGCCAGTTGTTTTTTAAACACATTCTTCCCTGTCCTGGCCCATCTCTTGCCAGAAGCCCTTCTTGTAGGTAATGTAAGTTATAGTCTAGAAATCCAAAGTTCTCCCGATGGCACCATCCCTTGAGCCAGCAGTTTACTTCTACAATCCTCCTTTGCCTTGTTGGGTGTTGACCTATAGTTGACAGTATCGAAGACTACCTGGGTGCCATATTGGTTTGCTTTGATGCCTAGTTGCTCAGTCCTTGATGTTATTTCCAGGCTCTCGGTTGTATTGTTCATCCCAACATGTAAGGAGAAAGAGATAATGATCAGTGGGCTTGGTTATTTTAGTAAGCAATTGGCAAATCTCTGGTTTTACCTGCTTACTTTCCTCACTTGATTATCAGGTCTGCAGATTGCTGTTTCTGTTCCTCTTAAGAAGTGAGTCACCTATCACCAACAATGTCATTCATTCATTCATTCTTCTTAACTGCCCATCTCCCTCAGAGAGGGGCTGTGGGTTGAGAAGTCTGAGATACTGGAACATTTGAAGACCCTTCTGATGTTTCCATGTTTTCCTTCAGAGGGAGATTTTGAAATGATTGTGCAGCTCCAGGGGTTGTGGGAACATTTTTTTCCTTACGATTAAAGTGTAGGTTCAAGAATAAGTAGTTTCCTTATTGCTCTGTTAAGTTTGGATATAGAATTCTGCCTTTACTGGGAGTTCTTTGTGTTCAGGGATGCTTCTAGACTCTATAATTTCTCTTTTAGCAGTCCAATTAATTACATTGGATGCAGGTATAATTTGAATTCTCCCTGGGCAGGAATACAAACATGGCACAGACTTTGCAAAATACTTTCTCTATAACTTTGTTATTGTCCATTAATGCTCCCGGTAAATTCAAGAACAGTTAGTCTTTTGCTCCCTCTTGTGGCTAATGTTCAAATTAATACTGTAGCCTTTAACAAAATTTCAAAAATTAAAAATGTTGAAAGATTTTTTTTGCTAATTAAATGTTTTTCAAGTTGAATGATTTTCAGTCGTTTATTATAAATATTGTTTATTTATTTAAAAATAATTTTAAAATTGTAAACAATTTTTTGAAAATATTTTTTTTTTAAAAAATTAAAAATTCTATTAACAATTACTCAGTTTGAAAAAAAAGCAGGATTTACAAGCATTACCTTGAAAGGAATGGAAAAGCAGTAAGTCCAAGCTTCACTTCTTTTTTTATTCGAGTTCCAAACTTCACTCAGAGTGATAAAAGGGGAAAGATGGTGTGCATGCTCCTTGTCCTATAAAGCCTCTTTAGGACTGCCCCGAGGATGGATTCGGGTTGAGCTAATCTCCTCCTCCTCCTCCTCCTGCCTTGGGAGGCTATCACACATAACCTGACTTCCTGCAGGCAAGCTTCTTTTAGACACGGTGTTCAGCACATCAAGATTCAGGTCATAAATTTATTATTCTTCATGCAAATGTTCAAAAGTAAATTCAAGGCAATCAGAAGTTTTACTTTTGTGGCAATGACTTAATTTTTGCAACCTTCTGTGAAAAATTAGTCTCAAAAACCTTGTAAGTCCATAAAAAGTAGGCCAAAAAATCGAGGGGAAAAGGGGGAGGAAAAATAATGTAATAATGAATGAAGGAAATAACTCTGAGCTTCTTTAGAAATTCTGTTAAAACGTACTTATTTGCTCCCACTTATGGCTAATGTTGAAAGCTTGCAGCCAGTGTAGAAAAGGAATAGAAAAAGGAGAATAAAGAGCTGCTCTAGCTCTGTGTGTGTTTGTCATGAGTTCCTCCTCACTATTTTTTTCACCAGAGAAACTCCCTGTACAGTTTGTCTACACACCCCTGTTAAAATGCCAGGTTATTGAGACGTAAAAAGGATCAGACCAATTACTTAAGAATTCCATCTTTAATATAACACAAGCCGTACAATTGAATTGAAAAACAAACTAATCTTTTAGGGGGTGAAATAACAAAAAAACCGAGTTTATATATGATATTAAAGGTGGAAAAATTTCTTAAGTGATTCCTTGGTCTGATTGTTTTACATTTCAAAACCTGGCATTTTAATAGGGATGTGTAGACTTTCTAAAGCGTAGTTTCCCTCCAGCACTCCCCACAAGAACAGCAAGAGAAGCACTTACTATACAGCAGAAATTCCGAGGCTTCTCCTGGGCCATTTCAAAGTCAGTCCCTCAGATATGGGATCATTAGAGTCCCTTGTGATTCCCCGCTGTCAAAAATGCCTGTTGTTTGCACCAGTGGAAATTATTTGCATACTAATAATTTCACTTTTAGGTTACTCTCTGCCCAGGTGCCTGGGCCCCTTCAGGACATGGAGCTCTGGTGCAAAATAGGCCATTCTGCAACTACAGGCTTTTTTTTTGCGATCCTGGAATGTGTTCTCACTGAAATCTCTGCAGCCAGTAGATGTCTTTTGAAGATGTTTTCTTTATTTACTTTGGTGATCTAGTCCTCATTTTGTTTTTGTTCCTCCTTTTTTCACTATACATTATTTTTATATTATTTTTCATGTATTGTTCTAAGGTAGTTTAGATTTCACAAATCCCTGCAACATTCTACTATGTAAGAAACAATATGAAATATTGTCAAATAGTATTACTGTTCTCTCTGCCATGAAGCTGCTGGTGCAAAACATGTACGTGCTCTTTCCCCAAGAGGGATTCCTGGAACCATCAGCTGGGGCTTGGAACTGTTCAGTCTGCTTATTGTTTCATGTGCCCAATCTGCTCTTCCACTCCGACTTTTAATTGAATTGAATTTTTATTTTAGGTATGGTGTGAATATGCGTTGCTTGGCAGCTCGAGTGAACTATAAGACTTTGATTGTCATCTGCATTTTCTTCTCCTTGATCACCATCCTGCTGTGGAACCGGTGCACCAGTGGGAAAATAGCACCTTTCCCGCATGACTTGAGTGGCAGTGTGAAAGCAGATGGATCAGAGAAGCGAGTGGCTGCATCAGAGAGCAGCCAGTGTGTGAACAGACCAGCTAAGCAGCAGAGTGAGGAAGCATCGCCCCAGGAGCAGCAGAAGGCTCCCCCCATTGTTGGGGGCTTCCATGGGAACAAAATCTTAGGGCTGAAATATGAAGAAATTGACTGTCTAATCAACGATGAGCACACTATTAAAGGCAGAAGGGAGGGGAATGAGATCTTTCTGCCTTTCTCATGGGTGGAGAAGTACTTTGAGGTTTACGGGAAAACTGCCCAATATGATGGCTACGACCGGTTTGAGTTCTCCCATAGTTACTCCAAAGTGTACACCCAGAGAGCCCCCTACCATCCAGATGGCGTTTTTATGTCATTTGAGGGCTATAATGTGGAAGTCCGGGACAGAGTGAAGTGCATCAGCGGTGTTGAAGGTTTGTTATTTTTGTTCAAAATACGTACAGATCCATGAGGGTGTAAATATTGATAGCTAAATTTTGATTCAATGCTTGCATTAAAACTTTAAAACTAGAGGTTGCCTTCAGCATTGGAAGGCAAAAGAAATACCGTGTTTCCCCGAAAATAAGACCCTGTCTTATATTTTTTTTGAACCCTGAAATAAGTGCCTGGCCTTATTGCCATGCACTCAAAAGCCCGATTGGGCTTGTTATCAAGGGATGTCTTATTTTGGGGGAAACAGGGTAACCTCCATGGAGTTTGGTTCTTTATTTCAAAAACCATGATGGATTTTAATAGGAAATTTAATGAACTAGTTGAGATTCATGTTAATTATATTGTTTTTGTTCCACAGTGCAACAAAGTAAATGTTACCTTCGAGAATACAATAAATTTACAATATAACATCCATGATGTAAAATTAAACATAAAAAAATTAAGCAAAAGGTTTTTTTTCCTCCATTAGCTCTGTAGAACAATCCAGTTTTTAAAAGCCAATAATGGAGAGGGGGCAACCTCTTTTTCCCTAATGCAATCACACAGGAAAGTTGTAATTGGGTTAAGCCAGTGTTTCTCAACCTTGGCAACTTTAAGTCATTCTGAAGGATTCTGGGAATTGAAGTCCACATGACTTAAAGTTGTCAAGGTTGAGAAATATTGGGTTAAGCCATCCCAACTGCCTTAGATAGTATCCCTTGATATCTGCATACTTGAGTAGAAATAGGCTGCACATCTGTCAAGGCTTAAATACAAGAAATTCCACTTTGGCACAATTATTTGAAACCTTTAAAAATTCATATTGAGCAGTACCTTTATTGGTGTTGTACCTGCGAGGTTTAACATTCCCCAGAACTTGTTAGTCAGGCGAGGGTGTACAAAAGCAGGAGATATGCCTGTTTTGAAATCACAAAAACAGATCAAGCATCCCCAAATGGCCATGTTGGCATATTCCAGGAGAAAAATGACCAGTTTGAGGGAACGCTGGGACTTTTCAGGAAGAAAAACCACCCTGGAGATGCATAGAATGTTCTCTTATGTTTCAGGTGTGCCGCTTTCCACGCAGTGGGGACCTCAAGGCTACTTTTATCCCATCCAGATTGCCCAGTACGGGCTCAGCCATTACAGCAAAAATCTTACGGAGAAACCTCCCCATGTTGAAGTGTATGAAACGGCAGAAGAGAAGGAGCAGGGCAGCCCACCAGGCAAATGGATGGTTCCCAAAGGCTGTTCGGTCACGACGTTGCTGGACAAATCCCGATTCACAAATGTCAAGCAGTTTGTTGTTCCTGGTGAGTCAAGTGGACAGCAGGTTGCCTTTCCTTCGTGTAAAATTCGGCATTCCTGGTTCATGGCTCTCATTCTGGAGGCCCAAAAGGCAAGAGGAATGTTTTTGATGATGCACCTGGACGTCCCTGTTCCAAAATCATTGAACTCTCATGAGATTGATGTGTGCGCACAAAAACACACACTTGGGACTGCCAAAATCTTCCAGTTTCAATGTTCCCAATTTAGCATTGTACGTCACTGGCTCCAAACTAATACCATGTTGAGGAAGTCACAGGGAGTTTGATTTCATTGTGGCCTGGGCAGCATTCACCGTAACACCTGGGATGAACAAGTGTCATAGAATCTCTGGTCCAGAAATGTCCCCTCAGGATAATATTGAGGTTGGCAGAGTAAAGGGAGGGAGCACTGCCTGATCAGATAGAGCTATGAGGGGAGGGGGGCAGCAGGCAGGAAAGAAGAGCTTTGGGGGGTTAAATTGAGGAAGGAACAGGTGGAACCTAAAAATTGTGAGCAACAAGCATTGATGAGGCTGGGAAAGGGGATGGTATGATCAAAGGCCAGAGACACACATTTGAGCTGTGAGTTGGAAATTTCTAATTGATTTTTACCAATAAGGATATTGCTGTCAGAATTAGCTTTATAAAGCACAAACCTTTGGCCTGACTTTCATGTTTTTAATGTGTAATAGTGAAGGGATTCAAGCTGATGTGTTTATTTCACCCTGTTGATTGAAGTTCCTTGGGAATTTGCTAAAGCATGCATCTTGGCTGATGAGCTAATTAAGGAAATTTATGGTCAGTTCTTCAGTACACAGGAAAAAACCCTCACACTTTGCTTCCTGACCATCTCTGTATTTCTTCATTTGTTTCCCTTCAGAAAACTCCGAGGGAGCCTCTCTCCAGCTGGGGAACACAAAGGACTTTGTCATTTCCTTTGACCTTAAATTATTAACGAATGGGAGCGTTTCAGTGGTTCTTGAGACAACCGAGAAGAACCAGCTGTTTACAGTGCACTACATCTCCAATTCTCAGTTGATTGCTTTTAAGGACAGAGACATTTTCTATGGAATTGGGGCCAGGACCAGTTGGAGCACAATCACACGAGATCTTGTCACTGATTTAAGAAAGGGTGTCGGACTCTCTAACACAAAAGTGGTCAAACAGACCAAAATTATGCCCAAAAGAGTGGTGAGGCTGACCGTGAAGGGAAGGGGCTTCATAGACAACATCACTATTTCAACCACTGCCCACATGGCAGCCTTTTTCGCTGCCAGTGATTGGCTGGTGAGAAACCAGGATGAAAAGGGTGGCTGGCCAATCATGGTAACCCGGAAGCTAGGGGAAGGGTTTAAGTCTTTGGATCCAGGTTGGTACTCTGCCATGGCACAAGGACAGGCGATTTCCACCTTGATTAGGGCTTACCTGTTGACAAAGGACCATGCCTTCCTCAGTTCAGCTCTGCGAGCAACAGCCCCTTACAAGCTCCTGTCAGAGCAACATGGCGTGAGGGCTGTCTTCATGAACAAATACGATTGGTACGAGGAGTACCCAACCTCGCCCAGCTCCTTCGTTTTAAACGGATTCATGTACTCTCTGATTGGCCTGTATGATTTAAAAGAAACGGCTGGCGAGAAGCTGGGCAAAGAAGCAAAGCTGCTCTATGACCAGGGCATGGACTCCTTAAAGGCCATGCTCCCCTTCTATGACACAGGGTCAGGAACAATCTACGACCTTCGCCACTTCATGCTGGGCACAGCTCCCAATTTAGCCCGGTGGGATTATCACACCACCCACATCAATCAGCTCCAGCTGCTGGGCACCATAGATGAGGCCCCCGTGTTTAAAGAGTTCGTCAAGCGGTGGAAGAGCTACCTGAAAGGCGGCAGAGCAAAGCACAATTAAGCTGAGCTGATAACCAAAACCACATTCCTTGGTCTGCAGTGCTTAGGAGTTGCCATCTTTAAGTAGAAAAGTGGAACTTCGGGAACTGTGTGTCTGGTGTGTGTGTGTGTGTGTGTGTGTGTGTATGCTTTTTTAAAAAAATGATTTTTGTTTTCAAAGAAGTGGTCCTTAAAACCCCTTTATAAATCAGTTGCATTCCAGTGGATAAATAGAGATGGCACTAGAGCAGGCATCCAATGACTGGACTGAATCAAAACTTGTTTACTTTCCACAGTGATCCATGATGATACTTAATGCAGAATAGAATGTGTACTTCTGATTTCCCCTCTTCTTTTCAAGAGAAATTCATTACAGACTCCCAATTTTGTTGCCTGACATTTTGCAGAAAAATGAGAATCCATTTTCCTTTCCTTAAAAAGAAAAAAAGTGAGGCTTTTTTTAAAAAAAAAATATAGCTTTACAACAGAATTTCCTGTTTGCTTGTATTCTCCAGATTGGTTGGTACGTTGATTAATTTTTTCCCTTTGTTGAAACACTATCGGAATGTTTTGGGTTCTGTATTGAGGGATAAACCCAACAGTGATTTTTTGTTGTCTTTTTAAAATCTCTTGGGGATGAGACTTCTCCAGGCATGTTGGTGAAGCTCCTTGAAAGCAGAGGGAGCTGTAGAAGGTGCGCCCGGTGCTTGTCCACTTCTCATTTGCCTCTTGGGAGGTTTGCCCCAGACATTTCTGGTGGGATGGTATCCATCTGTACGTTTGAATGTTTTGTTCTTCGAGCACAACTACAAGCAGGTTGAGTTGATTGCACAAATATTGTAGCCATTTTGACTGTGTTTCCCTTGCCTTGATCTGCATTCTTCCACCAAATTTTGATCCCGTTACTCTTTTACATGTAACACTATTTGGTTTTTTTGTATGTACTGTATATGCAGTTTATTTTCTTGAGAAATTTGAACTGTTTCCTTTCAGGCTTGTATTGATTGAAATACAATGTATATTATTTGGAAAAATACTTCTCTGATTTTGTTAGAATGTCTGAAATATCACAAACGGTTGGTTGGTTGGTTTGCTTGTTTTCTTTTTGCAGCCTCTTGATCAAGAAGTGAGTTGAATGTTTCTATACTTTTAAAATTACATAATATGAATCAGATATTCATAATGACTATGGTACTTGTTCTACATTTTTCTTCTGCCCGGCCGATTTTCTAAACACTGCTAGCAGTCTCTTAAACCTGACTACTTGGCAACTGTTATTTACATTTCTGTTCCTAAAATTCTGCCTAAGGACACGGTGAAAAATTTCCATGGATATCTGGAAATTGTTATTGTGTTGCCAGAGCAGTTCTGTGAAACTTACATGCATCCCTGTAGATATTCTGAATCGTAGAATAACCTTCTCTAAGCAGACTGATGGGACTTCCATTTGCGTGACCACTTAGAAGCTCAGGAAGAAAGTGAGTTCTGTGAGTTACGCCATCGCCCACAAAATGCCCTTCTCACACATGAAATTCTTCTCAATCTGTACCTTGCTTATAAGTAACTTTTCTGTGTTTGGCTGTTTCTCTGTAGCTGATAGAAAGTGAATCTAGAAATGATTTATAAGTCATGCTAAGAATTGGCTCAGGAGGTCAGCTTTTTTCATAGATGTTGAAATGTCACTGGATGATATTTTAGCTAATCTTGACCAAAATTCACAATCCTGTCTAAAAGCTTGACAAGCTTCAGTTCTCATGCAGCAAAACCAGGTGCCCTAAAAGCATCTCAAACTTCCTATTCCTTCCTCCCATATTGCAAAATGCACAGAAACATTAAAAGGTGTATTTTAGTATTTTTAAAGCTACGAACACATTCTGATATTTCATTTCTTTTCACATATAATATCAACCTCTCTGTTAAAGAGCTGTTGTGATCTTTTGATTTCAGAACCCTTCCCAGTGTTCATCTTTTCTCATGATAACATGCCTCATTTCAAACTTCCACACTGAGTTAAAAATAGTTATCATTTTTAGAAGTAAATCCCCAGGTCGCAATCAGTTAAAATATTTAGAGGCAAAAGATTCTTCCCAGTAGAACTTCCAGACACTATTTTGCTCCAATTCCCTGAATTAGAGAGAGAGAGAGAGAGAGAGAGAGAAACTGTGTCTGTGTGAAGGTGCAGATCTCAGGAATCCTGCATGTACTGTAGTTCTTGGAGCCGAGAATTTGGGGGGAAGAATATATAGACTAGAAAGGGGAAGCTGTGAGTGTCTTATGTATACAGAACTAACTTAATATGTTTTTATAAAGATGGGCACAAATGGTAACATTTTCTGATTGACAGGATCAAATAATTGTGTTCCAGAAACTTTCCAGCAGAGCATCTCCTATCATCTGTTTGGCAGCCATCATCCTAGTCTCTTCACTACTTTTTCACTCCTCCCACCCTTATCTAGTTCTGTCCAGAAGAAAGCAAGCCTATTCCTTGCACAGAGCATTGATTGCTGCTGGGTTAAATAGCTGGAGAGCTGTAGACAGAACATAGATAAAATCTGGAAATGCTCACCCTTGCTGTGATACCAAAAAAGGACATTATAGAAAGTTTCCCCAACAACTGATTATGTATATAATATCCAAGCAATATATTAACTCCCCTTATTTTTGCAGTTGATGGCCACTTGGATTTGAAGCAGTGTGTGCAGATTTTTGGATTGTACCGTTGTTGATTTGTTAGTGCCTTAACTCTTGTAGTCATTACGCTAATGCAGTAAGAATACTGTCCTTGCTCATTCTGTGCTTCCTCATGCAAGCATCCTTAGGGTGTCTAGGCTTGTAGATCTTTGACTAGGCCCATTGGGATAATATTCAAACATGGCTTATTGTTTGTGTGAAGGTTCGGTTGTGGCTCCTTCAGTCTTTGATTATCGGAGAGAAACCTAAAATTCCCCAGGAATGTTCATCAGGTTGAAACAGCTGGAAGATGACAGGGCTTCCCTTAAAAGATCAGAGGCAGCTGTTGACAAGCTGCACTGACTATGAGCAGGAATCACCACGTATGATGGGACAGATTCACCTTGTATGAGGCTGTCATCTGAATGTGGTATTTTCACTCTTTGCACACTATTGATTTGTTACACTTGTCAATCTTTGTAAAATCGACAACTACTTTGGTAATGCTTGTACGATGCAGCCAAACATCTTTCTGCTTTGGATTTGACCTTATCATCAGTGGCTTTCGTGAATTATGGATGGTGGCAGTCACTGGAGGCAGCTTGTTCTCCTTGCTTAAGAAATGTCATGTCTGCATTAGGCCTCTTAATTACCGTATACAACAAAGGGTGTATGATAAGGAAGTTCAGGAGACAAAGTAAATTGTAAAAAAAGCCAGAGGAGAAGTTATAATTTCAAGAACAAGGATTATGCCTTTGTGGTCTCGGATCTTGCAACTTTGCATCACTGTGCAGACAAGTTTGCACTGTTTAAGGAGACAGTGGCACAAGCACAAACATCATCACATGGCCATTTCCTGTGCCAATGATTCACGGCAAGCAGGTTTTTCATCCTCCTAGTTCTTGTGTGCTCCTTTTGTTTTTACTTCCTTTACATACGTGATTTACACAAATATGCAATAAATTGTTTACAGGATGCCCTTTGAAGGGCAGTGAATCCTTTGTAAAATTGTACAGACTTTGTGGTATAAGCACAATGTGCACAGGCTAGTTTTCTATATGGCAGGATAATTTTTTTTTTGCAGTAGGAATTATCAGATATATGAAATCAACTTTGTCCTTCGTGTAAAGTTGCTTTATAAAATTATAAAATAAAGGTTTTTAATGTCTCATTGTCCTTTGATGTGTCTGCTAATTGTACTGCAGTTGTTTTCATAATGTAAGAGTGTCAAAAAAGTGTCAGAAAATAATTTTGGGTTTGGATGCACCAACCTACTTCAAGTTGTGGTCAGGTACTGCTGGATTTTTCAGTATAGTTAAGCAGGAAGATCACACAGCAAACCCTGTACAAGCCAGCATATCTTTCTCAGAAAAACAAGAAAAAAGTGAAGGAAATGATTGGTCCACTAACAGGAAAAGATTGCAAGGAAGTGATGGCTGGCAGGGAGAGAGCAGAACTGCTTAGTTCATTCTTCACATCTATCTTCACGCAGAAGGAAAAAATGATCCAACTTAATAAAAGCAAAACTGTAGGACACAGAATATGGTTGCAAGTCAAAATAGGCAGGAAAATGGTAAGACAACACCTACCCACTATAAATGAGTTCAAATCGCCAGGACCAGAAGATTCTGAAGAAGCTGGCAGACATGATTTCTGAACCACTGAACAAAATCATTCAAACCTGGAGCGCTGGGGAAATACGAGGATTGGAAAAAAGCTGATGTGGTTCTACAAGAAAGGGGGGGGGAGCGAGGAAACTACAAAACCAATCAGCCTGACATCAATACCTTGGAGAAGAGAAGATAACACATTTGAGAAAACCGAGAAATGAATAAGAAAATTACTAGAAGCCAGCAGAAGTTGGTCAAAAACAGATCATGCCAGACGAACCTTATTGCCTTCTTTGACAGTGACTAAATTAGTGGACCAGTGAAATGCTGCATACATAGTATACTTGGAAATCAATAAGGCATTTCGCAAAGTAGACCACAGCCTACTTCTTGATAAGGTAGAAACATGGCATAGACAGTATCACCAACTGATGGATTCGCAACTGGCTGACTAACCACATCCCACGCACAGTCCTCAATGGAACTACATCTACCTGGAGGGAGGCATGCAGTGGGATACCTCAAGGTTTTTCCTTAGGCCCAGGATTCTTCATAAACAATCAAATGAGAAGATAGAAAGGGGAACTAATCAAATTTGCAGATGACACCAAGCTGGGCCAACATTTTATAATATATAGATTCAAGATTCAGCAGGATCTTGACAGACTTGAACACAGCCCTATCCAGCGAAATGCAATTCAGTGGTGAGGAAAATAAGGTTTTACGATTAGGCAAGAAAAAACAAATACACAGGTATAGAGGTAATACCTGGCTCACCCCTTAACCCTAACTCTTCACCTTAATACTTAACCCCTTAACCCTAACCCAACCCTAACTATTACCTCTAACCCTCACCCCAATCCCTAACCCTAACTCTAGTCCTTGTTCATCCATTCTTCAATATATTCATTGTTTCATGCAGATCGCATTGAAAAATCATGATTTTCTGATGCATGATTTATACTAACTTTTAGACAAAACTATTTAGGTCACTTTTGAAATATTTCCAGCTTAAAATGTAAATATATTTTAATATATTTTAATTATTTTATAAATAAATAAAAATTATGATTTCTCAATAGAGGTATATAAATATAATCCAATAGAAATATAATCCAATAGAAAAGTATTTGTTTAACAATCCCATGTAAGAACAGACGGGTGGGAGCTACAAGATAGATCTTAATGGTAGCTCCCATAATATTTTTTGATATTATACACACATAATAAATTATTGGTACTGTAGTAATTTATTAGATATATGATCCTATAATTATATTTTAACATAATGATGCTCTGGAAGAAAAATGAGGGATAAAACTTGACAAGAATATTTATGAAAATGATCAATTGGAAATTTACATTGAATTACAATAATTATAAAAAGTTGATCATGAATTTGTATCAAATGATGTACTGCTGGTATTGAACACCTGAGAAATTGTGAAAAATATATAATAAGGTTTCAAATGTCTGTTGGAAATGTCATTGTAAAGAAGGTATTTTTATCATATGTGGCTGGCTTGTGACAAGGCAAAGAAATGTGGGGACTAGATTTATATTTCAATCCAGAAAATTCTTAAAATACATATTCAAAGGAAATCAGAATTTTTTCTTTCAGGACTAGGATAAGGAATTGGAAAGGAAAATGGAACTTTGTTATCATATGTGCTGACTGCAATGAGAATTTGATGCATTCAAATAGAAAGAGGCGTCAAGTCCTCCAATGGAAGAATGGATTGAGAATCCTTCAGCCTTTGGTGTTCAAGGCAATGATCAGCTTGAAGGATCCCTTCTACTCACACCCTGAGCCAGCCACAGATTCCTCCTCCTTCATTGGGACCATTTCTAGCAACCCATTTTCAGCTGAGCTGGACCATCCCTGACAGCTGAGAATGGAAGTCAGATGGGGAAAGGGGATTTTCCCTGCCGAGACCTGACAGTTTCCCGCTCCATCCTCTGCACCTGCACTACAGAGCAAAGACACAAGTGCAGAGAGATTTCTATCTTTCTAGGTAGAACTAGACATTTGTTTGTCGACCATTGGAAATGACAATAGCACTGAAAAAAGCAGTGCTGTGGAGTCGGAGTCGGAGGAAATTTTGGGTACCTGGAGTCGGAGTCGGAGTCGGAAATACAAAAAACTGAGGAGTCGGAGTCGGAACATTTATCTCCCGACTCCACAGCCCTGGAAAAAAGTGCTAAAAAAGTGTGAAAGTCTTCACACTTATGACCATTGCAGCATTCCCATGGTCACCTGATCAAATGTTGGGCATTTGGTAGCCAGCGTATATTTCAACAACTTGCAGCATTTTAGAAAGTTCTGAATGCATCCAGTGTGTGTCTCTTTATTGCTTGTTGTGAGCATTGTTTGCAATTGTGCCCTCAGTAGCAGCACCTCACTGGTCAGCTAAATCAATACCAGTCACAAAGAAGGGAAAAAGGGGGGGGGTTCCCACAGTGTGTAACACAGTCTCTCTCCTAGATGATTATCAGCCTGTTTGGCAAAAGTCCTGGGTGGTACTCAGTGCAAACAGAAGGGCTCAGCCAAGATCAAGCAAAAAAAGGACAATCTTATGTGTCCACCCACCCATACCACCTCTACACGCATGTCACTCTTGTCAGTCACAAAGGTACTTTTTCAAGGGGCAACTGGACTTTCCTGTTTTTCTTTGAAGATCTTTCACTTCTCCTCCAAGAAGCTTCTTCAGCTCTGATTGGATGGCAGGGAATGGAAGGATTTATTCTTACAGAGCTGGTCATTTGCATTCTTTTAGACTTAGAGAGTCTTTGAAGCCACTTGGAGGCTTTTATGTGTCCTCAGGGTCACCTGAGTAGTGCAAATGGCTTTGGAGTCTTCCTGGAACTGCTGAAAGGACTGTGGTGAAAGCTGAAGATAGATGATGTCGTATCTCCCCCTTTGTTGAGAGAGGACTGTTCAATTCTGACATAGAGGGCCTCTTTGACCCCTCTTTCAAACCAGGGGTCCTCTCTGCCCAAAATACGGACTTGGCTGCCTTCAAAAGTGTGGCCTTTGCCCTTTAAATGCAGATGGACTGCTGAATGGTCCTGATGGGTTTGTTCTCCAATGCCTGTGATGATGAACTTATGGCATGTGTGCTGGAAGTGGCACGCAGAGCCGTCACCTGTTGCTCTTCTGGGTTCCGGCAAGCCAGCCAGCAGGGTCCTCACGTGTGGGAGCACAGGAAAACAAGAGCAGCTGCCTGGTGCACATGCTGGAAAAATGATCTTCCGGTTTCCGGCACACACATGGTCTTCTGGTTTCTGGTACGCATGCACACGCGAAAACCAACTGGCTGGTGCGCATGCACGCATCAGAAACCAGAAGATCATTTTCCTGGTGCGTGCATGCGCACTGGGCAGCTGCTCTTCTGGTTTCTGGCACGTGCATGCTCCCATTTTAGCACTCGGTGCTGAAAAGGTTCGCCAACACTGTCCTATGCTGTGCCATGCATTTATGAAGCGATTGTTTTGTTTCCCCAATGTACAGATCTATGAAACGTCTTCAAAGAAAAAGAAGAAAGTCCAGTTGCCTCTTGAAAAAGCACCTTTGGGACAACCAGAACCTGAATGATTGAGAATCTTCATGGACATCTTGCCAGTCAGTTTCTAGAAAACAGAATCATAGGCTGGAAGGGATTTATTATTTTGTCCGCAGAGCTGGAAAACATGAGAGTCAGTGCCCCACTCCGCCCAGACAAAACAAATCAGCAGAATTATATGTTTACAATCTGAATGTGAAATAAACCTCTCCTGAACACAGGAAGAGTGATTGCTGAGTAAGCTTGTGTATCTCTTTAGTTAGGCCTTACATTGCCTGCCACTCCTTTCTTGCCACTGCCCCTCCCCACAGCCTGTCCTGCAGACCACAATGCAACTTTTGAGTAGTCTAGTGTATTACTTATCTATTTATTAGACTTCTTGGCCACCTAACTCACCTAGAGGTAGGTAAGCATAACAGTAATAAAAACTATTGCGGTATTAGAGAGCTGAAGAAGCTTCTTGGATGAGAAGCAAAACAACTTCGAAGAAAAACAAGAAAGTTCAGTCGCCTCTTGAAAAAGCACCCTTGGGACAGCCATGACCTGAGTGACTGAGAATCTCCACAGATGTATTGCAGTATTAACAATTGCATTCCTGCAATATGTTATCAGGTTTCCTGCCTGAGCACTGGCAGGAGTAGAAAACCTCCAAGATCCCTTCCAATTCTGTTTCTCTGTTCTGTTCAAATCTCCAACTGGGTTTAGAGGGAAATCGATTAGGATGAAAAGGAAAACAGCCAGGAGCACAAGCCAGCATTGCCTCTCTGAATTAGGTAAACTGGGGGTTATTAGGCTAATATCATTGTGGGGCACACAGCAGACTGTGCACACCAAATCAACATACCACATTACAATCTGGTTCAGCTAACCATGGTTTAATAAATGTGCTACAATTGGCTGAGTTTGCGGAACACATAAATGAGTTTCGCGACCAGGACGCCTGCATTCTCACATGCTGTAAGCCATGCATGTCCAACCTTTTGGCTTGCCTGGGCTGCATTGAGGAAAGGGGGATTCTCTTGGGCCACATCTAAATCATTCCTGTATATAAATCACACAATGTTCGAAGTTTATGATCTTGTGAGGTGAGGTTACTAGCTGTCTAGGTCCGCATGTGGCTCACCGGTTGGACTTGCCTGGTCGGAGCCTTAATGTGATTTTTCCCCCCATGGAAACATCAACCCCGCAACCGCCCCTCGGCCTCTGCTTGGAACGGCTGGGCCGGCCGGGGGAGCCGGAGCGCAGGAGCGCGGAGCCACCGCCGGCCGAGGGCGCTGGGCGGGAGGAGCGGGAGGAGCGGCCGGCTCCCCTGGCTCCTTCCGGGCGGCTCCGGCGGCCGCCTTTGGCCCCTCGCCCAGCTGAACGGCGGCCGGGCGGGAGGCGGAGGGGAGGCGGGGGCGGAGCCGCAGCCGGCATGGAAGAGGCAGCGCGAGCCGCGCCCGCCGCCCGGACTCAGCCTGCCCGGCGGGGCGTCGCAGCGCGGAGGTCGCCGCCGCCTCCTCCGCCCGCCCCTTGAGGCCGCCCCGCCGGCTCCGCCAGGCATGGCTCGCTCGCTGCTGGTGCTGGTCGCCGCCGCCGCCGCCCTCCTGGCCCGGGGGGGCCGCGCCGAGTCCCCAGGTGGGTCCGGAGAGGCGGCTCCCGGGCGGCGGGCGGCGGGCGAGGGGCCGCGGCGGACAAAGAGATGCGCGAGCCCCTCCCCTCCCCCGGCTCAGCCCCTTCGAGGCCAAGGCGCCCCCCGGGAGGAGGCGGCAGGCGGGGGTGGCGGGAGGACCCCCAAAGTTGTGGGCGCCTGGAGCGGCAGAAGGGCCGCCTTGGCCTCCCAGCCCCCGAGGGGAGCCGTGCCTGGTTTCAGCGGGATGGCTTTGGGTCTGGCAGGAAGAAACGCGGCTGCCCCCGGGTGGGTTGCAGAAGCCCAGGCTCGGAGGCGGCTTCCCTGCCCTCCCCCCTCACCGGGCAGGCCTTTCTCCAGGCGCGGAGTCCCCTCAGGGGCCCGAGGCCGGCTCCGAGGCCCCCGAGGTGGTGTTCCCGGTGCGGGTGGACGCGCGAGGCTCCTTCCTGTCCTACAACCTGTCCCACCGCCTGCTGTCCAAGAGGGCCGTGGCCGCCCGGACTCGTCCCGGGACCTTCTACAGCCTCTTTCTCGGAGGGCAGCAGCTGCGATTCAACCTGAGCCTCAACCCCCACCTCCTGGCGCCCGGCTTCGTTACGGAGAAACGGCACGGAGGCGTCTCTCGGGCCACGATCCGAGCCTCCAGGCGGAACCCCTGCCACATGATCGGCTCGGTCCAGAACCGGGACAAAGGAAGCGGGCTGGCGGCCCTCAGCACGTGCGATGGGCTGGTGAGTGGCCTGGGGGGGCTGGGGGGGGCAGGCCCACTTGGTTCTGCTGCGCCCACTGGCTGAAGTCCTTCTTTGTTCAACATCTGGTACGGCAAGTATTGTTCTGTGAAGTCAGCACAACTGCATCTCACAGTTTGGTTTTTTTATAAACAGATGTTTCTTCGGGGAAGATTGTGCTCAGGAATATATTGCTGAGGTCAACTCCGTAGGAGACATCCTGGTGAATCCCCTCCCACAGAAGGCCTCCTTTGCTCCCCCATCCTCCCTACCCCTGTGGAGACCAGGGAGCGAGAGGGCAGAGGAGAGTTGCATAGTGCTCTGGATGGGGTGGCAGCAAGGGGCTTCAGGGCTTGGGGGGGGGGCTGGTTCAGTTCCGTTTTGAAGCCAGTCTTTCCTCAGGATTAGCAAGGCTGCCCTAGACACGGAGTAGGCTCTGAAGCAGGCCCCCACTCCACCCCCACTGCTAGTCCATAGAGTCAGAAAGGTTGGGTGCCTTTTGGCCTCTGGGTCTAAAGCAGCATTTTCAAATCTTTTCAGGCTCGCTCATTCATTCATTCATTCATTCATTCATTCAAAAACCAGAATCCCTGATGGGGAGGGAAAGCTCTAGTGATAAAAAAGGGCTGCATTTGAGTGGAGTGTTTTTGCTTTTTTGCCCTTCACCTCTCAGGCAACCCCATCACGTTCTTGTGGAACCAAGCTTGAGCATTCCTGATTTAGGGCTGAGATCCTGAGCTTGTCCCAATCTCTGGTTGTGGAGGCGGAATGGATTTGCCCAGCAATTTCAAAGGCAAAGTTTTCCCACTGCTTAGTTTTTCTTACTTTCCAACTGTGTGTCCATGTCCGTGCATCCATCCATCTGTCCGTCTGTCCATCCCTAGGAGAAAGGAGATGTTTCTTCCGTTGTCTTGCTCATTGCAATCACTTGTGCTGAAGTGGCCGGTCACTTTCTGCAGACTGACCAATGACATTTCCTCTCCAGAAAGGCGTCTTTCATCTGGCTGGCCAAGATTTCTTCATTGAGCCGCTAGCTCCCAGCAACCCGAGGGAGGGCGCAGCCCAACCACACAGGATATCTCGACGGCACATTTGGGAGCCCGAAGCCGAAGAGTTTATTTCGGTCCTGAGCACAAAAGGAGCCAGGAAGCAGCCAGCTTCTGTCAGGATGTGTGGGGTGCAAGGTAATGTTTCCTGGTTTGGGAGTCCTGTGGCTCCTGACTGGCTTCTTGTCACTTGGAATCCCTGTCAAATCCTCTCTCTGGGGGAAATGGTTCTCTCTGGGGTGGTCTCTGGCTCTTCCGTGTGGCCCTGCCAAGGCACAATTCTCCTGCCCTTGCTGACCTTTCCTTTGCCAAGAAATAGGGAGGCTTACAGCAGCTGGTCTGTTCAGCTGTGCTGCCCTTGGTGAAATTCCCCTTCCCTCCAGCACCTCTAGCCATTCAGGAGACCTCCTGCCTGCCTGGGGGTGGAGTGGGGGCTTTGGCCGTGGTAGGCGGGTGCTTGGGACAGAGTTTAGCTGCTTTGCCAGTCATCCAGGGGAAAGGTCTCTGGCGCAAGGTCCCAATCGCCCAGCTATTTTGGAGCACCGGCCTGGTGGCCTGGTGGAAAGAAATAGCCTGGCTGACATTCTGTGGGATGGAAGAGGGCTGCAGAGTAGAGAAAGGGAGCGGCCTGCCTTCCTCTTCCACCTCCACCTCGTGGATGCCTCAGTGCAGCTCATTCACCCACAGATCTGCAGGTCTTCTGTCTTTCAAGATAGAAGGGAAGAGGCCAGAGCCTCGGCAGCCTCACTGGCTCCTGCAGTCTGTGCTGCAAATTTAGGAACAGCAGCATTGAGGCAAGCAGCCATGGTGAGCCACAGCCAGAAGTGTCCCATGGGGACATAAAATGACAATCCCCCAGCATGGGGACTGCTAACCCCTGGCCCAGTGAAATGGTAGGAAATGAGTAATGTGCTCCGTGTGATGCCAACCAGCTGGTGTCTTTTCCAGGGCAAATGGACCTTTCTGTGCAGACAGCTCCAATCATATTTCACTGCAGTTCTGCTGCTCTTTGGAAAGCCTGCAAAATGTGACTTCAGAGCGGTTCTAATGGTCTTCCAAGAGACCTGGGCATGCAAAGAATTGGTGCAATGCCCCAACCTGGCTTAACCAACCACCAGTCAGACCCAAAGGTGCTTTTTCAGGAGGCAGCTGGACTTCCTTGTTTTTTCTTTTGAAGATATTTCCCTTCTCATCCAAGAATGAGAAGCGAAACGTCTTCAGAAGAAAAAACAAGGAAGTCCAGCTGCCTCCTGAAAAAGCACCTTTGGGACAATCATGGATGACGGAGAATCTCTACAGATACCAGTCAGACCTTATGTAGGAAGTGGATGCCCAATCTGTCTCTTCCGCAGCTCAAGCCAAAAATGGCCAGGAGGGCAGTGGGGAGAGTTTGTAGCAGGCCCTTCAGGATGATGGGGCTCAGTTAGGAATACAGAATGTATAATACAGGACCTTGGAAGGGACCTTGGAGGTCTTCTGGTCCAACCCTCGGCTCAAGCCACAGACCGTTAGCCACTTCAGACAAGTGGCTGTCTGGAAGCTTCATAAAAGCTTCCAGGGACGGCTCAGGAGTTCCCAGTGCAAAGAGAAGATTCCAATTACAGTTGTAGAAAAATCTGAAGAAACCACTTAAAGTAAATCTCGTTTCCAGTGGTTGTTAAGGGAACTGCCACAGGAAGACCAGAGCTCACACAGCTCACACAGAATCGGAAGGGTTCTGACTAATCCCTTTTATTAAAGGATGGACCTCACCAGAGTTTATGCCTTTTAATAAAAGGTGCTAGAGAAAAATGGCGCTCCCAGATTCCCCCTGATGATTGTCGTGGAAAATATTTTTACATAAATTGAAGCAGTGGTAAACTTTTCCTTTTATAAACTAGTTTCCTCCAGAAACCATTTGGATGGCCCTCCCGCCTCTTTTCTCCTCGGCCCCTCCCCTCCCTGGCTCTGTTTACAGAGCAAAGGTCCACCCTGGGGGCCTTCAGACAGCCCCTGTTGCATCTCCTTAGCCACTCATTTCCTGTCCTCCAGAAGAAACAAGCCTCTTTCCTCCGTCTGATTGGTAGCAATCGGAACACGGTGGGAGCATTTCGTCTTCCAGCTGCATAAGGCAGCTCATAATAAGACAATGCCCTCATTTATCCCACACATCCAACTAATCACTGGGCGAGGGAAATGGTTGCGCCTGCAGTTCTCTTTGTTGTGTCAAAGGTTGCTGAAACGGACGTAGAAGAAACAGGATTAGGCTTCTTGGGAAAAATGCAGGTCAGCAGAAGGATTTCCCTCCTGCTTCAGAAAATGGGGGCAGACAAAAGGAGGGAGCCCTGCAGCCGGCCACATTTGGTCCCCCAAAGGGCCATGTTCAAGCAGCCCTTCGCCTTGGCCTCTTCCCCAGTGGTGGGCGGAAGGGGAGGAGGAGACAGTCTTCAGTTGCCCTTAGTTATCTGGTATTTGTGATGATTGGGTGGTGAAACTGCCAGTCAAAGCAAGGGAATGTGGGCACCTCCTCTGAGTTTATGTTTGGAGGGAGGGGTTGCTCAGAGGGCCTGAGACTCCTGGGGGCGGGGAATGCCTGAGTGCCCAAAAGGCTAAGCAGCAAAATCTTTGGATGCAAACAAGGATTTCTAGACCAGTAAAGGGTTTAGTGGTGGCACCAAAAGAAATAACATCCTTTAGGGATTCCCAGGGTTACTGCGGTGGGATGAGGGGAGGGGAGGGGAGGGGAGGGCCTTCAGCAGCCAAGTTGGGTAAGCAGAGGATAGGAGCCACATGTCCCCCTTCTTCTGCCTTGTCCCTGGGTAGCCTCAGGTGGGGCAAGTGGGTTGATTTGGGGACCCATTTTTCTCAGGAGGGAAGTTGGCGATGGGCATCTGGCAGCATTTGCAAGAGAGGCAGAAAAGGGACCAACAGCTTTCAAGCTGGGAGAGTTTTTGCCAACTGTGGCAAGCAGCCCCTCATCCAAAGCTGCGGTGCCATCAAGCTGGATGGGCTTCAAAAGGGGAGGAAGATACCGATGGCCACCCCCTCTCTTTCCTTGGGGTCTTAGCTCAGAGGTGGCTGCTTGGCTCCAAAGGAAATGAAAAGTGGCCCATGATGGATCTGGAAACTGAGATGGTAGTGGCTTATGAGGCAGGAGCAGAACAGGAACCAATCAGAGCTCAGAATTGGACCTGGGCTGATAACCGGCATAACAGAGAGTGGATGGTGGGGGCAGGAACAGGTGGGTAGAGCCTGGGTCCAGTTCTAAAGTGCAGTGGCTGGAAAGCTCAATTCCCCCTGGAAGATCCTCAGGGAAGACGGCTGTTGGCCTAAAAAGTGAGGATATGGAGCCAGACATATTGGGATGTCATCATGTAGAATGGTGTGGTGGCCTAGAGGTGGAGCTCTCGCCTCACAATCAGGAGGCTGTGAGTTTGATCCTAGGTAGAGGCAGATATTTCTCTCTCTGGGCACAATGAGAATATATCTGCCAAACAAAACTCTGCATTGGCGACAGGAAGGGCATCCGGCCATTAAACGCTCTGCTCGCTCCATTCAGTTGCCCAGACTCCACCCCGCGGCGCAAGGGATTATGGGATTGTTAGATGATGATGATGATACTGGGATGTCATCATCATCTCCTGTCTTCCCCAATTTCAAGAAAATGCCAAGGGCTCAGAGAGGTGGAGAGAACATTGGGAGGAAAAGCAGCAGAGGAAACGTCGAATCAAGCCACGCTCTGTCAGTAAGGAGAAGTGGGTGGAGACCCTGGTTGTGGCTGACACCAAGATGGTGGAGTACCATGGCAGCGAGCATGTTGAGAAGTATGTCCTGACAGTCATGAACATGGTGAGCATTGTGAAAGGTTGCTGGTTGTAGAACAGACAAAGGGCACCTCTCAGCCAGGAGAAGGGCTCCATTTCTGAGAAGAAGTTTGGGCTAATTTGGTTGACATTTGGGAAGCATTTGTGGCACAGGAGAGAACTTCCCTTCTCAATGTGCAGAACTCACTGAGCGACTCCACTTCTTCCATTATGCAGGTGGCTGGTTTATTCCATGATGCCAGCATTGGGAATCCGGTCCACATTTCTATTGTGCGTCTTATCTTTCTGGAAGATGAGGAGGTAAGAAGAAGACATTATGTAGAGCTGCTTCTGCTCTTCTCTGTAGGTTCAGGAGCCAGAAGAAGAAAGCTGCGGGTGTTGATTCTGCTGCTTCCACCAGCTCTGTTTCAGGTCCCTCTGCGATGGTCCATAGTCTGTGCGTCCTCTTGTTTCTTCCTGCAGCGATTTCACTGCCTTCTTGGGTTTCTTGTTGTGCTGGCTACAAAAAGTCCTTTGCTTGAAAGCTGCCACTAAAATCCCTTTTGCACATGAATTCTTTTTGGCTTTGCTGTCTTGATGCCTTCTTTTTTTTTTAGGGCAAGGGTGTTTATGTTTATTTAGAGTTTCTGAGATTGGTAAAATCTTTATAGGAGTTCAACAATTTCAGCTTTGGAGGAATGGGGAAATATGAATAATAATAATAGTTATTATTATTATATACCCTGTTTTTGTTTATTGGTAAAGCTTTTAATTGCTTTTCATGGTTTTCAATGGTTTGTCGTTCCAGTGCAATGTCTGTTTGTTAATTGAGGGTTCTAATTCTCTTTCTGTAGGAGGATCTGAAAATCAGCCACCATGCCGACAACACCTTGAGAAGTTTTTGCAAGTGGCAGAAAGCCCTCAACCCCAAGGGGGATGCTCACCCCCTACATCATGATGTCGCCATCTTGCTCACCAGGTATCCCTGTGACTTCAGTGCTGTCTGTAACATCTGTCCATTTCACTGAAAGTGAGGAACTTCTTTGAGAAAGAACATTCTTGATGGAGACCATGCTCCGACACCACATTGCAAAGGAGCCTTACAGTGTTTTGAGATGCCCACGGCACTGATGTCCTGCCACTGGACCTGAAATGCCTGAGCATGTTGGTTGGCTTCTGTTTTTGAGCTGGGCCCTTGTTTTTTCCTATAGTTCTCCAATTGTCAATTTATTTTCCTTCAACCCAGCTGGGTCTTGCCCAGTACAGTGATCCTCTCTTTTGTTCTGTGTGTTTGTGTGCTTCTCCCTGACTCGGAAAGGAAGGATCTCTGCACTGCCATGAACCGTCCGTGTGAGACGTTGGGCCTGGCCCACGTCTCTGGCATGTGCCAGCCACACCGGAGCTGCAACGTGAATGAGGACACGGGACTTCCACTGGCGTTCACGGTGGCCCACGAACTGGGACACAGGTAAGGCTGCAGCTGGGCGTCTCGGCCTGTCCGAGATTAAGAGAGATTACTGAGTAGAGGTTTGCAGACGTTGATCCCTGGAAAGGGGGTGTCCTAGCATGTTCAGAGCTGGAGAGATTTTCATGTCTCCACCCCAGGGAGATGGTTTCCTCCTCATTGTGCACAGGGTCCTTCAATGGAAACCCCCCCTTAAGTAAGCGGAGAGGTTTGGGGTTCTGGAGTGAAAGCTGTCCATTCCTTTTTTATGAGTCACGTCAAGGAAATTCTGGGAGAAATCTTCATTTTGGTTGTGCTTGGCTGACAAGGACTTGACAGAAAACATTGAAAACATACCTTCACCAAAAGGGGTGGGGGGAGGAGAGACACAAGTGTACAGTTGTAAAACTGACAAAACAATCCCTTTTGGAATCGTAGTAGACAGCCCTAAATAATCTGCTTTCTTTTAAAGCTCTCTTAAGACACATGCTTGCATAGCATGTAAAAGTACAGGTAGTCCTTTTTAGCATCCTCAATTGAGACTGGCAACTCCATCACTAAACAAAGTGGTTACTAATGGGAAATCATGTGACCACGACTCTTTCCAGCTTGAAATTGATAAGACTAATCAGCTTCAAATGTTCAGCTTTTGTTTGTCTCCTAAGCACTTCCTAACCCTTTGGAATGCTTACCAGGGCATTGGAATAATCAGCAAGAAGTGAATTAATGTATGTATTTATATTCATCGGAGAGAAAAGGATTACAAGAGAGTAAAGCAAATACACAATGGGGATTATACATTGAAAGGAATGCCCTGGTGCCTGCAGCCACTAATGCACTGTGCAAACAGTCTGGTGTATTCCCAGGCTGTTTGTATAATATGCTTGTGGCTACTAGTGCCTGCACATTACATTCAATGTGTACTCCTCATTGCACGTCTTTACTCTTGTCGTCCCTTCCTCCAATTTTTCCACTGAGTGAAAGAAATAATGGGTCATAAACAGAAAAGATTGCCTACAGAAATTGCTTAGTTCTTTTCTCCCCTCCCCTCCCAGGAGAGCAGAGAGATTGGAGAGGAAGGGATTACAAGAGAATAAGCAATGTGGAAAACAAATCTAAAGCAATGTGCTGGCACTGGCAGACTCTAGGGTGTTACACAAGCAGCCCAGTGTATTTTTTATTGTGTGCTTACTTGCTCTTTTGTAATCTGTAATTCTATAATCTCTGCTCTGCAAGGGGAAAAAAAGAAAACCAGATCTATCATAGGACAAGGTGTACTAACTATCATGGTGATCATGGAACAGCACCGTCATAACTGAACAGTTGCTGAATGAGGGAGTTGATAAGCAAGAACTGCCTATAGAAAAGATTGATTGTCATTTGTTTAAAATCCATAAAAATGTCAGTAAAGTTATAAAAATGGAAAATTGGAGCTTCCTCTGAGAAAAGCAGCTGTGATTTTTCAAAGGCCATTGCTTTGCCTGTTTTCTGGCCCTGCAACTCTGACCTGTGCTGGTCCCCCTTCAAGGGTGGTGTAGACCAGTGTTTCTCAACCTCAGCAACTTTAAGATGTGTCGGTCTCCCGGAATCCCCTAGCCATCCCACGAAAGGCCTTGGCAAGGTTTTTGGTTCTAAGGGTAGTTCTGGTGATCCTTTCTGGGTGGTGACGCTTTCCCCCCCACCCCATCCCAGTAACCCCCATTGATACAATTGCCACCCCATTTCCTGCCCCCAGGCTTGCTCCTTACCCTTTTCAGCCACACCCAAAATGATATATGCCTCACTGACACGGGCCTTGGCCAGCTGGAGTCTTGTCTCCACTGATAGCCACCATCTCCAGTGATGCAGATTGGAAAACCTCTCCCTTCCCGGCACTCTTGTTCAGTCCACTCAAGAGGTCTGCTTCGCAGGATGTTTAATGGGGGGGAGTGTTGTTCTCTTGCTCCCCTGTTATGTGTCTAGAAGCCACAAGACATTCCCCCGACCTGCTTCCCGGTCCTTCCTTTGACACACACACACACACCCCGAGAACTTTGGGGTGCTGCTTTGATGCTCCTTTGCACGTGTGTGTCTCTCACTTCCTTTGGGGGGCTCTGCCTTTGCAGTTTTGGGATTCAGCACGACGGCAGCGGCAATGACTGTGAGCCAGTTGGGAAAAGGCCTTTCATCATGTCTCCGCAGCTCCTGTACGACACTTCACCCCTCACCTGGTCTCTCTGCAGCAGGGAATACATCACACGCTTCCTTGAGTAAGTCAGCCATCCCAATCCCCTCGCCTTCTGCAGCAGCCCTTTTACTCTCTCAGGAGGCAGTGGAATGGGGAGTCTCCTCCTCCACTACTACTACTACTACTACTACTACTACTACTACTACTAAAGGCCTGGAGAATAAAACATATGAGGAATGGTTGCAGGATTTGGGTATGGCCAGTGTAGAGAAAAGAAGGACTAGGGGTGACATGATAGCTGGATTCCAGTATTTGAGAGGCTGCCCCAAAGAAGAGGGGGTCAGCCTATTCTCCAAAGCACCAGAGGGCAGGACAAGAAACAATGGATGGAAAATAATCAAAGAGAGAAGCAACCTGGAATTAAGGAGAAACTTCCTAACAGGGAGAACAATTAAGCAGTGGAACAGAAGTTGCCTCCAGAAGTTGTGGGTGCTCCATCACTGGAGGCTTTTAAGAAGAGACTGGAGAGAGACTTGTTTGGAATGGTCTGGGGTCTCCTGCTTGAGCTCTACAGGACCTCCAAGGTCCCTTCCAGCTCTATTCTGATTAAGAAAGCCCTCTTGGTCTGTGTGGGCTGAGGCTGCAGCAGAAGGCTGTGCAACCAGGGAGGGGCTTTCCTCAGGCTCAAGGTCTCTCTTTCCCCTTACCCCTCCTTGGGCCCTGAGTCGAGAGCCATCCTAGATGCTTTGTTCTGGATTCTTTCCTCCTGCTTACCTGATGTGTCTCTTTGCAGCCGGGGCTGGGGGCTTTGTCTGGATGATCCCCCAGCCAAGGATGTGATTGACTTCCCCTCGGTTCCACCGGGAGTCCTCTACGATGTCAGCCACCAGTGCCGACTCCAGTACGGCGCCTACTCCACCTACTGCGATGACATGGATGTAAGCGGGGACAGGCCACGGAGCGAGTCACGATGCCCTTGGGAGAAAGTGCCTCTGAGGAAGAGGGCCCATCTGTGGCAGAAGCGTTACAGGAACACCCGGTGTGGGTGTGGGTGGGTGTGGTGTCAACCAATGACTTGGGATCTGATTAGAGCAGAGTTTCCCAAGCTTGATCCCCTTAAGATTTTGTGGACAAACCTTAGGCTGAGAACCCTGGGTCAGAGAATGTATGATGTATGGATTTCTACACCTGCTGTTGTCTTACAAAAACGAATGGAAAACATTTCTTGAATTAAATTGCACATGTAAAAACTGTCAGTATTCCAGACAGCAGCAGGGGACAGGAGCCTCCCTCCCCCAAGGTCTGGGCCTGTCCGGAATATAGCAACATTTTCTTTAGAGAGGGCAGCCCGATTCATCCTTCTGGCCGGAGATGCCACCTCCTTCTCCTGTCCTCTGCCAATGGGAAGAGGAATGTGCCCTGATGCCACTTGCTCTCCCTCCGTGCAACTGCTCAGCCTCCCTGCCCTGACCACGGATTCAGAGCATTTCATTCCTTCCCGCAGAGCGTCTGCAACACCCTCTGGTGCTCTGTGGGGAACACGTGTCATTCCAAGCTGGACGCAGCTGTTGACGGCACCAAGTGTGACGAGAACAAGGTATTTCCTGGGGCCCGTCTCTGGGCCAGAGAACCTCAGCCCCGAACCTGCCCCCCAAATGCCATTTTGGCTAAAGCGTGCCATGGCAGAGTCTTACTGAGACTCTGACATTCGCAGTCCAACACAAACCCTGCAGCAAAACAGAACTTTGCTCAGAAGCTTCTCTTAAAAGCTTAAGGGCATCTCCGATTGCACAATTCGTGCCCTTCCCTTAATTGTTGAGCATCAACTGGGAGTGGGGAGAAAGTGTCTGATGGGCAATTGTGTTTGATGTCCAACAAGGGAGGAGCATCTTTTAAAAGGCAGCTGCAAATGGCTATGATCACTCCAGCCATTCTTGGATGCAACTAGTTCCCTTGAGTTCTTTTCAGGACAGGCTGCTTGCCTGTTTGGGAGTTGCTGGAAGAGAGAGAGAGAGAGTGTGATGGAGCAGGGTGGCAGAGTGCCATCCCGTGGCTCTCCTGTCAGCATTAGTGTCCTGGCTGATGCCCCCTTCTGGAGGGCTGCCTGACTCAAGCTGGCAAGTGGTTCTGCTCCTGCTAGGTGGCCAGTTCCAGGAGGCGGCAACCTTGGGCATTTCTGCTGTTCTCTGCAGCCCCATCTTTATCTTGGACCCTGCACCGCCTTGTCTGGAGGCAGCGCCTGCTTTGCTGGCTTCAGCTCCGGCCAAGAGGGACTGTCTGGATAGGGAGCTTAGCAGAATGGAGGCATTTGGTGTCCTGCAAAGTGCCCTCTTTTTAGCCGCCGGGGAAGATGCTCTGGAAACCTCAGCTGGTCAGAGGCACAGTAGTATTCCAGTCCTACGCTGGAACGCTTCCGGTCAGTGTCTCTTCTGGTTTTCAGCCTGTTTCTGAGCTCAGCTCTCCTATAGTTCTTGGCCCAGTTTCACGCAGTCTCTGCATGTGCTCGGCTCAGACCTCTGCAAGACCCAAATGGCCATTAGCAACCGAGAGTCAGGACCAAAGAGGACCATGAAAGCAAAGGGATGATTCCTCCATAGCCATTTAAGGTCCTAAGCTGCTAGTCTTTTGTCATCGTCATATTCATGTCGGAAGCACTGAGACACTTCCGGTTGAAAGGATTAACCGGTGACATCATTGTTGCCCAGGGGACGTCCAATTGGGGGCTCCTTTCATATCCCCATTAATGAGCCCACCAAAGTGGTACCTATTTATCTACTCCGTTTGCATGCTTTCCTGGGTTGGCAGGAACCGGGGCAAATGACGGGACCTCACTTGGCTGCACAGCAGCACCCGGGTCTTGAACGTGGGCTTGCAGATTGTCAACCCAGCGCTCTAGCCACATGAGCCACCAAGCTCCTTTTAGCAGGTAGACTTTGATGGAGGGAATGAGACATCAGCTAGCAGTGGGCTGAAAAGACAGCCGGCCCTTCAGGGAGCCCCCCAGACCTCTTTGTCACTGACGGGCCTCTGTTTGTTTCAGTGGTGCTTCAACGGAGAGTGTATAAGCGTTGGGTACCGCCCAGAGCCTGTCCATGGAGGCTGGGCAGCCTGGAGCTCCTGGACGGCCTGTTCCCGGACTTGTGGGGCTGGAGTGCAGAACGCAGAGCGGCCATGCAACAGTCCTGCGTAAGTGACTGGTCACCTGCCGAAGAAGCTGGTCACAAAGGGAGTCTAGCTGCCCTGTCCAGCTGCCTTCTGCTTCGACCCCTTGGCCTCTGATGGGCACATCTCTCTTTGCTTTGAGTGAGGACCAGGTCATGAGCCCCAAATGCGTCCTTCGGCAAGTTGAACACGCCCAGCAATCATGTGGCACTGGGTTCCAAGAGCTCATAGGAGCAGAGGCTGGTTCTTCCTGGCATCCAAAGTACATATTTCAACATGGGGTGCTTGGTCCAAGGCTTTTACTAGGCAGTTGTCCTGTTTCCCAACCAACATTGTGTGATTTGCATGCTTCCCCATTCCTGCTTCCATTTCAAAAGAGCCAGTGCAGCTGTCGGCAGAGGTCTTAGGGCCAAGATCTGGAAGAGAGAGTTCAGGTCAGACCAGTCCTGAATCCTGTGTCCAGTTCTGGTTGTTACAATATAAAAAGAATGCTGAGGAATTTGGAAGAAGGTAGAGGGTGAGGGGCTTGGAGGCTCACCCTGTGAAGAATGATTAAAGGAACTTGGTCTGTTGAGCCTGAAGAAGAGAATGGACAGGGCAGACAGGAGAGGCGTCTTGCAGCACAGGAGGAGATGTCCCAGGGCAGAGGGATTGGAGAATTCCAAGAAAAGATTGGCCAGCCATTAGTTTGGGATGATGAGAAGAGATTCCTGCCTTGGGCAGAGGGTTGGACATGAGGTCCCTTGCAACTGTATGATTCTTCTTTTCTTTCCAGTGGGCAGAACCCAGAATTGGTGAGGAGGAGTCAAGAGTTTGCAGAGCTCTGCAGAACTTGCAGGCCATTCCTAGTCTCTCTTGCCCTCTCCCTCTCCCCTTCCCACATCCATCATCAGAGCAGTTTCCTCTCTCCTGTCTTCAAGGGGAGGGGCTCCTGTCACTGGCTAGGGAGGCTGGTTCAGTTCCTGCCAGGAAGCCTGTTTGGCTCAGACCCCCCACCCCACCCCCGGGAAGAATTTAGCTTCAGGAGTGCATAACCTGCCCTGCTCCAGAAGGCTTGTCCAGGGTCAAGAAGGTTTGTATCAGCCGCACTGGAGAGACAACCAGGCCAGGGAGTTTCAGGCAGCGGCTGCTGCTGCCCATGTCAGGCCCGTCACCGCCGTGTCTCTAGGTGGGAGAGAGAGAGATCCCCGGAAGTGCAATTGAAACGGTTTCTCTTAATGACTGGTGGATTACAAGAGCAGGTGAACATTTCCTACTGAATGTTGCAGGATAGGACCTTTTTGTAGCATCGGACACAGCCTCTCCTGCCAGCTCTTCTCCCTGCTCTTGGTTTAACACAGCCTTGTGAGTGCAGAGGAGAGTTCCAACCAAAATTATTCTTCATCTTGTGGATGTGATAGGAATCTATTGGCCCCAGAAAATGCCAAGAACCACTACCAGGTGCCCCCCAAAGAGTTGAGGAGGTCAAAGATTGAGTTGCAGGGTTATTGCTGGCCTCTGCATAGGACTCTCCCTTCAGTCTCCCATCTGGCCTTCAGCCTTTTCAGGGAATCAGCACCAGCTTGCTTAACTGGGCAGACTGGTGAGGATGGTTTCTTCCTCAAGCAGATGAGTTGCTTTTTCTTTCCAATCCTCAGCCCCAAGTATGGCGGGAAATACTGCCTGGGAGAACGGAAACGCTTCAGGGTCTGCAATGCACAGCCGTGTCCGGCAGACGAGCCCTCTTTTCGACAGATCCAGTGCAGCCGTTTTGACCACTGGCCCTACAAAGGGAAGCTTTACAAGTGGAGCCCAGTCCCCAATACCAGTAAGCCTCTCTCGAGCCTCTGTCCAGAGTGAAATACAGGCCTGTAAATTGGGGTAACCACCGGAAGGGAGCATTTACCAAGTGGTGCCCTATGGGACTTACCTGTTGGCCAGATGGCTCTTATGGCAGGCACAATGTCACACAGCTCCCCTTTCCAGAAGATTAAGTAACACCCCAGGTTCGGCTCTCGCTCCCGAGTGCTCTGTGGCTCCCAGAGCTGGATCAGGAACCCCATTCATCTTCTCAGTGCTCCATAACTGGAGGTTCTCAAGAAAAGATTGGACAATCATCTGTCTGGGATGGTCCCCTTCCTCGGGCAGGGGGTTGGGCTAGGAGACACCCTAGGCCTCTTCCAGCCCTGTGATTCTATGTGGGCACCAAAATCCATACCTACCACCCAGAGTTGTGCTGGTGCCTGTGGGCACCAGGTGGCCTTGTGAAGGCCACCTGGTACAGTACCCTTGACTGCTTCTGAGTCACTTCTGGGAATCGCGGAGTCTTTTTCTCATTGAGGCTTCTGTACTGCAGCAAGCCATGCTGGCGGGCTTGGGCGAGAGGTCCTGGGCCATCAGGCTCTCTCCTCTGGCCTCCACAGGCAACCCTTGCGAACTGAACTGTCGACCCAACAATGAGTACTTTGCCGAAAAGTTTCGTGATGCTACCATTGATGGGACCCCGTGCTACGAAGAGAACAACAGGCGGGACAGGTGCATTAACGGGATCTGTAAGGTAGGCATGTGGGGGCATTGTCTCCCCCCCCACCCCACTGGCATGTCTAAAATTCCATATCTTGAGGGTGGATGGTGACATGGGCTTCCATGGTGGACTCCAAGGAAAGGCGGTGGTTCTGTTGGCACAACCTGCTTACTTTTGCTTAGCTCAAGAAGGACTGCCCCAGTTACTCCAGTGGCCCACGTTCCGTGATACCCTGAGTCCTCTGGGTTTGGTTTCCATAATGCAGTAGCCCGGAGGTGCAAATAAGGCAGCCTGGGGTTGCTGGATGGGCTGAAATGGAATCCTTTGGGATCCCATTTTGATGACCCTCAGGCAAGACTAAGCATGGAGGGCTTTTGCATTTTGTCTGTGCAGGTAACAAAAAGTCCCTGTTAATCATTAGCAAGGTGAGAGTGAATGTCCTTGGAGAGGATCTTTGGCTTTGGGGGTGCTCCCATGCGTAGATTCACTACTGCATGGGGAGCACGGCTGTTGCTTTCAAGGGCATGAGGAGGGGTGGCGGACATTCCTTCCCGCCTTGGAAAGAGCTGCCGCCAAGGGAGCTCGTGTTTCTCGGGGGGCATCCAGGATGGCAAGCCAGGTCTCTCCCAGAGGTGGCTCAGGAGGGTGCCCATGGCCCTCCCATCTCTTTCAGAACATTGGTTGCGACTATGAAATTGACTCCTACGCTGTGGAGGACCGGTGTGGTGTGTGCCAGGGGGATGGATCAACCTGTCGGACAGTGAAGAAGACCTTTGAGGAGAGCGAGGGGCTGGGTGAGTCATTTCGGGAAGGCTGGTGCGGGCGGGAGACGGCTTGTGAATTCTTATCATTCTCTGTTTCTCTGTAAAATTGAGACATTCTAGGTTTCTTAATATTTGAGCTGTGCTGTGACACAAAGGATTTAGAACAAATGAGGATGTGGGGGAGAGACGTTTGAAATGCAGTGATCCCAAAGGATTGGAGCAGGAAGTGGATCTCATAGAAGTGGCGGGGCTTCCCATGAAATGTATGCTTACATGTCTTCCTTTGAAGGATTTCCTGACCTCTTGCAAGTTCTGGTGAAAGCACATCTGCATCTTTTTCCAGGGGTTGTTTGGCCGCCTTGAGAGCAATTTCCCTTTGGACTAGACAGAAGCTCTTGGGAGACATTCAGGAGGCTCCCTGTGTAGCCGCCAGAAAGAGTGGGCTCATTCCACTTGCTGGGAACGAGGACTTTGCGTTGTTGCCTGCTGGTGACAAGCATTCAACATCCCAACAGGTTATGTTGATGTTGGCCTGATCCCGGCTGGAGCACGTGAGATCCAGATCGAGGAGATGGCCGAAGCAGAGAACTTCCTGGCTTTGAGAAGTGAAGACCCCAAGAAATATTTCCTGAATGGTGGCTGGACCATCCAGTGGAATGGTGACTACAAAGTGGCTGGGACCACCTTCACCTACAAGAGAATGGGAAATTGGGAAAACCTGACTTCTCCAGGGCCCACAGAAGAACCGATTTGGATTCAGGTAGGCAAAGGGGGATTTGTGGCTGGGCTCTTGTGCTAAACTCTGTGTTTAGGTCACTTCTTGGGCAAGGCTGTTTGCCCCATAGAGGGGCTGCCAAGTGTTGGAGCCATCGGTTCATTTTGCCCCGGGGACTCTTGGACAACAGCAGTAGCGGCATTGTTGCTTCCCAGCCTTGTATGGAAAGCTTGAAGTCAGCCTGGGGTTTTCCATAGGCAGAGATGGGCTTCGGAGCCAGTGACATTAGATTCCTTCTCAGATTTTATGTTCTGGACTCAAGATCAGAGTCCGGTGGGATGGGGGAACAGACTGTCCTCTCCTGTTTGGATGCCGACCTCTGCTTTTCACCATGCAGTGGCTGTCTTGAGACATTAACTGGGAGCTGGATGGGGGCTGCATTTTTGGTGAAGGAATGAAGTCTAGGTACAGAGAACATGAATGACAGTCACAAATGCCTCAGGAGCAAAGGCTCACTATTTGGGTGGGTGTGAGAGCACAAAACGGAGCCTATTGCAGCCCAGGCACTGGGGAGGGGTTGTGCTGTTCAGGGGTCTGCAGGGTTGAGGGGCAGTTGAAAGCAGACCTGGTCTCTTTGGCTGGACAGCAGGAGCCTTTCCCTGCTCAGGTTGCCTGATTTCCAGGGGTCTGTGAGAGGCAGAAGTGGAGCAGGACTGCCCTCCCCATCATTGGTCCTCTGAGATCGGGAAAGCCAAGCTGCTTCCCAGAAAAATGCAAGTGGGAGTAGTGTTAAAGTGGTCCCGGGTCTGTTTCTGGATGAAACCCTCTAGTCCAGCGGTCAACAACTGGTGGTCCGTGGGAAAATTTTGGTGGTCTGCAGAAAAATTATTTGCATTTTTAATATTGCACTAAATCAGGGATCCTCAAACTATGGAATGAACATTTGTGTTGCAGCAGAGAGTCTCCTCCTTTGGGGTCTTTTTGTGTGGGTCGGAGGGGGGAAGAAATTCTGACTTGGGGTCTGCTTCAGCCTCCTGGGCAAAGGCTGGAGGGAAGTGCCGCTGGTGGCGAAGAGCCGGAGGGCCTTGTTCCAGTGGGACAGCATCATGGCCTGGAACCGGCTGACCATCTCAGCCCACTGAGCCTCCAGGCGCCATTACCTGGCCTTGCACTCCCGCAGGTCTTCCCTCTGCTTGGAAAGCCTATGCTCCTAGTCCTCAGTGAGGTGCTTCTGCTGAGCCTCCTTCTTGGTCAGATCCAATTTGAACTGAGCTGTTTTGCCAACTCTTTCTCGTGGTGGCTGCTCAGCTCCAACAACTGCTTCCTGTTGGGGCCCTAAGGAGCCTGGGGGGGGCAGGCAAGGAGTGGCTGGGAGGGGAGGGGTGAGGTGCCCCGCAACGTGAGTGACATTGAGTTGGCCATGCCCACCCAGTCACATGACCACCTAGCCACGCCCACCCAACCGGTCATTAGATAGATCATATTAGTGGTCCGTGGGATTTAAAATTATGAATTTAGTGGGTCCCTGAGGTCTGAAAGGTTGGTGACCACTTCTCTAGTCACCCGGTGCTGCTGCTTTCCCATGTTTTGTAGCTTGCAGAGATGCAGCTGAGCATCTGTATAGTTACTTCCTATCTCACGGCCCTGGGCCGATTTCACACGGCCTTGCGTGGCTGCTTGTGACTACCTATGTATCCCCCGAACACAGCAGTTTTGAGGTGCAAACCCTTAAAGACAAGTGTTTAGGATTCCTCCAAATATTCCTATACCAAAGGGGTTTTTGTAATAATAAAAGAAGTTGTTCTTGGCAGCACAATCTTTGGTGAGCTGAGCCCAGACAGGCCCCTGCCCTCCTACGCTGACCCTCTGTTGCTGCCTTCTCACCGTTCGGTCCTCCTTGGGCAGCGAAACTGGTTGTCACCACAGATCAGATAGGAAACCTTCCATTTTGCAACGTACAGCGCAGGACCCTGTGAGGTTTGTAGGTCTTCTCAGCTCCTGTTCCTGAGCTTGGGCTCTTTGCTGAGGTACACAAGCTACGGGGGTAAAGCCAAACTGGCTCTTCATGCTGAGAGATGAGAAACTGTTCAAGATGGTTTCTTCTGCTTGCTCTAAATCAGGGGTGTCAAACTCAAGGTCTGGGCCCGCATCTGGCCCGCGGGGTGCTTAGATCTGGCCCGCAGGGGCACCCTGGAAATAGTGAATGACCGGCCTGCGGTGCCTCTGCCAGCAAAAACGGGCTCCCGAGCTCCGTTTGCGGCTGTGATGGCCTCCTGCAACCCTCTACCAGTGAAAACGGAGTTCGGGGCCACCACAGGCACCGACATGAACAATGTTAAGCTGGCCACACCCACCCTTGCCACACCCAACCTCAACCCCCCTCCTCCCCGAGATCAAACACAACCCTGATGCGGCCCTCAATGAAATCAAGTTTGACCCCCCTGCTCTAAATGTTCTTACCCCCTCATGCCGTGTGGAGGGTCTGAGAGGCTTCAGCCCAGTCTGAGCCATCCAGTTCGGCCGTGGGAAGATGAGGACCCCTCCCAGGCTCTGGCAAGCCACAGCTCTGCCTGCAACTAGACCTCAGCTCTTCATTCCTATTCATCTTCTGAAAATAAATGAAAACTGGGCTTTTCCGGGGGGGTGGGGGGTGGGGGGTTGGAGATTGAATGTTGGGCATTATCTTCTGGGAGGTTTAAAAATATACCATAATTTTTGTACTATTATGTCTTCGCTATTGTGAGGCACCAAGAGCTTTTCTATAGTTGTGGTGGTATGTAAATTTGATAAGTAACTAATATTCCTAACATTGATAGGAGAGCTGGAGGTTCCCTCTTGCATAGGCACTGAATCCTGGAATCAGATGGGGAAGCCAGTGGCCAATGTTAACGTGGGGACCATTCTGAGACCCTGATGATGATAAACCTCATTGACCAAATAACCTACCTGAGGGTTGATTTTAAAATCAATCAACGTTCTCCGCTTGGAGAGAAGGAAGGCCTGGACTTAATGAATTGGGGACCTTTTAAATCTCACTGGGAGGAGTCTGCTTGGACAGAGCCTTCCAGCCAAGGAGCCAAGTTCCTCTCCTGGCCCCTGTTCCTCTGCTGAATAGCCACTTGTGAGATGCAGAACAAAGGAAGTGATTTAAGAGATCCTTGGTGCTGGTCAGCTTTCTTCCACCCACTTAGTTAGTCCTGCTGGTGCCCAGGACTCTGAAATGCCTCGGAGAGGAGCCCTAAGGTGGAGCGCCAATCCTCCGAGACTCTCGGCCCGGGCATCAGCAAGAGCTTAACCCTGCTAGAAGACGTCCTTCCCGGCTTCCGCACTGTGTGCGGTGTGGATTTGACTGACTGTGAAAAGCCTTGGAACAAATGAGACTTGCTTCCCCTCTCCTCCCCCTCAGGAAGAGAGTCAGATCTTCCATTCTGATTCTCCTTCTCTTTCTACGTTGATCTTGTGAAAAATATCTCACAGGTCAAAGGATCACGTCCCGCTCAGGAAATTTGAAGGTGCATTAATTCAGGTCATGTCCAGTTTTTCTGGGAAGCCTATTGTACATTTTGTAGAGAGCTGTGGGGATGGCCTTGAGGGACATAATTATACGAACTACAGGAAGCATTTCTTGAGGCCTGGAAAGGAGACCAGGCCTCAAGAAGAGGCTCAACTTAATTCCTTCCTGACTCAATGGGGGTAAATAAGAAAGGGAGGAAAAACACAATCCGGCTTGCAAGACTCTGTTACTAGAGATGGTCTTCTTGTGGAGTCTGTTCAGTGGGGTGGACAAACTTGAAGAGTAGACCCAAATATTCCTTCGGAGCTGGAAAGGAAGTGGCTTCCCATGAATGGGAGCCTTCCTCCTTCTAGCCTTCCCGTTTCCCCCCTCTCTAAAGTCACTGTCGTTCCACACCTGTTTTGTGAGCTGGGCTGGGTAGGTGTGTGGCTCAGTTGCTACACCTCACGGGAGAAATCAATCAGAATAAAGCTGGAAGGGATCTTGGAGGTCTTCTAGTCCAACCCCCTGCTCAAGCAGGAGATATCCTCTACCATTCCAGACAAGTGGTTGTCCAGTCTCTTCTTAAAAGCTTCCAGTGATGAAGCACCCACAACTTCTGGAGGCAAGCTGGTTAATTGTGCTCACTGTTGGGAAGTTTCTCCTTGATTCCAGGTTGCTTCTCCTTGATTACTTTCCATCCGTTGCTTCTGGTCCTGCCTTCAGGTGCTTTGGAAAACACGTTGACCTCCTCTTCTTTGTGGCAGCCCCTCAAATACTGGAGCACTGCTATTGTCACCCCTTCTTTTCTCCAGACTGGCCATCTGTCAGATCGCGGAAAGATCCTTAGGCCAGGGAAAAAAGATGAGGTACAGGCAGGCTCCTCCTTGAGTCACGGGATGTAAGAGCCCTGCCAGATTCTGTCTTTTTTCCTTCAGTATGGATTCTCAGGGACTCCTTCGACCAGCCCCTGGCAGTTTTCTTGACAAGGTTTTTCAGGCATGGTTTGCTATTGCCTCGTTTTTAGGGCTGAGAGAGAGTGACTGGCTCAAGGCCAGCTGGCTGCGCCCAAAGCAGAAGTAGAACTCTCAGGTGCCTGTTTCTAGCCTGATGCCTTAATGTAACCATTACACCACGTAAGCGTGTATGTATGTATCAGAGGTGGGTTTCAGCATGTTCTGACCAGTTCTGGAGAACTGGTAGTAAAAATTCTGACTGGTCCCGCCCCCATCTATTCTCTGCCTCCCAAGTCCCAGCTGATTGGGAGGAAATGGGGATTTTACAGTATCCTTCCCATGCCACGCCTACCAAGCCATGCCCACCAAGCCACACCATGTCTACAGAACCGGTAGTAAAAAAAATTGAAACCCACCACTGGTATGTATGTATGTATGTAATAAAGCCATAATATATATATATCTATATATCTACAGACTGTATATATTATGTAGTTCTCTCTAGAACAGGGGCGTCAAATTTCATTGAAGGCCACATCAGGGTTGTGTTTGACCTTGGAGGGGGCGTGGCCAGGGGGTGGGGCATGGCCAGCTCAACGTCAGTCCTGTCGGGGGCGCCTGTGGTGGCCTGAGCGGTCCGGCCCATGGGGTGCTTAAATCTGGCCCGTGGGGCTGCCTTGGAAACAGTGAAGGACCGGCCCGTGGTGCCTCTGCCAGTGAAAACGGAGCTTGGGAGGGCCCTCCTGAGCTCCGTTTTCGCTGGCAGAGGGTTGCAGGAGGCCATTGCAGCTGAAAATGGATGCGGCCTTGAGTTTGGCACCCCTGCTCTAGAATGTTAGTTCTGCAGTAGTCCTCAACTTACAATCATTTGTTTAGTGACCAAAGTTGGCAGTAAACCTATGACCAGTTTTTGCACTTACGACCCTTGCAGCAACCTCATGGTCATGTGATCAAAATTCAGACATCTGGCAACTGATTCATATCTATGATGCATGCCTGGGTCATGTGATCCCCTTTTGTGACCTTCTGACGAGCAATAGGGAAGCCGGATTCACTTAATGACTCTGTTGCTAACTTAACAGCTGAAGTGATTCACTTAATAACTGTGACACGAAAGGTTGTAAAATGGGCCAAAACCACAGAAAACCTTTAGGCTCAATTGTGGTTGTAAGTTGAGGACTACCTGTGGTCTCCTTGTAGATCTGTTCCCAAATTCCCGTGGCCATTTTTTTCTTGCAGTGAAAACAAAGGCCACAAAAAGAAGAGCAGGGCTGGGGAGGATTGAGAAGAGAGTGGACAGTCACTTGTCTGAAATGGTATAGGTCAGTGATGGTGAACCTTTCTGGCACCAAGTGCCGAAAAGGGAGCACTTCGCATGAACTGGATAGCAAGTCTTCCGGTTACTGCCACGCATACGCACACACCAATCAGCTGGCTGGCGTGCATGCTCACCCTGGAAAACGGACGACCAGCTCTTCCAGTTTCCGGCACTGCCACACACACAAAGGCCAGCTGATCATCGCGTGCGCATGCATGCCAGAAACTTGGAAGAGGAATGGGCACCGCTGCGCGTGCCAGGCAACATGGCTCCACGTGCCACCTCAGGCACACATGCCATAGGTTCGCCATCATGGGTATAGGATCTCCTGCTCGAGCAGGGGGCTGGACTAGAAGACCTCCAAGCTCCCTTCCAGCTCTATTCTGATTCTGATTCGCACGGTTGGAGGGCGAAGAGGTCGATCTGTTGTAAAACCTCCTGACTTCCACAGACCTTGGGCAGTGAGGGAAGGTGCTTTACAGTTAATCCTCAGTTATCAACCATTCACTCAGTGACCATCCAAAGTTGCAACAGCCCTGAACAAGTAGTACAAATGGCTTGTCCTGGAAGTTGTGGTCATTTCGGTGATTTGGGTGCTTGGCAACTGCCTCGCACTTATGACGGTTGCAGCATCTCACGGCCAGGTGACTGCCGTTTGCATCCTTCCCTGCTGGCCTGCGAAGTCAGTGGGAAGATGACAAATCATTCCTGCTTCTGTTGCTTTTTCTTCATAGCATTTGCCTGCCCACAGCACCTCCCCTGTGCCCACACTGCAGTGCGTGACGGATGGTTGTGCTCACACTGCAACGCCTCCAAACCACAACACCCCTCCCTCACCTGGCTGAACATGCGCAGGGTTGCATCTATGTACCTTCCCACATTCCATGGCCCTCACCTCCCATCTGTACTTGGGCATCCCTTCCCTGTTGCGCTTGTGCCGGATGGGCACGCCGGGCCCCACTCTGTAGCACTCGCCTCTTTGCCGGCCTGCTCACAGGCTGCCCCAAATAGGCTTTTGTCTGGGACTTCCCATGGGCTTCCCCACTGACTCTTTTTTTGGAAGCCAAAAGAAAGTCCCAAATCCTGGTCAAGTGAGGTCCTTGCTTAACAACCTGTGATCCTTGCTTAATGACAGCAGAGGGACTGCCGGATTGCCATTGCCAAGCGGTGCAGTCACGTCACATGGAGCTTTATAACAGCACCACTTACCAATGGAAATTCCAGTCTCCATCATTGTCGTTCAGGCCAGGACTGTCTGTGTAGTGATTTGCCCTCAGTGACAGAATCCCAGGCTCCCCATAAGTGGGTGGTTGCCCCATTTCACCTCGGGAGATGCAAGAGGGGCGTTTTCACAGTCGTGTTTCCCCAACACTCTGGTTGCCTTAGTAGCTCAGCGTGTGTTTCTGCTTCCCCGCAGCTCCTGTTTCAAGAGAAGAACCCGGGTGTCCGCTATCAGTACACCATCCAGCAGGAGTCCAGGAATCAGAGTTCAGTTGCTCCTCCTGAGTTCTTCTGGCACTACGGACCCTGGACAAAATGCACAGCTACCTGTGGGACAGGTGAGGACTTGCCTGCTGGGCAGCAAGCTGCTTTCTCGGCGGCCTTACCAGAAGCAGCAACTGTCCAGCTGCAAATCCAATTGGACTGATTTTTGCATGGGGCAGTCCAGAAAACCGGAGGGGGGGTCGAAGGGTCCCAGGGGAGCCAGCATCCCCCACTGCAAATGCTTTTCTAAAAGAACAGTCAGGGTCAGGATAGGAACGGGAGCTTCTTACATTTTAGGGTCTGCTTTTGAGGCACCAGCCTGGTCAAATCTTATGAGGCAGTGCAGGAAGCTTTAAGTCTAGAAAAACAGAGTGCATGGCAGAGGGGCTCAGAGAACCTGCCCAGGGCAGGCGGCATCTGCTTGCATCCTTTTAGCTCTTGCCGGCCCAGTTGGCTTCTGCTGCTGCCTGATGGGGTGAGCCCCGTCTGACGTGCGGTTCTTCTTCTCATTTCTTCTGCTGATGGGGGGAGGAAGGGTGGCGATGAAGGCAGCTGCGATGATGAGGAAATGTTTGGCAACATGAGGGTGATTGCCTGCCAGGCGCCATCGGTTCATGATTGGGTCCAGCCGTTCCTTGGGCTTTTATTGCATTGTGTGCCTTCATTGTCTGCCAGGGGAGATCATGGGGCAAACTGAGAAAGGAAGGAAGGTTTCTGCTCTGCATTCAAACAGGAGAGAAATGCACATGCTCGTTCTTGGCACCCCTTGGCTGTTGTGTATATGCTCATAGGAAACTTGAGCCTCAGTTCAGTTGGTTGGGGTCCAGAAATGGGGGCTTGGTGTAGAGCACACATTGCTTCTTCATTCCTTGGAGCCTGCCAATCCATCGCCCTGTTTCAATGTTGCGTAGGAGGCTGTGACAGTAAGAGGCAAACAGCTTGTGTTGGCAAACAACTCTGGCTTTCTGATTCAGAAGCTCCTGTCTGCAAGGTCAGGCCGCTGTGGCCTTCAGAGGGCCAGAAGGTGGATGGGAGAAGCAGGCCGTGGAGTTAGCTGACCTCAAACAGCTGGTCAGAAGGCTTTGTGCAGATGCTTCCTTGGGAAAAAGCTGCTTGCTCCGAGTGGGATCTGACCAGTGACTGATAGAGAAAGAGGCCTTGGACTGGTGGTAGAGTTCAATTGAGGTGTTGGCAGGGTGTGTATCTGCTGTGAAAAAAAGCAACATGTTGGGGCTAATAAGAAACGGTACTGAAGACGAGTGTCATAATGCCCTGATACAAATTGATGGTGCGACTCCATCTGGAACACTGTGCAGTTTTGGTCACACAACTCAAAAAGAATATAGTGGAGCTAAAGAAGGTTCAGAGGAGGGCAAATAAGGTGATCCAGGGGCTGGAAAGGTTTAAGAAAAGCTGTCTAATCTAGAAAAAAGGCAGCTGAAAGGGGAAATGATTAAAGTCTATATAATTATGCATAACATAGATAGATAGGCAAGGAGAAGCTGCTTTCCCCTTCCCAAAATACTGGAACCAATCAAATTGAATCCTGAAAGAATCAGGACAAAGGTTTTTTTTTTTTACACAACTTTTAAATTCAACATTGGAATTCACTACCTGTGGTGCTGCCCACCTGGTCAGCAGGCTTTACAAAAGGGTTGGATCCAAGTCCTGCAAGTCCTGGTGGGATGGGGGCGGGGGGTCAGTGCTTTTAGCCTTGAGGGGACAGTGACTGCCTCTGGCAGCTATCTGGTGGCAGATTGTGGCTTTTTTGGCAATTGGCTGACCACAGGGAGACCAGACTGTGGGGCCAAGTGGCACTGAAAGTTCCTATACCTGCAGCTGAGAAATGCTGAGACAAGCTTCTCACGTCTATTGGAAAGCTTCATCCACAGCAGAGGTCTCCAACCTTGCCAACTTTAAGCCTGGCGGACTTCAGCTCCCAGAATTCCCCAGCCAGCTTTGCTAGGAATTCTGGGAGTTGAAGTCCACCAGGCTTAGAGTTGGCAAGGTTGGAGACCCCTGATCCAGAGTTCCATGGGCCCCATAAGCCAGAACTGCAACCAACAAAGGTTTGGGGAAAGACCTGAAACCCGGGTACCTTCTGGGACTTGGCAGCTAGTTCTGCTTGCCAGATGTGGGTTTCTCTCTTTCGTTTTTAGGGGGATGCTTTTTATCCAAAGACCCCTTTTGCTTACAGTGGTCATTCTTCATTGCTTCTCAGTGGTGCCGTGAAGATGTCATTGCTGTCCTTTGAAATGACTCCTCTCAAAGGTGCTTATTTGAAAGGCAGCTGGACTTTCTTGGTGTGTCCTTGAAGACATTTTGCTTTTCATTCAAGAAGCTTCTTGGATGAGAAGCAAAACGTCTTCAAGGAAAAACCAAGGACGTCCAGTTGCCTTTCGAAAAAGCACCTGTGGGACAACCATGACCTGGATGACTGAGAATCTCCACAGCATTTTGAGATGGCTTGTAGGACCACTAACTTCTGATGATTTGAGAAGGTTGCTCTCCAGCAGCATGGAACTGGAATTGACCTGTGGCCCTACTGGAGTTCTCATGGGCTGTTAGAGGCCTGTTCTTTGAAGCATGTCGTTTAGCTGGGCCACGTGGCTCATCTGAACCCACCACTCAGTCAGGCACTCTGCCAAAGTGCCAGCTCTCCTGGGCTCATCCTGTGGATGGTGTCTTTTGGAGGGAAGCTGAATAAGTGATTCACTCCCAGCGGTGCCACCTTGTTCCTCCATGGCGTTACTCACTGACGTCCTCCAGGATCGGAGAAGGGGGGGAGGCCCTGGGCTCTCTACCGTGTCCCATAAAGCTGAGTTCTGGGCTCAGGTGCAGAGCGCACGCTGAGTGTCACCAGACATGCAAAGCCTTTAAAGGGGGTGGAAACGTTCTATCCATGGACACAGTGAAGACCCTGTGTCTCCCCCCTTCCCCATTGAGGGGCAGCTTTTGGCCCCTGAGGTAGAGCTAGCAGAGGCTGCAGCGATTCATATGAAGTCTTGGTCCTCAAAGCCGGCAATGGTGCCACAATGGCTGAGAGAAATGACTCAAAGCATTTGTAGCTTCTCAGGACTAGCAATAGTTGTTTACACCTTCTAGAAAGGAAATTGATGCATATTTTTGATCCAGGCCGATGGAGGTTAATGAACACTTACCTACAGCTTCTTCATTAGCTGAGCTGAAAGGAGATGTTTGCCAGCCAAGCAGATTTTTTTAAAATTTCCTGCCCAGCAGTAAGAGCTTCCAAAAATACATCAGAATTTGGCTACTTGCCTCCCTACTGGGGATTCTCCAGCATCATGACCCCCCAGAAACATTTCCTGTTCATTGGGCCAACGTGTGTTCTCCCTCTCTAGGGAAGTGTGTGTGTTTTGGCTGCCTTGCGAAGCATTTGTGGAAGGAAAGGCATTTGTCAGATGCATTTGTCCAGAATTAGATGGCAGTGGGCAGCAGAGCTGGTGCTCCAGGATAAATCTTCCCAGTCAGTGAAGCAGCAGCAGCTCAGCAAGCTGTGCTCAGCGACAGCAACCAGGGCAGTCTCCTGCTTGGCACTGTGGGTTACGGGCAACTGGTCAAAGGTTAGAGTCACATTGCAAAATTATAGGAACCTTGAGATGTCAGGAAGAAGGACAGAGGCCTGGCAGGGCTTGGCCAGGGTCTGGATTGGGAATGGGCTTCTTCAGCACAGCCCTGCTTGTTGGTGGCCAGCAGCTGATTCCTCTGGAGCAGGGATGGAGTCAGGGGTATTCGTTGCTTAGATCTGACCCGCGGGCTGCCCTGGAAATGAGCGTGCAAGAAGGGACAGGAAAGGAGAAAGGGAAAGAGGAAAGACAAGGAAAAAGAAGAGAGGAAGAGAGCAAGGAAGTAAAAATAAGGAAAGAGGGGAAGGAAGAAGAAAGGAGAATGAAGAGGGAAGAAAAAAGAAGGGAAGGGAAGGAAGGAAAGAAGATTATAATGAGTGAGGGAAGGCCTGAGGGAAGTCCTGCCTTAGCACTTGGCCACCACAGGTGCCCCCCGACACAAGTGATGTCGAGCTGGCCACGCCCCTCTGACCACGCCTCCGCCCCCCAAGGTCAAACACAACCCTGATGTGGCCCTCAATGAAATCAAGTTTGACATACCTGCTCTGGAGAAGTGCACTTCAGAAATCTAAGGTTCACTACTGGCCTTGGGGCCTGAACTGACATTTATTCACAGATTTGTTCCTTGTGTGTTTTGTGGAAGACTTAAGTCCAACTTGAATGTAATGAATTTATTTTGTAGTAAATCTGTTTATAAGCTGGACTGAAAGACCCAGTTTGGTTAGTGGTGATGATGCTGGACCACAGGTGTTCCAAAGATATCTCCCCTGCCTTTGTCTCATCTCAAAAATCTAATGATCGTATTTCCTAACTCCTAATGAGAGTCATTTATAAATATGTGGACCAGCAGGGGGATTAAAGGAGAACCTTGTGTTACTTTAATTAACAGTTCCCTCCGTCTGACCAAGGGACCCTGGCCTGCTCTCACTGGAGAGTTTTTCAACCAGCTCTTGGTCATTGATGGCCACTTAGTGATGCCATCTTCTCTCTTGACATCTCATTATATATCTCATTGCATCGGGATGGAGTCTGGGCAACTGAATGGAGCTGAGTGTTTACTGACCGGATGCCCTTCCTGTCACCAATACGGAGTTTACATCAGATATTTTCTCATTGTGCCCAGAGAGAGAAATATCTGCCGCTACCTAGGATCGAACTCACAGCAGAGAGATTCCAAGTTGTGACTGAACACAAGGTTCGGGTTCAACTTGAAATGAAAATTAAGTTGCAAGTTTAAGTTGCATGGGGGAACTCAAATTTCTCTCCGTGAGTTTTGCTCACAGGTGAGAACCACAGCATAACACAAAAGGATTTTGTTCTATCCCCAGATAATGTATCCTTGCCCCTTGGCATGTGCCCAAATGAAGTGCCTCCCTCTCTCCTTCTATCTAAGCACTTTCTCCTCCCACCCTCAGGGGTCCAGAGACAGATGGTGCGTTGCCTTGAGAAAGCCGCTGGGTTTGTGGAGGAGAAGTACTGCGATGCTCTTAGCCGGCCTGATGACAAGCAAAGGAATTGCAACAAGGAACCATGTCCAGCCAGGTCAGCTCTTGGGCTTACCTAAAACTATTCAACGGTAGGATGCTCCACCATTGAAAATAAATGTCTGGGAGAAGAATGCTGCTCTGCCAATTCTGCAAACTTGGGGCTCAGTCAAAACCTGAGGCTGGGCCTCTATGGCACCACTTCACTGTGGCTCCAGAGGCCATCTTCATGAAGAAGCCCGCCATAGTCTCCCAAAGAAGACTAGTGTCCCAGACAGCAAAAGACCATGCCACCACCTAGACTTCTGATGATAAGTTCAGGCACAAGTTCAGTCTAAAGTGGAACAGCCCAGGATGTAGCAAGAGGTCCTGTATGGGTCCAGACTGGATGTTGTGGTGACCTAACTTTTCATTCTGTGTGTTTCCACAGGTGGTGGGCTGGTGAGTGGCAGGCATGTTCAGCCACTTGTGGTGACTCTGGACTGATGAAGAGGACTGTCCTCTGTATTCAAAGTGTGGCCCTGGATGAGCAGCAGGCTCTACTACCCGACAAGTGCCAACATCTCACCAAGCCAGAGACCACAGCCGCTTGCAACCGCGAAGTCCTCTGCTTGGCACTGTGGGTCACGGGCAACTGGTCAAAGGTGAGAGTCACATTGCAAAATTATAGGAACCTTGAGAAGTCAGGAAGAAGGACAGGCCTGGCAGGAATTCATAGCTCTTTGGGGGTAGTTTACAGAATCCTTCACTCTTTTCTATGTTTTTTTGTCCTTGAGCCTCCCCTTCCAAGGCAGGCTGTGATTTCTGCTTGGGCAAAATGTTGATCATCTCTGGTTTTGAACTGTGGGACCAGCCAAAGTTCTGCAAATCTCCCTGTTTTCCCTCAGCAAAGCAGTGTGCTTTCTTCTAGAGAGCAAATCTGTTTTAATTCTTTATCTTTAGCTAGACATTTCTTTAAGTTGTCCCTTGACCCACAATCAAATTTGATCTTCTGTAGACCGAAGTTAATTCTGAAACCCAAAACTGAAAGTTGAGGGTGGAGTCTAGCTTGTTTTTTTCTAGCCTTTCCTGCTTGTGGCAAGGGCCTTCATCTAGTAGCCATTCACTTTTGGAATTCCTCTGGTTTGCCTTTCTAGTGCTCAGTAACCTGTGGGAAAGGGACTCAAAGGCGCCCCGTTTTCTGCCCCACCGACACCAGAGCCAAGTGTGATCCAGCAGAAAGACCAGCCTCCGAGGTCAACTGTTGGGCCTCAGCCTGCTGGAATAGGATGGAGAACAGTGTTCCCGACTGGTCTGGAAGTGGCTCTTCAAGCCAGGAACTATTTAATGAAATTGATTTCATCCCCCATTATCATGCCCCCAAATTTAGCCCTTCAGCTCCCAAATCTGAAAATGTTATTACAGAGGAAGTTCTCCTCCCCAACAACCATAAGAAGGGAAATGTGTTTGTGGATGACTTTTATTATGATTATAATTTTATCAATTTTCATGAGGATTTGGCTTATGAGCTGGATGAGGAAAAGAACAGTAAAAGGGAAGACTTGAAGCCCAACTTTGGGGTCCAGATTTTTCACAAGATGGAGGCGGATCCCCAAGAAACGCTTCCTGATCTTCCTCCCACCACAGACCTGGAAGTCAACTTGGCTAATCAAGGCTCCGCATCTCCGACTGTTGGGCAGGAATATGAGAAGGAGCATGACAATGTTCAGGACAGTAGCACAACTGGCACTTTGCAGGATCCCTTCATTACCACCGTTGTCACCAGCTCTTCTGCTTCAGTTCATTGGGAAAGCTTCCAGCCATCACTTTCAGAAGATCATCCTTCCACTTCAACAGTGAAGTCTCCTCCTTTGGGGAGCAACAACCACGTATTTGGTGGTGCTACTCAAGAACCTCATTTTACAAATACTTTTTTGAAAGATAGCACCGCAAAACCTGTTTCCTCCATCAGCTCTCCTTCCTTGGATGTACTTACTCCAACAATGTCTTCTGTCAAAGACAGCTATCACAGCACAGAAAATCCTGGCAAAAGGATGCAGGACCCCAAGATTCCAGAACTCAGTGATAGCAGTGATCATGGTTTATGGAAAATGGTGGAAGAAACCAGCAGAAAGCAGAGCAATAGAGACAGAGCCATTGTCAATGACGAAGGTAATATGGATACTGCTTATACAGTGAAAGAAAATCCAATAAATACATTTGCCACAACAACTGCAAGAATAACTGGGGCACCCCATCACCTTGCCGATCATCTCTCTGCTTCTGTTTCTGTTCTGGATGCAGAGATGAGTAGCACCTCAGGACGTGACCTTCTCAAGAAGGCCCCCTCACTCACAACTGAGCTTCCATCAGGGACATCTTCCTCCACTTCTGCATACCAGTTGTCTGGCTCCAGCAGAAAGACACAAATGCTTCGCCATCCAGACACTCTGACACCACAGATAGCAACCGAATCAAACTCTTTGGATCGGATCTCATCTTTTCCCAACTTTTCTCCCTCTGCATTGCTTCCTTCAAAGCAATCTAATAAGATTGAGACAGATTTGGAGACCAAGCCTATACCTTCCACTGAGGACCGGGAATTCTCCAGGGACAGAAGTGAAAGTCCACCTCCCCTTGTGCCAACTGCCAGCAGTGAAGGAGGTGCTGGGCCTGAGGTCAAATTTCAGGAACCGGAAGAGAAGATGGTGTCTTCTGTAGCTTCTCCTGCTGCTGTAATAGCTGCTCTCAATGCTAGCTGGGAAGCTGGAAACTGGAGTGAGGTAAGTTCTCAGAAAAGCCAAGGTTATTATCACGGTGGGCAGATCTCTGGGCAGTCATTTTGCTTCTCCCCTTTTCTCCCTTCTGGCCTTAGCCAACATTCTTTTTACGATATGGGTCATTTTGTGGATCAAAAAAGACAGAAAGTTAGAAGACAGAAAAGGTTGGGCTGCAGAAATATAGTATCCTGTCTTGACTGTGGGGCTTGGCTTTGAAACCTGCCCGGAAAATCTCCTCTCTCCTGGCCAGCTGTGAATCACAGGAGGCCAGGGGAAAAGGAGGTGGGAATGGGGTCCAGAGGGGCTGCAGCTGGTGTTTTAGCGCTTTCCAGAGAGGCCAGAAGGAGAGGCAGCATGACTTCCTTTTGGAAAAGGGAAGAGGCTGACGGGATTCCTGTTGTTTCTAGTGCTCTACAACCTGTGGCCTCGGGGCAGTTTGGAGGGTTGTGTACTGCAGCACTGGAAATGAGAACGACTGTGACTTGGCTAGAAAGCCAGCTCCTGCCCGGCGCTGTTATCTGAGGCCGTGTTCCAAGTGGCACGTTGGAAAATGGAGTAAGGTAGACAGACCTAATCCCAATTATAAAGACTGCTGTGGGGACAGACTTTTGATGAATGGTGCATGTGAGGCTGTATCCCCTTGTCCTGTGGATTTTTCCTTTTGCCCTAGACTCTCTGCCACGGCGACCTCTACGTTGATGTGGGTTTTAGCTTAACTCTGCCTCCCTTCTAATCTTACACGCAAGGGGTAGATTTCATGAAGAGGAGTTACCCAAAACCAGGAGTCCTCCTGGCCCTTTGATGTCCCTTCCTGCTCCTGCCCACTCCCAGCACACAGGCTCTTTGGAGTCAGCATTGCCAGCAAATCATGCAAACAAGGAGCAGAGGAGATGTTTTCACAGACGTTTTCTTTTGTTTCCATGGATTTAGGCAAAGGAGTTACTTGATAAAGGCAGTCTTCCAGGAGAGAAACATATTAGTTCCAATTCTGAGGGGAAATGGTAAATCTTGTTTGTATCCAGAATAAGAATCTAACTAGCCAACTGTGAGGAACTTTGACAGGAGCCGGAAATTCTGGTTAGGGACCAGATGCTTAAATATTTGAAGTGAGAATCAGCTTAAAGGATTGGAAGATCTCTCAAGCAGGAACCAGTATAGATGGTTTTCGGTTATTTCCAAAGGCAGGCCTAAAAACAGCAAGTAGCAATGGCAAAACAGCAGCTTCCAGCCAGCTTTTTGGGGAACTTTTTCCATAAAGTCGGTCTGTGGGGGAGCCGGTGGTCTCCAGAGGAAGGGGATTCTTTTGAGTAGCCATTTGCAGGGCTGCTCTTCTTCCACCCTGTATAGTAAATCCAGCACTGAGCAGAGTTTCGACCGGATGGCCTTTATCAGTATCCCAGAGGATCAGTGGGTTTCTGGCATTAAGGCAGACCAAAATGGTCCCTGGTTCTTGGTGGCAGGTTTCTACTTTGTGCCACATATCAGAAGATGTGGCTCATTTTTTGCTCTTTCTGGTTTGTCACCAGTGCTCCAGGACCTGTGGAGGAGGTGTGAAAGTTCGGGGCATCCACTGCATCGACACACGGGGCCAGCGACCTCTGCGACCCTTTCACTGCCAGACTGCCTCCTACAAGCCTCCAGCGCAGTTGCCGTGCCACACCAAGCCGTGCCTGAGCTGGTACACCTCCACCTGGAGAGAGGTGAGCCAAATGTCATTAGAAGTGGAGGAAGACTCTGAATGCAACCTGAACCCTTATTCACTAGTCCTGTTCCCCCAACATCCACAGCCGATGTAAGAGCCTTCTTGGACAGGGTGGGATGCTCTTCGGGAGGGTGGGGGGAGCGAGGTCGGCATTCCAGAGCTTTGACTCACTATTGTCCTGCTGGGCAATGATTCCCTCTGAAGGAAAGTCTACTGCATTTTCCCGCTTCTTTCCCATATAAACCTTGGAGCCCAGCACGTCCAAGAAGGAGATTCAGGGGCCGCAGAAGAAGTGGCTCTTGCAGTACCAGAATATCTTCAACTGAAGTTGAAGCCAGCCATGCGTGACTTGCCTACTCCTGGGGGAAGGGGGAGGTGGGCGTTCTGGCTGCGTGTTGAGGCCTGGGGCTCCAGTAATGGCTTAGCAGGAAGGGAGCCCCAAGATGCCAGGCCATCCTAGCTGCTTCTGAGTCAAATGCCTCTTTCCGCCCTTCCAGTGCTCTGAGCTGTGTGGAGGAGGTGAGCAAGAGCGCCTGGTGACGTGTCCCGGAATGGGGAGGTGTGACCCAGCCCTCCGGCCAAACAGTACAAGACCGTGCAACACCCAGCCCTGCACCAAGTGGAGAGTGGGATCTTGGGGGCAGGTAAGCCCTCTGCTGTGACATGGCCCTCGGCCTCCCTGTGCCCTCAGAGCAGGGCAAGCGGGGGCTCAGAGAGCTCTGTTCCCTGCAGTGCACGGCCACGTGTGGCGAGGGCATCCAGAGGAGGCAAGTGAAGTGCCTGAACACAAAAACTGGACAGGCAGAAGAAGACAGTAGCTTGTGTGAGCACGAACCCTGGCCAGAGAACACCCAGAGATGCAGCTCCCAGGATTGTCCTGCCGGCGAAGCAAGTAAGTGGGTGCCTAGGGTGGCGTGCTCATGGCTGAATTACCTGGTGCCCCTTATTAGGGCAGTGCTTGGCGTTCGGCTATTTGGACCATTATCCGCTGGCTGTGCGTGTGAGGTGCCTTGGGAATAAGGAGGGTGCCAGTGTTGGCTGTGTGTGCAGTTGTTCCAAATGCAGGTGACTGGTAGTTTCTTTTTATGGCAGCTGGGCAGCTTCTGGATTGGCATCAGTGAAACGTGCTGGCAAAGGTTTGGCTGCATCGTGGCTGTCTGCTTGGGCAGATTTTGAGAGAAGACCTCCTTAAGCCACATGGCAAATGACTTGATAGTTGAGGACTACCTCTGGCCTCTGGGATGCTTACCTGGTTTGTCTGCAGAACACCGGCGGGCTCATTCACCCACAGCTGGACTCTATGGCAGGGGTGTCAAACTCGATTTCATTGAGGGCCACATCAGGGTTGTGTTTAACCTCAGGGGGCCAGGGTGGGCGTGGCCAGCTTGACATCACTTGTGTCAGGGGCGCCTTTGGTGGCCCCAGTGCCCTGCCAGAGAAAACGGGCTCCTGAGCTCCATTTTCAGCTGGGATGGCCTCCTGCAACCCTCTACCAGCAAAAATGGAGCCCTGGGGTCTGGTTTTGCTGGCAGAGGGCTGCAGGCCGTCACAGCCAAAAATGGAGATTGGGAGCCCGTTTTCGCTGGCAGAGGCACCGCGGGCCGATCCTCCACTCTTTCCAGGGCGGACGCACAGGCTGGATCTAACCATCCCACAGGCCGGATCTGGCCCCTGGGCCTTGAGTTTGACACCCCTGTGACCTCTGGCCTATGCGAGCCCCTGGATCTGAGACAAATGTCCAAGCAGGGACATGTCCCAGGTTGACCCTGATTCCCATTTCTGCTGACTGTCAGGCTTTTCTATTCTCACAGAGAAGGATTCTGGTAACCCAGCCTCTTCTCCTTCCTGGGCCTCAGAGGGTCTTGCTGGTTCAGAAAGGAAACCCGAGACAGGCCTCTTCCTCCGGCTGCATTCCAAGGTTTTATCTCCACCAGGAATGCTGTAAACAGTGGCCCCATCAGAGTGTTTGGCAGGCAGAGCGGAGAGGAGGGCGAGGCCTTCTGCTTCTGGAGATGGAGGGGAAGAGGCTGAGCATTCAGCTGTGGACCTGGTTGCTTTTGCTGGTCCTTGGTTGAAAAGTTTTTTTAAATTAATTAATTAATTAATTAATTAATTTTTAATTAATTTTTAATTTTTAATTTGATTTATATGCCGCCCTTCTCCGGAGACTCAGGGCGGCTTACAATGCGCTAAGCAATAGCCTTCATTCTTTCGTGGCATTTTTCTCCACCTACTGAGTTTTTCCCAAGGATCTGGGACAGGCAGATGAATATTGATGTTCAATGGTGTTAAAAAATATCATCGCAGGACATAAAATGTTCCAAGTAAAGCTGCCTTTTGCAATTGATTAATGGTGAATTTGTCAAGGCTAATATTATTCAAGTGATGCTCCTGTTGTTTTGGGATTATACCTGAAGTGCCTTTGCTTTCTTTTGCAACAGTCATTCTATTGTATTTGCAGGTCTTTGTATTTTGTTATCTTCTCCAGTTTTTTTCTCTTCTCTTCTGCTGTCTCCAGGTACTGCCATGTCCACTATCCAAGCTTTTTTGTCTTTCTTATTGACAATTGTTAAGTCTGGGATGTTAGGCGGCAGGTGCCTGTCCGTCTGAATTTCAAAGTCCTAGAGCACTTTAGCTTCTTAATTTTGTATTATTTTCTCTATTTTGTGGACCCACCAGTAATTGCTTGCAGGCAAATGGTATTTCTTGCAGATCTTCCAATGCACCATTGTTGCTACTTTGTCATGCTGTTGTTAGTAGTCAGTCTGGGCGATCTTGAGAAGCTAATTAGATGTTCCACTATTTCTTCAGCTTCTTTGAAGAAGAAACTGTCTTTGCATTTGCTGTCTGTTGCTGTCTTCTCAATTATGGCTTTGTATGCCTTTGTTCTTAAAGCTTGGTCTTGGGCAGCCAGGATTAGTCTCTCTGTCTCTTTCTTCAACTTTCCTGCTCTTAGCCATTGCCATTGTCATTATCTGCTTTGCCTGCTATTTTTTTAAAAAATGTACTGGCTATGTGATGCTTTATTTTCCCATACCTCTTTTCTGTTCCTCATTTGGTCTTTCTTGTAGGCTGGTTTGCTCTCTCCAGCACTCAGTAGGCCTTCCCAATATACTAGCTTCAGTGCATCTTCTTCACTGTCCTTCAGATATTCTTCCAATGCTCTTTTTCTTCTTTAACCACCTGATATACTTGCCACATTCCACGCCCACTTATTTTCCTTGGTAAATAGAGTCTATCAATATTGCTGAGTGCATGAAGGACATAATTGTCATGAATCTGGTCTTCCTATCCAGGGCTTTTAATTCTGCTTGAGTTTAGTCCGCTATTCCAGTTGTGTATCTAATGACTGGCATTGCCCTGGTATAATTTGGTATAACCTCCACTGAGTTTGCACTTTAAGATCTTCTTCACTCTCTTGATGTAGTCATTCCTAGCCTTTTTCTTGATTTCAGTGTGCTTGGTGTTGTCTGATGGACTGTATTAGCCACCACACTAGTTAGTAATTTGAAAGTTGTTGGTAAGCAGGTAATTGGCCTGCAGTGGCCTGGTGCTGCCCATTTTTCTGGAGCTTTCATTATCAAGTAGGCTTTTTCAGATGTTAGCCACTCTTCCCTTCACCTCCTTACAGTATGGGTTTTTTAAAAATAGTTTTATTAATTTTCTGCTATTACATTTAATTAGTGCTTAATAAACATCATGTTGTCTTGAGTTATTTTGTTTGCTTAACAATACAAATTATATTCCTAATCTTTACCCCTTTTTTCCAGCCATTGATAAAATAAATTCCATGTTTGATAGTATTCTGTATCTTCTTTCTGTTTAATCTTCAATGTAAGTCTGTCCATTTCTGCACAGTCCAATATCTTCTTAATTATCTCTTCATTTAGTGGTATTTCTTCATTTTTCAAATGCTGTGCAAATATAATCCTCGCTGCTGTTAATACATGCAATATTAAATATACACTTTATTTATCAAATTTTTCTGGTACTATACCTAATGAAAAAAGTTCAGGTTTAAAATCTACATGTTCTCTGACATCTTTTCTAGCCACATATGTATTTTTGCCCAATTTTTTTTTGCTTTAGCACAAGTTCACCACAGATGACAGTATGTGCCAGATTTTTGGTTACATTTCCAACATTTATTAGACATATTTTTGAACATTTTGGCTAACCTAACAGGTGGTAAATACCATCTATAAAACATTGTATATAAGTTTTCTTTATAAGAAGTTGCCATTGTTAATTTATAATTTCTTTCCCATATATTTTGCTATTTTTCTAATTCTATATTATATCCAAAGTTTTTTGCCCACAGTATCATTGTTTCTTTTACTTGTTCATCTTCCATTTTCAAATTCATTAGAAAGTTATATAGTTTCTTAATCAGTTTTTCATTGGAGTTCAACGATATCTTTATCATATCTAGATTGTATTTGCAGTTGAGGCCACCATGATAAGTCAATACCCTGGTCTTTGAGTTCTTGTTTTTTATTATTATTATTATTTATTAAATTTATATACCGCCCTACTCCCGAAGGATTCAGGGCGGTGAACAGCCAAGAGATAAAATACACATAGTACAAACGTTAAAAAACCATTTAAAAATACATTAAATATTTCGGCCCATGAACAAATTTAAAACACCCCAATTTAAAAAACAAATTTAAAACAATTTAAAAGGGAGGTTAGGCCAGACCAGCCTGCTGGAATAAGAATGTTTTGAGGGCACGGCGGAAAGTGCGCAAATCCGGGATCCTCCGTATCTCCAGGGGGAACTTGTTCCAGATGGCAGGTGCCCCCACAGAGAAGGCTCTCCCCCTGGGGGCCGCCAGTTGACATTGTTTGGCCAACGGTACCCTGAGAAGACCCTCTCTATGAGAGCGTACTGGTCGGTGAGAGGCTACTGGTGGCAGAAGGCGGTCTCGTAGGTACCCCGGTCCTAAGCCATGGAGCGCTCTAAAGGTAGTAACCAAAACCTTAAAGCGCACCCGGAAGACCACCGGGAGCCAGTGCAGCTCGCGCAGGAGGGGAGCCACATGGGAGTGCCACATCGTTCCCGTAACCACCCGTGCGGCCGCATTCTGGACCAGCTGGAGCCTCCGGGTGCTCCTCAAGGGGAGCCCCATGTAGAGAGCATTGCAGTAGTCCAGGCGGGAAGTGACGAGGGCATGAGTGACCATACCTAACGAGTCCAGATCCAGAAAGGGACGTGTTCTGTCCCCGTCTCACACACGAACACAAACAGACAGGTGGGGGTTAAATAAACTGGCAGACAACCAAATTCTTTCGATAAGAGGCTTGGCAGCAACCCAGTAGCTGCTTGCCAAGAACTTTACTCATAAACAAGATACACACAGTTCAAGAATTGTCAAGTCCAGTCCGTAATTAAATCCAAGGCAGATAATGTTGTTTCCAAAGATGCAATGTGACTCGATAGTAGTCAGTTTTGTCCGTCACAGAGTCTGAATAGCCACCTCACCCCCTTTTATACCCTGTGGGATGTGGTCCAGTGACTCAGCTTAATCTCTGCGTGTGCTTATCTCTGCGACACTGCCGAGGATCCAGCCAAGACTCATCTCCCTCATTACTGTCCACCTGTGGCTGCGTGGACGTGCTTGGCCCTGGGCCTATCTCTTGACCTTTGGCAGACACCGAAGGCATTGCCAGAGAGGAGGGTCCTAGAGAGGAAGGCCTTGCCAACTCCTCTCCTTCACTCTCGGAGTCCTCTCCTGCCGATGACACAGGCTCAGGTAATGGAGCCACAACAGGACGCAACTGGCGGATCAGGCGAACCTGATAGAAAGTCCTCCCGGCCACAGCCGTCAAATGCTCTTCTAAAGACAGCCGTGAGTCCAGGAGGACACCCAAGTTGCGAGCCCTCTCCGT